GTGCCGCAACCCCAGAGTTGTTGGCGACTGGACTTAACTGTCAGGGATCCCTTTACCTTTTTAATGGTCTATTGACTCTATTCATTTTCTGACAGAGCTGGCCTACCTACGAGGCAGGCTGAGGTAGCTGCCTTGTGCAATGGAAGCTCACAAGGTGCCACACCTGTGGGCACCTCCACCACTGGCAAGATTTCTGCTTTGCAAGTGCCGCCCCACAACCCAGGTAAGGGAGGTGGCAGTGGCAGAGTGGTGGTGGCAGCAAGATGGCAATTTCCTAGTTTGTGTCAGGTGGCGGTTAAGCAAGCACCACCTCTGTTTTCTGAATATCTAAAGTGCCCCTTTGCCCTGATATAAGAATCAGACCAAATCACTTTGATTTCGTTCACCATTTATTCGCTGATCAATGCGAACCAATTTGTTCTGAACACAACAGAAGCCATAGCATGGGTAACATAAACTGAAACAAGCTGCTCATTGTTTCATGCTCTGCATTTGACAAATATGCATCTGAACTGCAATAGCTGATGTAATGATCATGCCAGCCCAGCGCATTCCTGCTGATTTAGAGCAGAATTTAAGAGCTCTTTGTTCAAACAGCGGGTCAGAAATTTTGGGCAACTTTACATCAACTACGTCTTCTCCCTGTGCTTCAAAACACCATCTATTAAACTGGGACAGCACTGCTCTTTTGTACAAGCATGCTACAAGAATAAATTCATTAATGCATCTGAAGTGCTCAGAAACATAATGACAGTGATTAGCACCATAGAAAAGTCCCTGAATTAATACACTGATTACTCACAAATATAATTTGGGTTTTCAGAGATGCAAATTTCATTCAATTGTTGTTCTTTTTATTCTGATCTTAGCAAGCTGACTGTTCCCCCCTCCCTTTTTTATGTGAAGAAATTGGCTATGCAGTATTGAAAGCAGAATGGAAGTTAATTCTCAGTAAACCCTGGGATTAAATCCTTAGCAATAAACCTAATCATTTTCTTACAAAGCACCCTATATATTTCCAATTTGGGGGGTTTTCTATTCTATATTCAGATTTTTAAATAGATATATCTGAGGGAATTATTTTCAGAAATAAACCAGTGACTGAAGTCACAAGGCATAAACTGTTTTAGATACAGTTAATTATATCTGTTTCAGAGTCTTCATGTTTTTAATGTTCATCTTGCGTCAGAATGGGATCTGGGATGCATAAAATTCTACAAATTGTTATTCCTTTCAGCACATCATGAAAACCACATATTCCTTTCATAACCTGCTGGGATGAGTCCAGACAAGTCCACTGAAAACTTCAGATTCAGATTTGATCAACCAAAGCAGGGCCTAGGAGATAATCCAAAAAGCTAGTTTGCTTTTTTAACTGCATAAATGATCCTTAAAATTGCAGTTGGGCTTAGAATTCAGGTCTTCTGAATGAAAACATCTTTGAAGTCTTAAGCTTTGCTAGTCTGAGCCACAAAGCCAGATGTAATGACACATACTATTTTTAGATATATTTTTTGTTGCCTATGCTTTATTGTTTATGTATTTTATTGTAAATGGTAAACCTCTATGGGATCATCTTGTTATGATGGAAGAATGGGGTAGAAATATTTTAAATAAATAAATAGCATTATTTTATAAGGTGCAAAGTTTAATTTTCAAGGTTTTGTTTGCTTGTTTTTTTAAAGAGAGCACATGCCTTGAAATATCTGAATGGTGGCACAAATGTTTTGCTATTCAAAACCTCCTGAGTAGGGATGGGGGGAATTCAATTCACTTTGCATTTAAAGATGAACCTACCTAATTATCACTTTTAGTGAATGCAACATATCCAGCCTTCAAATTTTGGACTTCTCTGAATCTTGCAGTACCAGGTAATACACACACAAATGCATATACTAGGATGAAATGTGCAGACAAATGCATATACTAGTAAAAAGGACATATGGAAATGCATTATATCAGAGACAACTGCTCTTGCAAAAATGAGTATATTTGGGAAAATTACATGCTAACGTGCGCATACGGTATAAGGAGAACTTTGTGTCAAAATGCTGATGACTTTCCATGATGACCTTTTTTTTTTTTTTTTAAGCAAACTGATGTGGAAATGTGAAGAACTGCACTTAGGACTGGGGAAAAATGAGAAACTGAAATGGAAACTGATACATTGGCCCATCCTTGCTCATGAGCAATAAAAAGTGGTGTAATAGTAATAGTAGACACGGACTACAAATCTGTGACTTTGCGGATGGTGAGTTCTGCAGTTCCTGATTTTCAAAAGTACATGAGTAAGAACTATGCTGCTTTCTACATATTTTCATCTATGCAAGCTCATCTGAGCCTAGCTAGAGAATGTGGGCAGGTCATTTATAAAGTCTGTTGGTTGTGGTAGCTCTTGTGCTATGACCTAAGGCAAAATTTGCAAGCAGGCTTGTAAAAAAGTGATGACAGTCTAAACAAAAGGTGGCGTGGGTGTCATTTCCAGGTTTCACCCTGCTCCATGTAAAGTTGATGGGAAATGGATTTTACCAGAAGCAAGACCTGGAGTTATACAAATATAAGCTCTTTAATGTGACAGCAGTGCCCAAACGGAAGATAGTGTACAATGCAGCAAATGTGATGCTCTGTTGAGGTATTGTTATTGCTGCTGTGTTACTATAGTGTTGTAAACCACTTCGAGGTTTGTTTTGAAGTGAAATATTGATTTATAATAAAGAAATACATTTATCCCTCTTACCTGTACACAGCTGACGATGAATAGCCTACACTGCCTGATTCATATTAAGAGGGCAGATCGTGGCATTGCTTTATTTTACCAGCATGAAACGGAATACATCTAAGGATGGAGACAAACAATAACTTTTAAGAGAGTTGAAGGCATTGCAATAGCGTAGGGTTTCCTTCCTTCTTTGATCTGATGGTTTGGTCCCGTAGCTTTTTCAGGTTTTTGAAGCACTATGAAACCCACTTACCAGATACACCATAGGCAATATTGCTTCTAACATACCTGTATGAATGTACAGTGGGCACCTCTGGTTAAGAACTTAATTCGTTCCGGAGGTCTGTTGTTAACCTGAAACTGTTCTTAACCTGAGGTACCACTTTAACTAATGGGGCCTCCCGCTGCCGCCACACGATTTCTGTTCTCATCCTGAAGTAAAGTTCTTAACCCGAGCTACTACTTCCGGGTTAATGGAGTCTGTAACCTGAAGCATTTGTAACCTGAGGTACCACTATATATGTGAATGGGAGGCACTATCCCTTAGGGAGTACTACTCTCTACTTGGTTTGGCTGGTGTCAAGAAATGGATGCAATGGATTTCCGTTCCTCCCTGTTATTTTTATCCTGACTCTTTCAAGTTCCAGGTGGCTCACATCTGTAAAGCACCATATGTAAAATATCATCACCAGGAACCCAGTGCAGCCTCTGCCAGGTTTGGAGTGTGTTTCTGAAAATGGGGTGCTCTGGACAGGAAAGGCATTGTGTTGGTGTACTGCCTGCCTCACTGCCCAACAGTCTCTAGGCCGATGAGGGATGTAACCTGAGGAGAAGTGGTATGGCCTAGGGAGGAGGCATATTCTAGGGCAGGGGTCAGCAAACTTTTTCAGCAGGGGGCCGGTCCACTGTGCCTCAGACCTTGCGGGGGGCCGGACTATATTTTGAAGGGGGAAAAATAAATGAATTCCTATGCCCCACATATAACCCAGAGGTGCATTTTAAATACAGTGGTACCTCTGGATGCGAACGGGGCTCTGAAACGGATCCCGTTTGCATCCAGAGGTACCACTGAAGCAAACGCAACCCACGTCTGTGGGTCGTGATTCGCCATGTCTGTGCATGCATGTGACGTCATTTTGAGTGTCTGCACATGCACGAGCGGCAAAACCCAGAAGTAATGTGTTCCGTTACTTCCGGGTCGCCGTGGAGCATAACCTGAAAACGCTCAACCTGAAGCATATTTAACCCGAGGTATGAGTGTAAAAGCACACATTCTACTCATGTAAAAACACCAGGCACACCCCACAAATAACCCAGAGATGCATTTTAAATAAAAGGACATATTCTACTCATGATTCCCGGACTGTCTGCAGGCCAGATTTAGAAGGTGATCAGGCCGCATCCGGCCCCCAGGCCTTAGTTTGCCTACCCATGTTCTAGGGAGAGTCTCATGGGCTGGATAGAGTAGCCTGGAGGGCTCCATTTAGCTGAGCTTTCCTATGCCTGAGGTAAGAGGAAAAGTGATGCTGATATGATAAAGAACCAAGGTGTCCTAGGGCAGATCCACACTACACATTTAAAGCACATTCCACTCGATTTCCCCCAAAGAATCCTGGGAACTGCAGTTTCCTCCTCACAGAGTAACATTCCTAGGACCTGTAACAAACTACAATTCCCAGGATTCTCTGGAGGAAGTCATGTGTTTTAAATGTGTGCTGGATGTGCTTTAAATGCATAGTGTGGATCTCCCCTGGAAAACCACTGTAGGGAAAAGAAGTTGAGGTTTTAAATGGCTACATCCAGGGTCCTTCAGCTTTTCTCCAGTTTTTGGCCTCAGACAAGAGAGCATTCCCAATCCATGTACACGTGAGTGGACTTGTCCACTTTCGAAGCAGTGTGGTGGGTCTTCTATAAATACAAAACAGGACCAACAACTTCAAGAACCAGTTCAAAGTGTCTCTGCTGTAAATGTTACAAAACAGACTATTTGCAATGTGTTTTGAGACCTGCTGATTTCTGAGACTGAGCAGTGAACTAACTCACCTCCCCCCCCCCAGCCCCAGCCCCAGCCTGTCTTTGCCCAGAGGGTGAAAAATTACATAAAGTCTGTGTCATTGTACTTGTTAGAACAGTGGGGAAACAGTATGAAACAAAAGATAAAACCAGGTCTCCTTTCTGTTGTCTCATGTGATGGATGAGTCAGGAGCCTTGGTCAGCATGACGTGCAAAAGGAGAAACAGTGGGATGGATCAAAACACAGAGGAGGTGGTGATAACATGACATGCACAAACGGTACTTGATGGGGGGGCACTGGCAGAGGCAACATACAGCTCTCCTGTGAGCCACGCAATTAAGTGAAACCTTTTTTTAAAAAAAGAAACATCTGAAAATTGAGTTGCCTGAGATATCATTTCTAAGGTTTTCCTAACCTTTTCTAAAAAAAATTTCCCCCCAGCTCAACATTTGTGTACACTCACCAAAATCAGCAGAACAAACTAAAGTTAAGGACGTCTGTTTTGTGTGCAGCATTTTCTGATTGTGTATGTTTTTCCCTCTGGCTGAGCATGCTTTGGATTATGGTCTAATCCTATAACTGCCTGACTGCCTCAATTTTTCAGACCTCCAAATGAATAGCTGATTGCTTGCCTGGCATATGGTTCTGTCACATGCAGCCGAACGAAGGAGGCAAACAGGAACTTTGAATTCCATCACAGTCACACAGAGGCGTACCCAGACTCCCTCGTGCCCTTGGCAAGAAGATGTTGGCCAGAAGGAGCAGAAGAGCAGTGACCCAAGGAGCACGGAGACAGGCAGATGGCCTCCTAGCGACTCAAAGCCAGAGTGGAGAGGCACGGTTTTTGCACACACACCCTGGGCCTGCGTCCTTGGTGGTGGTCAGTCTGGCCAACCGCTAGGTGCACCCCTGCATACACAGAAATGAGACCTTGTTCTGTTGCACCTTGTGTCACGGTCCAGTCTACAGGGGATCAAAGTCCCGGCTGATGATGTAAGGACTGGGAGCAAGATGGCGGGTGAGAGCAGGAACAAGAGTCCAGAAGCCGGGGGTCCGAGTGTCAGGAAGCAAGGAGTCATGAAGTCAAGGGTCCGAGGATCAAGAAGCAGGGAGTCAGGAAGCAAGAAGCCAAACGCAGCAAGGCAGGAAATGTGTTGCTGTGGCAAAGAGCCGAAGGGAAATGCTGACCTTATATCCCTTCCCAGCTCTTGCCACCAGGTGCAGTGAGTTACCAAGCGGTCTCACCTGTGTGGCTGCGCCTTGCCTCTCCAGAACAAATTTAGGAAGGCCCCAGTCCTGCGAAGCCCTACTGGTCACAAGGCCTGGCTCCTGCACGCACTCCTGACACCTTGCTTCCTAGGATTTCAAATGGCTAGAAATCAGTGTGGGTGGTTTGTCTCCAGTATCCAAGTATGTGTGTGAGAGACACTGTTTGTAACAGGCCTGCATGACGGATGACTCCCCAAGCCCAAGATGCCATGCCCAGTAGCTTCTGAAGTTCTTGACACCCTTTCTTTTTTGCACTTCTAGGCGGGGGGGGGGGGAGGATTGTTGTACCCTTTGTTTGCCACTGTCCAGGGGTGTGGGTTGCGCTTAACTTGGTGGGCTACAAATTCTACAGGCTTAGTGAGCCACAAGTTGTGCACTGCATGAACAGATTGTGATTCTTGCAGCTGAGATCTTCCGAGGATACCAGGACACATACACCCCCCCCAAAGAAGTTTAGGAGAAAATTAAGCCTCCTTAAAGAGTTAAGCTTCATTCTCAGCAAAGCAAACAGTGGATTAGCAGTATTATATTTCACATTTGCTGAAATGCAGCCAGTCTAGCGTGCTTTAACACAATGTGAATCCTATTGAAAGTGCAGAGGAATTTTAGGCAGCTTTCTAATATGCTTTGCTTGTGTGAGAACTGGCCAGGAAACAAGCCTGAAAGTTTTCATTGTTATAGGAAGAGGCATGATGGATGCAAGGATTGTGAGTTTTAAATTACTGCCTTAAAGCTACAATCCTGTACATACTTGAGAGTAAGTGCCATTGAACTCAATAGGGGTAACATCTGAGTGCACTTCAGTTTGCATTTAAAGGCAAATCTACCCAATGCACAATTTCCAAAATAAGATGAAACCAAAACACAGCCATCTTTTGAAATGCACACTTGTCTGAATTTTGGAATGCAATAATGTGTGCAAAGATGCATATACTAGTGTAAAGTGTGTATATAAATGTATATATATATGAAGGGAGGAAATACAAAAGGAAAAATTCTTTGCAAAAATGTGTATTTTATGAGAAATTTGCAGGAATATACTGGTGAATTTGCATGACTTCTTTATATATATATAAAACTAATGTGGAAATGTGGAGAACCGAAGATTGGGAAAATGAGCAACTGAGAGAAACCAACACTGGCAGATTCACCCATCCAGGCTTCTGAATAACTAAGGCTACACTACAAAGTCTGATTCTCTCTGGTGTGATGCAGCATTATCAATGACTATAGAAAATAGCCACTGCCATGTGGAGAATTTTGATTTGATAGGTCATGGGTGCTCCAAGGGCATTCACTTGCAAATAAAAACACGCCAGGAATGTTCCCCAACAAAGAGCTGAAAGGCAGAGGAGCACAGCTTTTGTGTGATTAAGTAATATTTCGGGAACTGTGTAAACCCAGCGCTTGGTGGTGGAGCATGGGAAGCTCCCCTGCCCTGCTGGGGTTTGGTGTTTGATGGAGAAGGGGCAGCACTTATCAGAGCCTGGCTCACCGTGGTCCCCGCTGTCTGAGCTTAGGAGGACGTTGTCTCAGCAACACACCAGCTTTGTCTGCTGACAAGGCCTTTCTTTCCAGTGGCTCCACCCTTCTGGGACAGGTATCTGCAAACCGTAAGGGGCCCATAACTGATTCTGTTGTCACGTGTCCCTGAGTGGCTATGGAGCAGGGCACTTTAAGAAGGAGCCAAGGAGACTGGTGAAACTTCTCTAATAGGAGCAGTATATGGAGAATGGGGCACTACTGCCATCCTGTACCTCCTGGTTGTCATGGTGACCAGGCCCCTTAGCCCATGGAGTTTCCCCACGCCTTCATACTCTCAAACACACAGCTGCTTGATTTATCTTGTAGGCCAGATTATTTCCTTTGACCTAACTAGGGCAGGCATATTTACTTCATTGCGTTCTTCTTAAGTTGTCACGACTCCCTTGTGCTTTCTAAATAAACTTTCTCAAAGAGAAAGAGGCAGCCTCAGAGCCAGGGCACATGTGAAGAGTGAACAACCCCAAAGTCAGAAGATGATGGCAGAGCCACATCCTCAGGCTGGGATGGTGCTGAAGGAGGTCTTAAGGGCACTCGCCTGAGTGGGGGGAACACTGGGACTTGACAGGAACATACCCGCTCATCCTTCCGAGAATATACTTCCCATGTTTATAATGTAATTTCAAATTTGTTTTATTTTCCAAAGTCTCGTTTCTGTGTGCTTACTAAAGTGGTATGGAAAACAAGTCTTGCATTTCTGTTTCCATTAGGTGTGTGCAGGAGAGAATATGCAGCCCCAGCCCACACACAAGGTGGGGTGCAGCAGCTGCCTCAGGCAGCAGAGGTTCCCAAGGTGGAGCCCCTGTGAGTGCCCACCCCACCCCAGAGAAGCGGCACCTGCTCTGGCATGCAAAGTCTTGTGAGATTTTGGTGAGAACTGTTGTGGTGAGCAGCACAGCGGTGACAGAGCAGGGCAGCACTTCTCGTTTGGCCTCAAGTAGTGAAACAGGATGCATTGCCCATGAATGTATGAGTGGATTGTGTCCCTTAAGTCCTATCACTCTGTCACCCATTCTGCTGCCCCTAGTGGCATTCACAACAAGTCACAAGCCATCGCCAGCAAATCGACTGCCTCAGCTCTGCCAAGCTCTGATACTCCAACAGTGGCTTGCAGTGCCTCTGCTTGCTCACGCTCTCATTGAAAAGGCCATTTCTGCTGGGCCCCTTTCTCAAAGGTGGTGGGGGAATTACAATCGGGGTTCATTCAGCTCATTAGCTGCAGGCCGTATTATGGGTGGCGATGTGCAATTATTTATGTTACAGTGTTCGGAGATCTCAGACACCACATCTGGATCAGGAGGGGGTGACAGCTGAACTTTAAAACGATTTCCTTCCCCAGCATAATTAAGTTAGTGTGGCTGCGCAGCTCATTTTAGCAAATCTGAAAGGCTGGAAAATGTCAGCATGGCAAGTGTACAGATTATCGTTGTATGTTCTCTAATCTTATATTGATAAGTCCCCTCTAGTGGTTTCCTGCTGGTAAACCGCAGACAAGGGAGGCAGGGGTTAGTCAACTGGGGAAAATTAGATGAAACTTTGCTTCTGCAATTAATATAAAGGCACACTTATTTGAAGGATACTGCTAATTAAAACAAGCAGTGCTTTCCCCATTTCATGGGCTCTGGAAATGGGTTTCATGGAATGCACAGTAAAGTCTACGTCATGAGGTAAGCCACTGTGGCAAACTCTGTTTTATGTGTTCAGGTGAAGACTTCTTCACCTTTATTACATACAGATAAAATTGAGGATTTTTTAATGCAATTTAAATGCATGTGGTTTTCTGTGGATTTTTAAAGCAGCCCTCTTCCTTCCCTGTATACCATCTCTCCACTAAGTGTCTGTAGATTAAAGTTATCACCCCCCCTCCCGCAATGCTCCAAAGGTACTCAAAATTGCTGTCCTGACCCCAATCTCCTACTCCCCCCACCCCATTCATCCATCATTTCCTGGACTGTGGTTGCAGCAGGTCTGGTGGTGGTGGTGGTGGTGGTGGCAGAGATGAAGAATGAACTTTCTTTTCCTCACTTCATCTCCAGCACCAGGAATAGGTGCTAAGGAGGGTGGGGGAAGGAAGAGGAGAAGGAAGGGGAGAAAAGAAGATGGACAGAGGATTCCCAGCTACTGTTGACACTGTAACAGATAACACAAGCGACAGCTAGGTCAGCAGGTGGGAGCAGGGTGGAAGAACAGAACAGCCCATCCCTCCTTCCTCTGCTTCTGCGTAGTTATGAACTGGGAAGAAAACGGCATTTGGTTTGGTTGAAGGATCACCCATGGAGATTAGCACCAACATCAGAATCTAAATATTAACAGGAAAGGAACTAGGCGAAGGGCCTGTCAGGAGGTAACAAAAGTCCACTGGAATTATATGAAAGCCTGGAAGTGCAAGTGTGTGCGTATAGGATTATTGTTGAGGGCTGAAGCCCTGTGCTCACTTACCTGGGAGTAAGCCCCTTTTAATTTAAGGGGATTCACATCAAGTAGACAAACGTAGCATTGCACTGTTAGCAATCCAAGTGAAAGCCAGGCCTACAGAGAAAGGGCAGAGGAAGGAAATTTTAGGGGGATGTGCTAGCATGTCTATAAGGGATTCAATATGCACTGTTTCAAATTAATATAGCTGGCATTTCCATGGTCTTAGGCAGTGCTTTTTTCTGGGGGGACGCCTAAACATTTTGTGAATCTTTGTACTTTTGTCCATTTACTGTACTTATTTTCCCTTGAGTCAAAATGAGAGTACCCCCAAACATACTTTTTTTAAGGGGAAAAAAGCACTGGTCTTAGGGAATAGTATTTCCAGGCAAGGTTGCTGAAGTATAAATCTGCAGCAAACAGACCCTGGATCCGAAACACTCCTGATCTCTTAATAATACAGGTTGCTTGCAAAAGGTCAAGAATTCCGCACAGCAGGGGGGTCCCATCAAAATGAGCTCACATGTAATAGTAGCCAATAATGCAATAAATATTTCAGCATTACTGAAATGTGATAGGTAAGAGAGAAAAATCAATGGTTAGGAAGGGCGACCTGTAAATGTTCATATTTTTAAAAAGGACCAGAGATTTCATGTCCAGAAATAACCACAGCAGCAAGTATTAACAGAGGACACCTAGTGGTGGAGAACCATAACAGGTTATTTCTTAAGACAATGTGCATTATGTAAACTGCACAATGAAATTGCCTGTAATGCAAATTCTTGTATAATGATTTTACAGAGATTGGGGCCTCGATGGTTCTGGAGAAAATATGCTAATGAAAGAATCAGAAAGTTTTAAATACATGTGAAATAAAATCATTTGTGTCCTCAATTTTGTTTCAAACTACTGTAAGCAGAGGGATTATCCGGGGAATAGCATTTTTTGCTCGTTCCCTTAATACACTTGTCAGTTATTTCTAGGAACAACAGTGACAAGCTATGAAGAAAAGGCTTCAAACACAGCCAGAATGCTTTGTAGGCATAATGTGGGACTCTGGGTACCGGAGATAGCACGACAAGAAGAAATATAGGTGTACCTTCAATTGTTCGGCATGAACAGTCTTTAAAAGGCAGAAGTAATATAGATTCCACCTACCTGGAATCCATCCATCTACCAAGCAATTACATCCATCTACCAAGCAAAAGGTAGTTTATATAGTACACCGGTAACGATTTAGTTCTTCAGTTGCTACTTCTTACATAGCCAAAAACCATCTATGCACAAGAGGTAGGTGCCAACGGATTTGGGGGAACCTCAAGGTTTGCAGAAGCAGAAAAGTACATTAGAAAGGCCCTATGGAGGAAGAAGACCCCCTCCCAGTCTAATGAGAGTAGAGTGTGCTGAGTGGGCATTGAATACTGAGTGTCTATTGAAGGGATGCTGGTAAAAAATGGGTATTTGTTTGTTTGCATAATTTATATCATGCTCTTCCTCCCAAAGAAGCCCAGGATGGCAGGGTGAGTAACAGAATGTCCTCGAAGAGGCCACGACTCACTGGCTGGCTGGAGCACTCAATGGGAGCATCCCACACTGCAACAAGTGCAGGTCCCACTTAGAAACATAGTATTGTAGAGTTTGAAGGGACCCTGAGGTCCAGCCCCTTGCAATGCAGGAATCTCAACTAAGGCATGCATGGCAGCTTAAAACCTTCAATGGGGAGTCCACTACCTTCCAAGGGAGTCCTGATGTTTAGTTGTAATCTCCTTTCTTGTAACTTGAATCCATTGGTTCAGGTCCTGCAGGAGAAAACAAGCTTGTGGTGGCCCTTGTGATGTTTGAAGATGACTATCAAATCTTGTTTCCTTTTGTTTTAAAAGCAGGTGTTTCTCCTTTATACTGCAGTTGTGCTTTCAATGCAGCTCTCAAAATATTTACTAAAACAATTCAGATACACTAAAACTATGTGTGGCCCACACAATGCAAAAACGAGCGTGAGCATTATCAATGTTGATAATGTGCTAGTCAACACCACACTATTACTTGTCTGGTTTTTTGTTTGTTTTTTTTAAAAAAACTATTCATATACTGTTTAATACTGTAGTCTCTATGTGGCACTACTAAAACCAGCCATTCAGTGCCATAGCAATTTAACATTGTGCATATATGTGCAGTGTATATATTTTGACAATATATGCACCATGTACAAATTCTCCACAAACCTTTGTATCATAGATGGATATATGAGTCTACCCTGAGTTTATAAGAGTGCACTTTCAGATAGCACTCGCTGGGGAGTAGCTACCTAGTGACTCAACAGAATGCCACCTTCATTTAATCAATTAAAATACTCATTTATAATTACATTTGTAAAAATCAATAAATAAACACAGGATTCTTTTTTATATACGGAGAGAGAGAGAGAGAGAGAGAGAGAGAGAGAGAGAGGCAGGCAACTATCTACACTGGGTAATGTTGTATACAATTTGAAACAAAGATTGCCTAGGAAAAAATTAATGGATTTGATTAAACAGTTGAGGAATGCAGTCAGGTTGTGTGTGATGTTTTACTTATTTAAAACATTTCTAGGCCACTCTTCATCAAAGCAGATGCCAGGATTGTCTTCAGTAATATAGGCAACAAATTAATTAAAACCTAATGCAACACAAAAACATGAACATTAGCAGCTGGGGTAAAAACAACAACAGCAACCCAACAGCAGATATATTAAGGTTAAAATGTAAACTTGATTGGTTGAGTATTTTAGAGCAACCTTGAGCATGTGGCATTTTCATTGTGTCTGCCTGCTCTGTTTCAATAAGGTTAGCAGTAAAACTGAAATTTACAAGACAAGGGAATTCTTGTAAATGTCAGTCTGTTGCTTGTTTCCAAGCCATGTGAAAACTGGGGTTACTGAATGGTTAATCCCCATACCTTCCTAGTGAGCAATTGAAACTTTGAGGGGCAGACTATGCACTACACGAAAATGTATGTAATGAAGGCCTGATGAGTTTTGTAATGAAAACAGCCTCAGGAGATTGTGTTTTTGAGCAGAGGAGCACTTTGCCTATGTGTAACCTTTTCCCTGCCAAGTATTTTTTTCCCCTCCCAGCTTCTCTCCCTCTGCTTCCATATGTGTATTTGTGAAAAAGGGTATTTGTGTGTGTGATTTTAAACTAAAAATCATCATGGGGAGGGGTTAAGCACTCACTCCCGCTACCATTCTTTTGCTCAAAATTGCAGCCTTTTTTTTTTAAAAAAAAAAGACATCATAGATCACTTTACTATCTCAAAGATCTCAAAGTGGCTTACATACACAATAAGTACAAAAAACCCACTTCAGATGATTTCCACAACAAAATACATGAACAATATCCATAAACTTAAAATAAAATTAATAAAATCAGAGAACACTACAAGGCAGGATATCTTGGGGCTGCTTTTCTATTGCAAAAACTCTGGGTATTGTAGTACCTACTTTATCTCTGAGTTCATTACTGTCATGTCACAGTTATGATTAAAAGAGTTGGCGGCAGTAGCACTTTTATTAAATTGAATGATATCTTGCCTACTATACTGCCTGGACTCTTGCAACTGCCCATCTCTAGACATGATTTCACCTAGTGGATGAATTCTGAGTCAACTTTAGGAAGATCAAGACCATGTATTCCTGTGAGGCGGGCCTCTCACTGAGAGCCAGTGTGGTGTAGTGGTTAAGAGCAGTAGACTCATAATCTGAGAAACCGGGTTTGCGTCTCCGCTCTTCCACATGCAGCTCTGGGTGAACTTGGGCTAGTCAGACTTCTCTGAAGTCTCTCAACCCCACTCACCTCACAGAGTGTTTTTGGTGGGGGAGGAAGGGAAAGGAGAATGTTAGCCACTTTAAGACTCCTTAGGGTAGTGATAAAGTGGGATATCAAATCCAAACTTTTCTTCTCTTCTCAAATTCTTTTTATCCAAGGGGGCTGAAGAAATGAAGCCAAGAAAATAACACCTTCTAATGGGAAACACCCCAAAAGAATCAATTAAATATCTTTTCAGAGCATACTGAAGTCATAACGTCTTTCCCCTGGAGTACACCTGTTTGAATTTATGGGGCTAATATTTTTCATATATATAAAAAGATGAAAGTGCACTTCTTCTGGAAACTGCATTAAGTCTTAAAATTATTGTTTCCAAAACTTTAATGCACTATTCTAAATTTTAGAGGGAATAATAGGGCTATAGTACAACTGCACTTTACTGAAAACCCTGTGCCTGTCCTCAAGGCAAAGTGCAACAAGGGAACTGTGCTTTGGGCTGCAATCCTGCACACACTTACTTGGGAGTAAGCCCCATGAAACACAGACTTATTTCTGAGTACAACTGCACGGTCAGAATCAATGTTGACGACTTCTTTCTTCCCAGGATGACCTTCCTGTATCTGGGTACCTGGTACATAATTCCTTCAGAATGAGCTGCACAACTCTCTGTGTCTCTGCATTCCATGCATTCCTATCAAGTATCAGTACCCAGACCTGGTCAAATCAGATTTTTCTTATGGTGGATGTTTTAATAAGAAATAATGTAAGAAGTCAGCAAAATGCTTCTCATTAGAGAGATGGGCAGGTTGCTTTACATACCCAACAACAGCAAATTTGTAAGCATAAGGTTTTCAGAACAGAAGTTACTGTAAGAGTAGCTTTTATCATCATACGTTTGAGAGATATGTAATTTATTTTGTCTTCTCAAATAAAAACTCATGGTGCAATTTTACTTCCTGCTTCTAAAGAGGATGCTACATGCTGTCTGTCTCTCGTTTTTTTTCATTTCCACTGTTTTACAGTGGCTACCACATATGTGTACATTACGTTTTTAAATAGACTTTGAGGTAGTTTGTGCGTTTTGGCACTCAGCTGGGATAGCTCAGTGAACTGAACACGAGACTCTTAATCTCAGGGTTGGGCAAAAGATTTCTGTGCCATAGGAGCCAACTCCTAGGAGCTGAGGGGGATTGGCCCCCCAATAAAATATTTGAGGAGGCTGTCCCTCCAAATTGAAGGGCATTGCCATATAAATGTGCACAGTGTCATGTGATCGATTATTCGGGGCGGGGCTTACCTCCCTTCCCCCTATTTTATTCAAGTTGGCACACCTGACCCTCACGGTCCCTTACAATTCTGTGATTCTGATTTCGCTGCGAAGACACCACCTGCCCCAGAAAGAGAGCACGAAATGGCAACGCTTTACAACGATGGAGTTGTCCAGGGTCTTGAAACCGAGATGCCATTGAATGCTTCGAGGATGCTCCCCCCCCCCCCTGCAAAGGGCTGCCCTATGCGCCCTGTAGGGGCTACGGAGTCCCCACCGGAGTTTTAGAGGCAGGCACGTTTATTAAAGTTTACCGATGGCCGCTTTTCTTTTACCCCCCCCCCCCCCGCTTAAACAGCGACTCGGGTCAAGGTCCGATCGCCGTCCACGCAAGAGAGGAGTTTGCGGTGCAAATCGGCGTCCTGGCCAACGTAGGTTTCATATTCGCATTTAAAAAACCCCTTTGGCCGCCCAGAGCCGCGCTATGAGGAATCCCACCGGGATCCGAGACGCAGCGCGCAAGGCTGGTTACAGTCTCTCTCTCTGGCGGTGAGCTGCTTCGCTCCGGGCTTCCCGCCGGCCTCCTCCCCCAGCTTAGAGACTTTCCCCAGCGGAGGCAGAACTTTAGGAACCCGCCCCGCGCGCCGCCTGGGAAACAGGGGGGAAAAAGGAAAGAGCGGCGGCTGCGGATCTCAGCGGGCTCTATAAGGCAAGGAAGACAATTACAGAGAGAGAGAGGGAGAGAGAGGGGAACAGCAGAAGGTGGGATCGCCTGCTAATACGTAGGCGGGGCGTCCTCCCTCCCCCCCACAAGAGGCATCCTCCCTGTCCAATGGGGCGTCAGGGCGCCCTCCGAGGGGCGGCCTCAGCCAATGAGGAGCCAGGGAGGCGTAGCCGCGCCTCGCAGCGAAGCTGAGCTCCTTTCCTCCCCAGCCTATCCGGCGGCTGAGACGGACCGAGCCGGAGCTTGCCTCGCGCGGGCAGCTGCGCCGGCTAAAGCGGACGGGCGGCGCGCACGGCGCTCGCTCGGGTCGCCCCCCTCCTTCCCCTCCCCGCCGCCCTTTGAGGGAGAGACGCTCCGCCAGTCAGTCAGTCAGTCCGCCAGTTGGTTTCGAGGGGGGAGAGGAAGGTAACCGGACGGAGCTCCTTCGCCTGGGAGCAGCTGGGGTGTAGAAAGGAGGTAAGGGAGCCGCCGCCGCTGCCGCCGGGTCTCTCTCGCGTCGTTTCTCCTCAGAAAGTGGTGAGGGAGTCTGGAAGGGGAGCCGAGCCAGCAGGGTTCGAGACTGAGGGGCAGAAGCGGCTCCTTCAGTCCGGCTGAGGGGAAAGCGGGTCTTCCGAGGAGGGGCAGGTCGGTGCCATCCCCTCCCCCTCCGCCCTTTGGTGGAAGAGAAAGAGGGAGGAATTAATGGAGGGCTTTTGGGGATTAGTTCTCCACGGCACCAGGAACTCTCGCTCTCTCTTTGTGTGTGTGTGTGTGTGTGTGTGTGTGTGTGGTTTCTGGTGGGGGGTTGGGGAAGCGACACTTTCTTCATGCACTTGCTGCAGATGGTGCAAAGGTTCCTCACGTTACTTTCTTCCTCTCCCCTCCGAGAGAGAGACAGACAGGCAGTCAAGATGGAAAGTTGGAGGAGGTTATTCTGGCCTGGGAATAGGTGAGGAGGCGAAGGCAGGAGGGAGTTGCCTTTTCCTCCCTCCCTCAGGGATCTCTGCTTAGCCACCCCCACTCCCGTGGGTGGAAAAATAGCACGGGGGGGGGAGAGGGGCTTGGGGTCGGAATTCGCCTCCCCCCCCCGCCCGCCCAGCACAGAGTTCGCCTCTCTGGCGCACAGCTTTTGTGCCTGCTGTAGCATTGCCATACATCGCTTGATTTCATCTACTGTATTTATTTATAAGTTTTGCAAAACAAATGGTTCTGCTTGGACTAGGGCATGGGTTGGCACAACGGTGGTATCTGTTGGGCTGCCGACGTCATTTCGCTGGACAGTGATCTAAAACCGGCACCTCAAGTTTAGTTTAACTTTTTAAGGAATGCTGTGTGCTAATTGCTGGGATGTTTTTATAACGCTCCCCTTCCCCCAAATGGGCATATCGGAAAGGGAGGTAATGGGGCAATCTTCTCTTCCCTTTGGTTTTGAAAAACAAATGTATGTACATCAATCGTAGGTGCTAGAATACGGTTATTGTCTGGTCCAGCTAAATGATTTTTCAGCAGTTTGATTTTTGTGTATAGCAAATGGCAAACGATGTCCTGTGTGTTTTCTCCCCCCCCCCCTCTGTTTTTCTTCGAGTCTGAAGCATGACCACCAATTCATTTTTTAAAAGAAAGCTTTCTCCTTTTTAATGTTTTGTCTTATGCTGCATTTAATGGAACACAAGTGCCTTTGTAGTTTTGTGGAAAACTTTTACCATTATTTTATGGATTTTGGTTTAACAACATTTGCAGGGCTTTCCACTGTTATGGGTAGCTAGCTCACTGCTTTATTTTGACAGTAGACTACTCTGAAGCTGATAATTATCTAATGCACCTATTAACATATAAAGTGAGTTTGTAAGCTACATTTTTAATGTATGTTAGAGGATACCTTTGAATACTTGCAGCATGGTTATCCTATTTTTATAGGGTTGGTTTTTGGCAAAACATTGTTTGAAAACAGATATCTGTATTTTTGTAGTAAAGATTCTTGCTAACGAAAAGACTGCTGTGAATTCTTTTACCTTATTTTTGTGTTCAATTTTCATTCCTAAATGTTAACACTAGATGGCTTTCTTGCATCGTCCAGAAAGTACAGTACAGTTCAGAGCTGGCTTCTGACTTTGCTAGGTTATATCCTAGCACTTGCTGCTTATAAAATGCTAGTGTCCTGATCTGTTTTATAGTAAATGGAACTACAGTAGAACCAAATTTAAGCAGTTCCGTTCTTGGCAGTTTTGTTTTGACATTCTTCTTTATAGAAGTGCTATATGTACAGTTTCCAATTTCTATAATTCTGTGGTAAACGATGCTCAGAAAAAACTTTGAACATATTTTTTCCATGAAAAGGGCTGCTTTATAATTGATGCATATATTGATAAATTGCATTGCTTTACATTCTCTTTGAAACTGGTATAACCTCTTTAACTGATTTAATATAAACAAATCAATATTTTCTCTAGTTTTGTGTTTTTGTTGTTAATTTTGGCCAAAATGATGCTACTCCAAGTCACGTTTCATTAGCTTCTGTGTAGCTAATACACTTGTATTTTGTTTGTACAAAATGTGGCCATAGAACAATTCTTTATTAGTGCACGATGTTTTTCTGCCTATGAACTAGGTGACTGTGCAAGTAGCGTAGATATGCTTCTCTCCATTCATAGGAGCACAGTATGAAATAGAGACTGCTCTGTTGTTGTGGCCTGTCTTCTACTTGGGTCATGCTCTGAAGAGTAAAAATGTCCCCCCCCCCGAATATCAGCACCCTTAGACTGCATATCAGCACAGAGGATTGAAATGTAGAGCTGCTGAATTTGGATTTAGGAAGGCTATTGGGCTCATTATGGTTATCATTTTTCTGTGCTGTTTTCTGAACTATTGTTGATGGAAAACATGAAATGCAGGACCCCAATGAAAAAACTGCTTGCTACCTAAGAAATAATTACAGATGGAATTATTCCAATAATGCAACTTTAAGGACATTAAAAACACAGTTTGGCTTCAGAATTGTTGGCTTACTCTGAGTGTTCATATAAATTAAAATGGATCCCAGCAAAATCTTAACCATTGACTTGTGTTTGCTGTAGTAGCTGTCTCTTACTGCTTTGAACTTAATGAGATAATATACGTATTTCTGCAGTTTTGAAAAAAATTGTATAGATGGTCTAAGTAGCAGTGTAGCTAGCCATTTGGGTGCCTGGTGCGGTGCACGCGCCCTGCAGCTGGCTGCGAAGTGAACCGCCCATGGGGGCGGGGCGAGCCAAGGCAGGGCGCGCTGTGTGGAGCCTCTCCGCAGCCTCCCCCTCAGCTATAAGGTGGCTGAGGTGGTGGGCAGACGCAAGCCCTGCGCTGCTCAAAAAAGCAGTGCAGAGCTTGCAGGCAGTCCACCCGCCGCCTCACCCTCAGGAGAGACGCATGGCTTAGGCACACTTCATCATTCATTACTTCCAATATTATGATTCTGAATATTCACTTGGAAGGAAGTCTTGTCAATTTCAATAGAATTTCCTAATAAGCATTCTTGGGAGTTCCTCTGTAGGCCTAGTGAAGAATCTTAAATCCCAATATTTGATACTGGAAGGGGTTTGTTGTTGTTTAGTCGTTTAGTCGTGTCGGACTCTTCGTGACCCCATGGACCAGAGCACGCCAGGCACTCCTGTCTTCAAGAGGAAGGGGTTAGAATAAGGCATAAGTCTTCTCGGCTCTGCTATGGGGTAAGCTTTGCCACTGTGGAGGCCCCCATTGTACACTCTGACCAAGCGCAATGTTCCTGCCCCTGGCCCCCAAATGAGGTATTAAAGTTGTGAAGTGTCCAATTCAGTGTATTCAAAACTGCCCCATTTCCTGACAAGGGGCCTAATATGGGCTCCTCTGCTGTGTCAGCTTGGAGTTGGCACAGCTAAAAGCAGAGGATTATTGCCTCATGTCTTCTACTCTGGCTGTCAGGGAGCTATAGGGCTGCAGTTGTAGTGGTCAATTGACTGGTCAGTGCCATCCCAGCTCCAGTATTAATTGCTCTGCCCTAACCCTAGGCATGCTTCTTAGGGAGAAAGTCCAACTGCCGTTAGTGGGAGTTACTTCTAAGCATCCACAGGTTTGAGTTGCATAAGTTTCAAGACTGGAGTAAATATTTATTTATTTATTTATTTATTTGGTTGGTTGGTTGGTTGGTTGGTTTATGCAGGCTGTGACTAATGTTGTCTGTTACCCAGTAGTAGGCTTTTCTTGTAGGTTGATGCTACAAGAAGTAGATTGAAATAGTTGGCCACTTCTGCTTCTGCTTGTTGTTTCTCACATTGGAAATTCCATCATTGAATGTTAGAACTGAAATTGTCTTGATGGATGTTACTTTATATGTATGATTTGGCCTCATTTTAAAATGTACTTCAGTGTCATGTCTATCCCTAGACCTGACAGAGGGTTAGAGTATAATCTACTCACTTGGTATGCTTTATAACATGACTACAATAAGTCAAATTGTTTACATTCTGTTTGTAAAAGCTACTTACATTTTCTGTGCTCTTATTCATGCACTTTAGTTAGGTTTGTGTATCCAGGTCCATGTTTCTGGATTTGTCAAGGTTGATTGGCAGGTGTCTTGTAAGTAATCAGCTCATTTGGCTTTTATAGAAGACACTCAGAATATTTGACATCATCTGTTAATTTGCAACGGAATAAATTTCTGGAATAAAAGTTGCCTACCTGTACTTTTGTAATTCATTAACATAATTTCAATCTTGCAAACTCCTATCTTTTCAGTTTTCTTTGAATTTTTATTAGTTAGAATATTTTGTCAAGCTATTTTGATGTGTGAGAAACACTTGTTTAATCAGAGTTTTGAAATGTCTGCCTCATGTACATTGATGGCACTAAATTAAATAAACGCAGCATTTACAAAAAGTTGTGGAAGAATTGATTTTAAAACTTACTGATGAAGTAAAAAGTCCCCCCAACTAATTGAGTAGATGTTTATTTGCTCCTGTGTAAATACTCTAGTAACAGTAGAGGAAGAAGTGTTTCCAAGGTTGTGCTGGACAGGGTTGGACAAGTTTTTCTGTCTGTCCTTGGTGGATCTCCTTTTAATAAAATGCCCCCCTCCAAAAAATAAAAAATAACCAATGCGGGATAATTAATTATGCCACTTCCAAACTGGCATTGTTGATGATTATGATCCTGAAGCTTCTTCAAGGAATGAAGGTTTCAGATTGAAGACTGCCTCTACCCCACGCCTGGAATGAACCATCTCAGGGCCTACCATTGTCTACTGCCAGCAGTAGAACTATGCTCATAGAAGTATCTGCCAGTGTGCAGCAGGGGGCTGTGCAGCAGATGTGCCTATCTACCAGTGCAGCTCTTCACCAGCGCCTCCTCCAGTCAGTGAATGGGGGGGTAGGATTGTTCTTCCAAACTCTTGTAGTTATTTGACTTTCTTTAATTGGGTGAGAATTATAATCATAGAGGTGGAAGGGACCCAAGGGTCATCTTGTCCAACCCCCTGCAATGCAGGAATCTCAGCTAAAGCATCTATGACGTATGGCCATCCAACCTCTGCTTTAAAACTTCCAATGAAGGAAAGTCCACCACCTCTTATGGGGTTCCACTGTTGAAAAGCTGTTACTGTCAGAAAGTTTTTACAAATGTTTAGTCAGAATCTTCTTTCATGTAACTTGAAGCCATTGGTTCGAGTCCTACCCTCCAGAACAGGAGAAAACAAGCATGTTCCCTCTTACATGTGACAGCTCTTAAGATATTTGAAGATGGCTATCATATCTCCTCTTAGTCTCCTCTTTTCCAGGCTAAACATATTCAGCTCCTTCAAGCACTCCTTGTAAGGCTTCATTTCCAGACCCTTGATCATCTTGGTTGCCCTCCTCTACACACATTCCAGCTTGTCAACATCCTTCTTAAATTGTGGTGCCCAGAATTGGACACAGTAATCCAAGTGTGGCCTGACCAAGGCATAATAGAGTGGTACTATTGCTTCCTTGCAATGACAAACCTAGACAGCATCCTAAAAAGTAGAGACATCACCTTGCCAACAAAGGTCCGTATAGTAAAAGCTATGGTTTTCCCAGTAGTGATGTATGGAAGTGAGAGCTGGACCATGAAGAAGGCTGATCGCCGAAGAATTGATGCTTTTGAATTATGGTGCTGGAGGAGACTCTTGAGAGTCCCATGGACTGCAAGAAGATCAAACCTATCCATTTTTAAGGAAATCAGCCCTGAGTGCTCACTGGAAGGACAGATCGTGAAGTTGAGGCTCCAATACTTTGGTCACCTCATGAGAAGAGAAGACTCCCTGGAAAAGACCCTGATGTTGGGAAAGATGGAGGGCACAAGGAGAAGGGGACAACAGAGGATGAGATGGTTGGATGGTATTCTTGAAGCTACCAGCATGAGTCTGTCCAAACTGCGGGAGGCAGTGGAGGACAGAAGTGCCTGGCGTGCTCTGGTCCATGGGGTCATGAAGAGTCGGATACGACTAAACAACAACAACAATTGCTTCCTTTGATCTGGACACTGTACTTCTGTTGATGCAGCCTAGTATAGTGTTAGTTTTTTTGCTGCTGCATCACACTGTTGACTCAAGTTAAGCTTGTGCATCTGGTTCTTCCTTCCTAAGTGTAGGACCTTACATTTGTCCCTATTGAAATTTATTTTGTTAGCTTGTGTCCAGTTCTCCAATCTGTTATGGTCATTTTGAATTCTGATTCTGTCTTCTGCAGCATTAGCTACCCCTCGCAGTTTGGTGTCATCTGCAAATTTGATGAGCATCCCCTCAATTCCTTCATCCAAGTCATTTATAAAGACGTTAAACAATAATGGGCCCAGGACAGAACAGTGTGGCACCCCACTTGTCACTTTTTCCCCAGTTGACAAGGAACCATTAATGAGTACTCTTTGGGTTGAGTCAGCCAGCTACAAATCCACCTCGTTCAACCCACATTTTACCAGTTTCCTCACAAGAATATCATAACATGTACTTCACTGTCTACACAGTGTGAACCACTCTGTATAGTCACACACTCCTGCATAAGTATTCTGTAGTAAGAACTGTAGTAAGAAGAAAAAGAACCCCTACAACTGACAGCTGTTCAACATGAATAAAACATGTATAATAAATAAATAGTCATGTTAGGTGACTTTGAACATTTATTAACATGAGAAGTGTTCTATAGTATCTCCAGCTGGTCATTGTAGCAGCAAAGTTGGGAGCAGTTTATGGAGAGAAGTGTTGGTCTGGCAATGTGGGCATACCTTCTGCTGCATAGGATCATAGTACAGTATTTAGTGCTTCTTTTGTGCCTTTTTAGCTTTTCAAATACCAGTGTGGCAAAGCATCCAGAAAATGGAGAGCTGGAGAATGAAATTATGGTATAAGGAAGAAAAATACAGATACAATAAGAATGTTCTGATTAGAATTGAATACCCACATACTTAATTGTATTTAAATATCAGTGACCCATAAGCAGTATGTCTTCCTTTATTTATTAGAGATGCAGAATAGAGTACTGGGCTCAATTTGTGTTGAAATTAGAAGAAACTTCATTGAAATAGCTTGTATGTTTAGGATTTATCCCTTTATATTTGTTGCAAAACAGCATGGCATGTGGAAAGTCCTAGCAAGATGAGGACTGAATAGAACAGATATCTGTGGAGTATTACAGAAGGTTATAGGAACATTTTAAGACGTAGATATCAAATGAACACAGCATAGGGAGGTCAATTTATTCCATTTAGAGAGGCTGAAGCAGGGTTGCAGTCAAGCAGTGAACTGCCTGGAAGGTAGGTGGGCAAGAAATTTGGAAGACTCAGAGGGGAAAAAGCAGGGAAGTGAGAAAGTATTTGCAAGCTGACAAGCAGAGGCAACTAGAGGTAGACTACAGCCAAATGGAAATAAGACCAACATCTGGCTGTTGATCAGGCCTGATCTGGAAGTATTTAAGGCAAGTCAGAGAAACAATGGATTGTCTGGGTAGTGAAGCATTCAGAGAGAATGCTCTTGTCAGCCTTAGCACAAGGGGCACAATTGATCTAATCAGTAAGCTTCCAGCTTGAGACTTACAGTACTGAAAATAAGGCACCTCTCCAGATATATGTGGCTTGATAAAGAGCAGTGGGTTTAGGTCGTTGTAATAGTGTCAGCATCTACATGGTTGGAATGTGTAAAGGACAGGGGTCTACCATTTTTGGTTGGCGTTGCTCACCAAGCCAAATAAGTCTAGCTACTAGACACACACCACCCAATCAAGCCTCCAGCCCTCTTCTCTCTGGACAATAATCCAACAGGTATTTTTCAAAGAAAAGACCAGTAGGAAGTGTACCAGGTTTGGCACTGCTGGTTTGAAAACACTCTGAGTGCCTTCAGAAAATAGCATCCAGCCCTCCCCAGTGCATTCCATTCCTGTTCCAAAGCAGGAAGAACCAGTATGGGGGTTGTTGGTTTGGCCCTGTGTGGCCAAGGCTCATCAGACATTTTGGCAATGCAGCTGCTAATTTCCATCATTCCTTACAATTTTGGAGGTGGCAGACATAACCACATACTTGTCTGGATGACCTCCACTCACCTCTAAAGCTTCAAAGTTGGGAAGAAAGCTTTGTTGGGAAGTTGAGGAGTGAAAATAAAAGGATAGGTGAGAAACCTAGAGGTAGAATTTAATTTCATTGATAAGTAAGATGAAAATTAAACCAAGTTCCTAGACAGAGTTAAAGTAAGCTGTTGAGTCATCACTTGCTCTTTCAACTTCCTAATGAGGCTGATTTTATCACCAGATGATGGACCCTGCCATTAATGTATTGCATCTTGGTTTAGACAATTTATTCAAACATCTTTCACTAACATGGAAATAAACTCTGTCCTACTGAAATCTCAATTGTGGCTTACATGCAAATACAGTACATGGTTTCATTTTTCTACTGTAATCTCTAAGCAACATTCCAGCAAGAATATTATTCTTGCTGAGCCATTTGAGGTAAGCTAACACATTTGCTGTTTGACCAGCAGTACAATTGTCCTCCATGGGCTTCGTATACCAGCTGTACCACTACAAATGATTGTGTTGAGTGGTGCTTTGTTTAAAAGAGGGAAAACAAATGTGATGTTAATATACAATTTCCAGAGTTGGCCACATATGGGGGTTGGAGAGGGGACTGGCAAGGAAGTGCATGGATGGATAAGATGTAGACAGGATAAGATGGATAAGATGTGGTGAGACAAGAATTTTAAGAGGTGGGAATAAAGTGGAATCAGGGGTTTTCATAGATGGAATAGCATGCAAAACAAAGTATTTACAGATTTTGTTTAAAATATTTTTCAGAATATGTATTGTAAAAGTTCAACGTAGATAGGAGTGAAGTTGTGAAAACCCTAAAGAATAGTATTTGTTAAAAGTGTAATAAATAATCCCCTTTAAAAGGTCTTATAACACATAGTAACCTATAGTAAGGTCTACCATTTGTTAACACATTATTTCTTATTGCTACTGAGGACACCGTTTAGTGGAAATGTCTCTGGCACAAATGCCATTGCAACTATATGAATGGTTGCATGCTACATCCAGGGTTGCTTGCATAAATGTTCCCAGTGAATTGCTCATATATATAAGCCCAGTGTAGTCAGAATTGTAACCTGTATTGTGGAACCTTGAAATTAGTTCATTAATGTATAAGAAATTTATAAGCTTCGTTAAAATGATCATGATAGATATTTGCCTTAAATAGATTTATTTAGTATGGCCTTCAAAAAAACTTCAGTGAGAAGATGATGTGTTCTATATATGTTTCACATGGTGTGATTTAATCACTTGTTTCCATCTTAAAAGCAACAATTATAGTTGTAAATAGCTTTTTCTAAAGCATAGCATAAATACTATAGGAGTTAATGACATTTCAAAATAACAGCTGCTTTTAAAAATAACATTAAGTACTGGTGTGTGTGCATTTTTAGCATTCACTTGATTTTGGTAGGTAGTGTAGTTGAACAGCTGCAGATTGTGTATTTTCATCACAAGCTGTGGCAGTTGGAAAGTTATTCTACTTCTGCCTATCCAACAAAGGTAGTTTGATGCTTGAGCAGCTAGATCAAGGTCACTTAGTTTCAACTACACACAGTACAGATTCCCCCCCCCTTCTGTCTATAACAATATAGTAAGTCACTGAAAGGAAAGGCACCTACAGGATTATTTTGTATGTTCTCACAAATTTTCAATTTATTCTTTTATGTAATTGTGCTTAGTAATAATTCTCTACATAGACACTCACATATTCAGACTATGATTAATACAAATGAGCTGTCAATGGTGCAGTGCTTGTTTGTAATACACAAGAGATCTGAAGCAAAATGTTGTAGCTTTGCGAGTTCTGTTCACTGTTACTATCACTCATCCATGCTCCAATGCATGATAACACAACTCAATTCCTGTCTCCTCTGGTTTTCTACCCTTCCCTTCAACTATCAGTCAGTATTTATTGGCCATTGAGTAAGCGTAGTTCTCATTGGATTATTTTGTGTTCCCCTCTTGGTTTCTATCTCCTAAGCATTTTTGTACTTCTGAGCAACTTGGGCTCTCCCAAGCCCACTAATATATCAATGTTATGTGTGGATTATGCTGTTTTTGGCTATTAGTGCTCACAGCCTGGACTTCAAAAACATAGGGAATGGTAGAATGATTATTTACTGAGATGTGCTTACTGTGTTGAATCTTAGTAGCCTGCTTGAGATCTTGACCAGCTTCTTTCTAGAAGCTTTACCATAAATCCTTAACTAATGGCTTTCACAATGCTGCTTGATTCAATAATGACCATCTATGTTCTAGAAGATTTCGAGGCAAGATTTTGGCCCAAATCTTGCAGTTACCACGACTAAATATTCAACTGTTGTAACTCTTTTTCAGGTCAATTGCAACAGTCAGTGTACTTGATTCATATATTTATCATTCCTTATATTTCTGATTAAAGTTGTCTTGTGATTGTGGCACTGCCCAAGCATGTTAGGGGACGGGGGGGGGCCCCTCAGCTGATGAAGCATTTCAGCCTCAGTGATGACAAGTCAAGACAAGTGAGATAGGCAACTATGTAAGGACAGATGACATCCACCCAAGAGTTCTTAAAGAACTCAAATATGAACTTGTTTATGAGCTATACTTTTGTTAGAAGATATCCAACTGTGTTGCTCAGCTGATAGCAAAACATCTATCAGAAGAATGGAGAGAAAAACAATTTTCAGTGAACCCCACTCCTCCCTGCAGCTCCCAAGTTCCTCCAAAATTGCTCTGGAGGGGTCGGCTTGAGCAAATTTAAGGGGAATATGGAGGGGAATTGTGAAAAAAACAATTCTCTCCATTCTTCTGACAGAAGCCTTGCTGTCAGCTGATCAACACTATTGGATATAACCCAGTGTAATTTGTCTGTAAGATCAGCCTCTATACTTGAGGACTGGAAAGAGGCCAATGCAACTTTAAAAGAGGGAGGCAGGATCCAGGAGTGATCTGAGAAATGGCAATCTGGTTAGTTTAACATCTATTCCTGGAAATTACTGAGCAAGTCTTGAGGAACAAGTTTTGCTGATGAAGAATCAGTGTGATTTGTATAAGGATTAGTCTTGTGGTTAAAATAAAAAGGGATTTTGAGGAATCCAAAATGAAATCTCCAAACTGAGTAAATGGGCATTAGATGTGATTAAATGTAAGAAAATGTAAAGTGATGCACACTGGAACAAAAAGCCTAACTTCACAGATATGTGACTTTGCAGTGGTTTGAGCAGTAAAGTGATCTTGGAGTTGTAGTGGATAACTCAATGAAGATGTCAACTTAACTATAGAAATGTGAATTTCATGTTAGTGATAATTAGGAAAAGGATTGAAAAGAAAACAATTAGTATCATAATGCCATTATACAAATCTGTCATGAAATCACACTTGGAATACTGTGTTCAGTTCTGGTCTTCATACCTCAAAAAAAGACGTAGAGTTGGAGAAGGTTCAGATTAAGGCAGCCAAAATGATCAAGGGATTGGAACAACTCTCCTATAAGGAAAGATTACAACATTTGGACATGACAGAGTTGTAGGAAAAAGTGGATGGACAGAAGTCGCCATCCCTTCACAATACTAGAGTGGGGGCCATCCAATGAAGCTGCATGTTGGAAGATTTATGACAGATGAAAAAAAGTACTTAATTCAGTTAAACTGGAAATTGTTCCCACAAGATGTAGTGATTTCCACTAAACTACTCACCTTTAAAAGAAAAGTTCATGGAGAATAAGGCTATTAGTTGCCTCCTCCAGTATTGGAGGCAATATGGCCCTGAATGTCAGTTGCTGGAAAGCACAAGTGGGGGGAGTGTGATGTTGTATTCATGTCCTGCCTAGGGGAGAATAGTGAATCAAGGCCATCACAAACAGAGAACAGATGGACCACAGGCAGAAGAAAGAAGTTCATATAGAACAGATAACAGCTGCACACTACAGGTCAGGTTATACATATTGTGAAATTAAGGAACTGAAATACATTGTAGAAAGCGAGAGATGAGAGAGGACAAGCCAAGTATTTGAGTGAATCCATGTTAAAGAATTCTTAAACATGAGCCACTATGGCAGAACTCCTCATGTGTATGCTTTACGGTGTTCCCGTCACTGTTAAATGCAGCTTGCCACAGTGTCCATGGTTCTCAGGTGTGCAGCAGACCTTTCTGCATACCCAGTTCCTGCTCTGAACTCAGCCTTGGTATGCATCTATTGACTTTATTCAGTTCCTGAGCTGTTGGCTGACTGACCATTTAAAGATGCTTTGGATTATAAGGGACATGACAAAGTTAAGAATCCTTGTAAATCCTTACAGTTGTTTGTCCTCACTATGGTAAGAATAGTTTGAGGGCTAATGGGAAGCAAGGAAATGCTCGATTTAGATGTGTTATCAGCACTAGATGTGACTCGGGCCGCCACATTAAATTGGAGTGAGAGCATGAAAGGCTGCTTTTTATATTAATATGAGTTCAAACAGGGAAGGGTACCTTGTCTTTCCTCTCGCCCTCCCCCACCATACTTTGTTTCTTCAGGCATTTGTCGGCCTGGCCTAGAAGGTCTTCTTGAAGCAATGGAAAGTGGAGAGGTAAAGTGAGGGAGGCTTAGGTTCCCTCATCTGCATAATACAAATAATAAATTATTATTATTATTATTATACTGCAGTATATTTTGTATTATTTTGTCCCTCTTGCGAATGAAATAAGTGAAGTTTTTAATGGATGGGTTAAATATCGCCCCCCCCCCCCAGTGCAGCATTCTGTGTCCTCAAATACATTGCCATTAATCAGCATGCTTCTTCTGAAACAAGACATCAAACGTAGCAGTACCTGCTACTGTAATACCTGCTTCATGTACACATCAGTATGATAGGAAATGAAACACTTTCTGCTCTTGCTGCCAGTTGTGTTTCCTGTATGTAAACAAAAGCAATCAGTTAGCAGAATGGGAAATTGTTTATTTGCAGGATGCTTGCTGTATGAACGGAAGGAAATGTTCTTTTACAGAGATCAGCTCATTGTGTTGAGGCTACATTGCTGGCAAAATTGATTTTAGAATAGTTTGGGGAAATTAGCTGCAAAATAGGTGCATCTATTTTGAGTCCTAAAAACTTCTTAACTCTTTACATTAGTGGTTGAAGTTGAAGCTTATAGATCGCATAACCATCCCTATTCATAGTTTATGAACAGGGGATTTACACAGTTAAATGAATGTAATTTTAAACAGGAAGTTTGCTGTTTGTGCACTGCCTTTTTAAAACTTTGAAGCAAAGATGTACAGCAATTTTGAATACAATCTGAACAAATTAGCTAGGAAATATGTAGCCTGATAGTCTGTAGTTTAAAATTTTGGAGGATGCGTGATAACAGGACTCCAGTAAATCTCTGCACCCACCCTGCCTTGAAGTGAAATAAAGGTTGTTTCCCCACTAGAACACTTTACTGCAACTGAGACCTTGCTTTTCATTGGCTGAAGGCTTCACACAGGACTTAATAGCCCACCATTACCTTTCCACGTAGCTATTTGCTTAGAATTAAGTCTATTCAAGGCAGGGTACTACAATATAAACATAAAATTGCAATAATGTAACATGATGTTTCAAACATTAAATTGCAGAAACAAACAAGCAAGAATACAGTAAAATATAATTCAGCAGTACAGAATAGTTTCCAAAGCCACAGCAATAAAAAGTATATACAATAAAATAACATGTGTTAAAAACCACATGAAACAGGTGTTTGTCTTTTTGAACACAGCACATCCCTTGAGAGGGAGATCCATAAAGTGGAGACCACTGTACTTTGAAGTCTCTGTCTGTGAATCCCACCAATTTGACAGATCTTAAAAGTGAACCAGTGAGCAGTCCCTATATTCAGCAAAGGTCTCTCAACACTAAGGATCCTTCCTTGCAAGTTTTGCCCCTTTATTGTTTTGTCATGAGCATGATAGTTCTTTTTAGAAAGCTGCTTCTTAACAGATCTATAGCCCCACCTGCACTATACATTTAAAACAGTATCGTGCCACTTTAAACAGTTATGGCATCCCCCAAAGAATCCTGGGAAAAGTCATTTGTTAAGGGTGCTGAGAGTTGTTAGGAGACCTCTGTTTCCATAAGCAACTGCAATTCTTTGAATCACTCTTCCCAGGGAACTCTAGGAATTGCTAGGTGTTATAATGGCTCATAATTTTGTATGTTTACAGATCTAGATTTGTCTTGTCAGGTTGGCAGGGAAGGATTTCTCTTATTTTGTGCATTCTTAGAAATGGATTCTCATTCGTGGATTTAATTTTAAAATGTATTCTCCCTTGCTGTTCCTTTATCAGCATACATTTATTTAGAATTTCTGAAGTTCTAGTGGGCTAGTTTAGATGTGTTTCCAAACATTTGATTCTGTGAAGCAGATAAGTTGATGTCATGGTCTACTACTCTACCCCTTCATCTTTTGTGTTCTAATTATTAGATTGTACTCCAGTAGTTTTGTCTGGGGAGGGTGTTGTAGTACAGGTTATTCAGCAACTGTGTGCTTCCCAGTTAAGTCTTAGGTGCAATCATTTTATTTTACTTTATATTTAGCTGGATATTCTTGGGTCTGTAGTATGTACTGATATAATCTTATATGTAGTGAATGTATGTTACACAGTATCAATTCATTATGTAATATTCATTGTACTTTTATTCTCTGTCTGTAAAATAATTTTAATCACTAAGATAATTTAATGTAATAGTGTTTCCGAAAGAAGAAGAAACCTTTTTGTTACATAATATAAACGGAAACCCATTAAGTTGAAGACTATAATTTTAATTTGCTTCTACCTGTATACTCCCAAATCTTTCTATTCCAGATAGCCATTAAAAGAGCTATGTAACTAAAAAAAAATAGTGAGCATGCCACACATAATGCTAAGCCAAAACATGATTTAGCACAAACAACTAAATGTGCATATTTCCAGGCCAAAGGTTGCAGCTGTATTGCTCCTGCCTTAGTTCTGCTGCCACCATGTCACCTGGGTCTAAGCCATGGTTTGCCTTAGCAATTGTGTCTGAAGGCCATTTGGTATTCTTTCAAGCTGAGCAAGGTTTTGAATCTAGTAGCTTCCTCTGCTACTGACGCCAGAAGACTATGTACATTACAAAACTTCTTAGCTGCAGGTAGTTGTATATGTATACTTTTGTAGTACATAATGCTTCTGAAATGTTGGAGAAGACTAGCAATAAGTCTTTTTTAGACATTTTCATAGGAAATGGACTGGGATTTAAAAATCAAAAGTTTGTATTCTCCTTTCCTGAATCATATATGGTGCAACTGTCCCATTTTATGTGAGACATCCTGGATTGACGCCTTCTGATCCCAATCCTGGATGTCCCATTCTGGCTTCTGTGCTCTGGCCCTGCCAGAACATGGGACCAAAAGATGGATGTTTTTTCATCTCTCCCTGTGGTGTGACTCAGTTGGCTCACACCAGAGCGTAGGACCAAAAAACAGAAGCAAAGCCTACCTTGCCCCTGTGCATCACCACTCTTTTTTCTCCTTCCGTTGTGGGACTTCTGGAAACTGGCTTCAGGAAGCACATCTGCGGAGGAGCTGGAGGCTGCAGTGACTTCTCCCAAGGCCATGCCAGCCACAGAGGAGGCAAAGACCGTGGAGGAGGAAGCCACAGAGGTGGCAGGCAGCGGCAAACGAGTGGGTGGGGAACTGAATCTTGCCTGATCAGTCCAAACTATCACTGCTTTGTTAAATTGACTGGGCCAACACATTATCTCTGCATAAAATATTATATCATCATTATACCTCGTGCTGAAATCATGCAGAAAATACACTACTAAGAAAAGACAGCATACAGTCTAGTTTCATTCTTAAATAACATTAGTTACAGAATGAGAAGCAAAGGATGTGGCTACAAATAACTGTAGTCAACTGAAGTCCCTGCAGTGTCAGCCTTCTTTACAGTATTTGGAAAATCATGGTTAAGCTCTCTTGTCACTAGCCACATACTGTAGCTTGAGCAGTCGTGTTAAGCCAAGGTTTGGTTTAGTGTGATGTGCAAACCTGGTTTGTGTGAAATATAAGTGATTGGATATTTCTTTAAAGTTTGTTCTGTTGTATCCCACCCTTATGCTACTACTAAAAGATTATTGTGGGGCTCTCTAAAATGTGCATTTTGAACTACAAATAGCTGAATATACAAAGTTGCCTCAGGGCTACTAAACTCATGAAATGGCAGCTTGTCACAGCTAGAAGGGCCAATATTGCGGTACCCTGATATGGAAGATAATTGTTTATACCTTTTTATAATTTTGAATGTGTCATATTGGGACATAAATCAGTCCAAACAGATTTCTTCTTTGTTTAAATTGATTTCTTATGTATAGGAGATGGTTCTGATTCTGGTGGTGTTTTAGAGTAAGGCTCTGCATTTTGAATAGATGTGTTAATTGATTTCTTCTTCCCTTTTGGTTGACAGGTATGTGGAGTAAAAGTGAATTGCTATCAACTTGATCTTGATCCGAAGTTATAAAATGCAGACCCAGAAATGAGTCCTACTGAACTACCTTCTGGAATGACAACCTGAAAGATCTTTTGATACGCACAGACACTGTAACTCTTTCTTACCTCACTTCATAAATAATGGAAATGGCAGGCCAACAGCACTGCTCTTGAATATAAGGCTTTGCATTCCCTTCCCATTGCTTGGATATGAGTGATCACACATCACAGGAAGAAAAACACAAATCCAGCAGAACTTCCTTAAAGTTTAAGGAATCAGCAAGAATTATGCAGTCTGATGACTATTTTGCAAGAAAATTTAAGGCTCTAAATGGTAATATGGGCCCTCCTTCTTCTTTAAGCGCAACCAACAAAGGTGAAAGCAGCAACCCAGCCAATGGTACCCCAGCTATGCCTAAGATGGGTGTCCGAGCCAGAGTATCTGAATGGCCTCCTAAGAAAGATTGTACCAAGGAATTAAGCAAAGCTACATGGGAAAGTAGACCTCAAGTTAGTTATGACGGTGCTGGGTCAGCAAATGGTGACCAGAATGAGGGGCAGCAAAAAGAACCCCTTGATATAGAATTTGCAGAGGCAAAGTATGCATTAGGAGACATTTTTCTCCATTCACCACACAGGGGGCTTCACCCTATAAGACAAAGAAGCAACAGTGATGTTACAATCAGTGACATTGACACAGAGGATGTACTAGACCAGAATGCTGTTAATCCAAATACAGGAGCATCTCTCCATAGGGAATATGGAAGCACTTCATCAATTGACAGACAGGGTTTATCTGGTGAGAATTTTTTTGCAATGCTTCGAGGCTACAGGGTGGAAAACTTTGAGCATAAAACACACATGCCATTTGGATTTCCTGAATTTTTTCACTGCGATCCGACAATTTCTCCAAGTCTGCATGCTGCAGCACAGATTTCCAGAGGAGAATTTGTAAGAATTTCTGGACTTGACTACATGGATAGTGCCCTGCTAATTGGCAGAGACCGGGACAAATCTTTCAAATGGAGATTGAAGTCAGAATCTGTAGAAACGTCACTCTTTAGAAAATTGCGGACTGCTAAAAGTGAACATGAAACTCTTAAATTCTCATCTGAACTAGAAGAAAGTAGACTTGATAAAAATGTTCATCCTTGGAATTGTCAGAAGTGTTTTGCACATTATGATGTCCAGAGCATTCTGTTTAACATTAATGAAGCAATGGTTACCAGAATTAATGTGGGGAAAAGAAAAAATATAACCACTGGGGCATCTGCTGCATCACAAACTTCAACAGTAGCCGGACAGCTTGGAAGCTGTGAATCTCCTATGGGGAGTAAAGAGGATCTCAATTCAAAAGAGAACTTAGATGCTGATGAAGGTGATGGGAAAAGTAATGACCTAGTACTGAACTGTCCTTATTTCAGGAATGAAACTGGTGGGGAAGGTGATAGGCGGATTGCGCTCTCTAGGGCAAACTCAGCTTCTTTTTGTGCAGGAGATAGTTGTTCTTTTGAGTCTTCGCTAAGTTCACATTGCACAAATGCCGGTGTTTCGGTGCTGGAAGTACCCAGGGAGAATCAACCAATCCACAGGGAGAAAGTGAAACGTTATATCATCGAGCACATTGATCTTGGTGCATATTACTATAGAAAGTTTTTCTATGGAAAAGGTAAGCAATTTTTTCTGAAATCTCTTACTCCCAAAGGTTTCAAAACATTTGCTGAACTTGTGGGTAGTGTTGTGAGATGTGAAAATATCTGATGTAAAATGAAGCTCTCCTTTTTTAATATGTGTCTTAGAGGGCATCATTGTGGCCCTCCTTAAAGTATTGAAAGCCCCAACCTACTTATTTAATATTAATGATTTACTATTGGGGTTGTGTTTCTCTGACTTTGGTGTCATGTTCTTACATATGCTTTGACATCTTTAATGAAAACAATAATCTGGTCTCCTATTCTGAACGACAAGATTAAAGGAGTTAGGAGTGTGAGAGTATCACACTGTCAGTGGTTGCAGCAAGTACAAAAAACAAGTACAAAAAACTGTCTTCCATCAAAATGCCATAAGTGATATGCTCTTATTCTCTAACTAGTATTTTATACAAATAAACCAGCTAATTTCATAAGCGCCTAATACATGTGAGGGTGATGTGATGAGTTTTAAACTCCATACTTAGTGCAAACAAGGGTTTAATATCGCTACAGATACGTTTAAAAATACTCAAAATGCCGCATTTTAACTTTAAAAGTGCATAAAGTGTGATTAACCCATGGTCTGAATCTTGCCTGCCAAGGCACAGGAAGTAGTTCCAGCACCTCCAACTTTATCTCTCAATCTGATCAGGAGATAGAGCTCTATCTACTCTTTAAAGAACTAACTTCTCTAAAGATCTTTTCTAAAGGGCAGGGAGAGAGATTTTATCTTCAGTCTTGGTGCTAAGCAGCAGAACACTCAAGATCAGAGAAAGAGTCTGGTACCTGCTCTTTAAGAATAAATGGCAGCATTTCCACCTAGCCAGCATTTGAGTGGAGAGGGTTAAAATGTGTGCGCGTGCATATCTGTCCCTGTGCATTTGGTGTGTGAACATGTTTGTGGGCTGTGTGCCCACATATCTAAGGAATGTGTGTGCGGGGGCAGGGAAGGTCTGAGTGTTCTGTATGTGTAGTGTTTTTCTAGGAGTGTGTGTGCACATTGACATGCATTGGCCATGTCAACCACTGGCATGTGGCCCTTGGAGGAATTGCTTTTGGGTAAAAAAAGCATTAAACCATATTTGTTATAAAGCGTTAAATGCATTTGACCATCTTCCATCTAGTTTTGGTACAATGAGTGTATTCCCCTGAGTGTATTCTTGTTTTTAAGAGTCATTCAGTAGTATGTTGTGCATGTGCATACACATGCTGTTTCTTTGTTTCTGAGGATATTTATAAAAATATTCAAACTATTTTCTCAAAGTTTAGGGTTCTTACCAGTTTCCTATTTACGAAAGCTACAATGCAGAATTGTAATTGTCTAAAATATGTGCTAGGGGCTGCTGCTTTGAGAATTGGACAAAATCTGGGTTTTAAAACAAAGTGTGATAAAATTTAGGTATATAATAAATACCTGCCTCTACTTAGCTTTAAGTGGAAGCAGATATTTTTATTTATTATTAAATGTTTGTATGGTATGTATGGACTATGAAATAACTTTTAATGTTGATTCTTATTCAAGGTATGTGGTGTTAGGTGAAATACATTAAGAACATACTCCTTCTTCCTATGTGATGGACAACAGCATGTAGACAGAAACCCCATGGGAGATTGAACTCTTCCGGGGTGATCTGGAGAGAGGCTTATACAATGCTATAAGCCTCTCACAGAAAACTGAAGCTCTCTTGAACCTTGAAGGCCCAAGCCAGCCCATTGGAGACAGTCTCAGCATGGATGTTGAAGTCTTCCAACACTGCTGTAAAAGGGTTCTCCAACACCACACACCATCAGCTCAGAAAGGGAGGTAGTACAGCCAGGTAGACAGTACACGAAAAGCACAGGAGGATTTGGAAATAGCTGAAGGAATAACAGCAGGATTATTTAATGTTTTCTAGAAGTAAGTCCCATTGAGTTCAATGGCATTTACTCACAGCCTAAGAGAATTTGAGCTGTGTGAACTCTGAAGGACAAAAGGAATGCACCAGAAAATGATATATCAGTTAGGACTCATCAAAGGAGGACAAGTTCGAGAAAGGTACTCAAGCAAGACTGTAAAGTAACTAGTAAATAATTTTTATTAGTTTTAGCCATCTTTGCCCCATGCTTCAAGTAGGTTTCCATGACAGCTCGCAAAATTTCAAAATAAAATCTTTAATTAAAATGTGCAATCATAAGCTAAAAGCAACAATTCAAATTGGAAAATATAAAACATTAAGGAGAGGAAAACATTTAAAATTCAAAAAATGGAAAAGTAAGGTTCTGTGAATACCAGCGGCGTAGCGTGGGTTGTCAGCACCCGGGGCAAGGCAAGTAATTTGCGCCCCCTAACCCCTAACCTGCCGCCGCTGCCAGCTTCTTCTTGCTGCTGCCTGGTCTGGTCTGGTGTGGTTCTCTCCCGCGCTCAGCGCTGCGCTGGGCGGCCACTGCACTGTCCCCCCCCAGATAGTCCCTCGCTCTCTCTCCGCACCGCACGCCTGGCACCCACCCCTCCACAGTGGGCGGCGACCCAGCGGCTCGGATCGGATTTGCACAGCCAGCACTGCAGTGAGAGAGAGTGAGTGAGCCAGGTAGGGGCAGAGAGCTGCGAGTGCAAGCGCGCCCCCCCCCCCGATGTTGCGCCCGGTGCGGCCGGGCCCCCCTGCACCCCCCACGCTACGCCACTGGTGAATACTCTTGAAGTACCGGTAAGTTCAAAGAAGAAATGGGAATGAAATTTCCCACTCCTACTGCCAGTGAAGGCAAAGCTAGAAGAAATGGGAATGAAATTTCCCACTCCTACTGCCAGTGAAGGCAAAGCTAGAAGGATAATATATTCAGATTATTTTTATCACTTTTTAAAAGAGGCATGTTATTAAACAAATAATTGCTTGATTTGGGGACTTGCATGTGTATAAATAGTCAGATTTGGCAAAAAGAAAATTCTGTCTGTCCACCTTCCAAAAATGTGGAAATTCTTTATATTAGATCCATTGCGACTTAAATATTCTTTTTTTTTAAAAAAATGTGTTGGAATATAATCTGTGTAAGCTAAAACCTACTATCTTAATAGAAACTATGTATATAGACTTGTCAGTTATGAAAATGTTTAAAGCACATTTGACTAGCCTATGAAGATAGTCACAATGACATTTACTGCACTGTCAGTTTAACTATCCTCTTAAGAACTGTGCTCATCCATGTATGTCATCTCTTACTTCCATATAAGTGAATAGCAGCTATTCACTTTGTGTAATAAAAAAATAAAGTGGGCAAAACCTGCAGACAGTGGGTATCCCAACTTCTACCATGAGGAATCTAATAGGGGAAGCAATATTCAACCCCACTCCTCTGAACAGCTTCTTCTCCCCTTCTCTTTAGTCCTTTCCCAGGAATATATTTAGGAGGCTCTAGGCAATGTAGAGCTCCCATTCTGCCTGCACTTCTCCTTAACATGTAGGGTTTGAGGGGACTGGGAGGATTTGCATCCCTTGTTCTGTCTCACCCAAAAGTCTCAGTGTCCTCCCTCAGTCATTCAATCAGAGTAGGAAAAATAGGTTGCAGGAAGGATTAGAACTCAACATCTCCTACCCTTCTCATCAAACTTAAAAGGATGTTAGCTAGTTTTGAATGCGCATAGGTTTTGACCATATTTTGTGGAGGCTTGGAAGATGCAAATAAGAATTCTGTTTAGCCTGAAGGCTAGATGCTACTCAGGCTCACCTTATTAATGGCATTACTATGATGATAACTAAGCCTTGGTTTCAAAGAGCTAAGAAGGTTGATGCAAGGGGCTTGCCGTAGTCCAGTGGAATGTTTCACTTCTTTCTCCTTTGAATGCCATATCAGTACAGTGGTACCTCAGATTACATACGCTTCAGATTACATGGGCTTCAGGTTACAGACTCCGCTAACCCAGAAATAGTACCTCGGGTTAAGAACTTTGCTTCAGGATGAGAACAGAAATCGTGCTCCGGCAGCAGTGGGAGGCCCCATTAGCTAAAGTGGTGCTTCAGGTTAAGAACAGTTTCAGGTTAAGAACGGACCTCCAGAACGAATTAAGTAGAGGTACCACTGTACAGTTCTTGGCACTGTCTCAGTTTTAAAGGCAAGGTGCATGTATGACTTATTTGACTCCTATTCAAGAAAAACAGACAGTCCCCTTCATCAAATTTGTGGTGCGTTTTGCTGAGTTGTATATATACCTGCAGCTCAGGGAAACACTTCATGCATCTGATGAAGAAGACTATAGTCCACAAAAGCTTATGCCATAATACATTTTTTAGTCTTTCAAGTGCCGTAGGGTGCTGAATAAAAATTTGTTACTAAAACACTTGCGTCTAAAAATATCAATATCAAAGGAACATTAGATAGCAATAAAATGTCTTTTGACACAGAATATTTTAAAGAATCTGGCAGAGCAATCAAACCCCCACTTTGCATCAGATAGGGGTGGGTGGATAGGACTGGGCAGAAGTGTTCCTTCACCAGCTTTGTCATCCTTCCAATGGCCAGTGCCTGGAGAGAGACACCAGCATCATTCTGCTGTTGTGGTGCTCCCCCTTTTTGTCCTCTAAATGTCTGAGTGGGGCGTTGGCTCTAAGCTCTTCCCCAGCTCCAGGTTGCCCCACCGCACCAAACTTCTGCTGCTGGGGAAGAAGGGAAGTTTGGATTCCTTTCTAAATAAATATTGCAAACACAATCCAGCCAGAGTCAAGGACATTTAAATACCACTGACTTCAATGAGGATATTAATGATGTGCTTGATTTTCTTCCTTACTCTGTGTCCACGGCCATAGGCAGTATGCTTCTGAATACCAGTTGCTGGAAACTGCAGGGGGCAGGGCAGAGTTCTGTTGTGCTCAGCTCTTGTTTTCAGGCTATCAATGGGTACCTCGTTGACCACTGTGAGAACTCAGGGTAACTCACCTGCCAATCACATGTCAGTATTATGACATCAGAAGACTGATGGGTGGATTGTCCCACCTACCTGTCCGAATCCCTTGCCTGGTGTTCCCAAGCTTGGGAACTACAGTGCAAGCTGTGTTGCCAGCTCTCTGCTTTGCAAGCCTCTCTTTGCTGCATCTTTCCACCCCGATGTGTGAGGTGGAAAGGAACAGCTTCAAAGAGCAGTGCTGGTAGCGAGAGTTGGCTTTCATTGGATGGAAACTGCTTTTTCCTCTTTGAGCAAGGCACACTCCTCCTTACCATCACATGCTAGATGATTGGGAGCATGCCTTGCTCCAGCAATGGAACTGTCAGGAGCTAGTGGGCCAGATGGGGAAATTTTAATTATTAATCTTAATTATAATTAATTATTAATCTTAATTATAGTTTGGCACACAGTTTGGAAGTTCCCTACCCTCCACCTTAAATCAATAGGGTTTAAATATGCTTAACTTAGGTTGGATTGTACTTTGTGTGTGCATTTAGAAATGTGAGTTTTCCTGCAAAAGAGAGTTAATTTACTTCTAATATAGTTGAAATTACAGTTGCCTCATTTGGAAGGTGGGGAAATCTTGTTTTAAGAGAACCTGATCTGTGGATTGCCATAATTTCATGTGTGCCAAAATATACAAGACTAATTTCTAACGAAGTATTGCTCTGGCATCCCATATGCTGCAGAATGGGTCATAAACTAGTGTGTATGAAAAAATATTTTAGTTATTTGCATTTTTTTTAATGGCTGACAGTTTTCAGCTACAATACAGATCTATGCTGAACAGATGTCCTAACTTGCAATACACTTACTATGTTTTTAGGTTCGTTGTCCTGCCTGCACATAAGACATAATAAAAGTGTAAACAAATAGGTCTGAGGGACTTTCCAATCTCAACCAGTAACATTTATCTGACAAACAAACAGGAATTTGTCAGTCTAATATTTCATTATTGTCTTCTCCTCTTTATGTACAACAGAGCATCAAAACTACTTTGGAACAGATGAAAATTTAGGACCAGTAGCAGTCAGCATCAGAAGGGAGAAGTTTGAAGATGCAAAAGAGAAAGAAGGTTCACAGTTCAACTACCGTGTAGTGTTCAGAACAAGTGAGGTAGGGTTTCTGCCAGGTGTGTTGATAGGTAGTTAAAGGACTTGGGACACAGTCCTATGGCACAAATTTGAATAAAATTAACATATGCTTATTTCTATGCATAGAAGCAAATTTAAATAGACTTTCAGAGGGGGGAAATAAATGCTGGGGTTGCTGACAGGGCTTATTCTGAGCTATGGGGTACCATGAGGATTTTCTGGGCAATGTATACTGTATTATGCCCTCTGTCCTATCTGTAATATATTGGTAAGAGCAGGTGTTTGCTTGTATTTTTTCTCCTGTTCTGCCTCCCTTCAGTAATAGAGCCCAAGGTAGCATAAATGTGGTTTCCAAGCAATTTTCCACTGAGGCACTAACCAGCTTAGTTTCAGCAAATTAATGGCCAGACCATACCTTGGGACTTATGTGCGCAAACAACAACTTATCTCTGTTTCACACATACACATATGCTTACATGTCGTTTTAAAAACTCAGTGCCATCCACACATAATACCTGGCAACCCCAGATTAAAAGAATACCAGATGTGCAGGAAAATACTGGATGTACAAAGCAGATAACCTAGGAAAATTACGGTAGTCTATTTTAAAGATGGGAATATGATGCTAAAGCCTGGGACATAGCAGGTGCCCAGGAGTTTTTACTAGTGCTGTAGCCTGCCCTGCTGCCCTGCTGCCCTGTGAACAAAGTTTGCTTTAAAAAAAATAATTAAAAGAAGGGGAAAGGGTCAGAAGTCTGGGATCTAGTGCAAAGTCTGGGAACTAGTGCAAAATACTCTTACTTGGGCCCTGTGGATCACCCCTTGACAATGCCCCTGGTTTCCACACTGCTCCAGAAAGTACTGAAAGATATTCAAAGAGAAATAATAAATTCCCAGAGCTTTCATTCCATATATAAGAATAGATATCATGTGAGCTGACTTCTGCTCTGCTCACACAACTGAACTTCCCCTTCTCCCCCTCATACCTCATGAAATCTGCTCCAGAGGGTCCCCTATCCTCCAGAGCAGATTTGAGGGGTGCATGAGAGAAGAAGAGAAAGTGAAGTTCTGTTGAGAAGGCAGAATCCCATTTCTATTTCTGCTTGTGGACATGTAGGCACTTGCAAGGAGAAACAGGCAATTACTGGCAGCAATTCCCATAAGCTGCAGTGGCTGGAGAAAGTGCCACTGCGGTTAAAACAAAACCACAGAATCATAAATAATTATCTGTTTCCTTCCTGTTTAGCAGTTTGGTGTAAATTAGGTGTATACTACATCTTGGTTCAGCACACTAGATGGATGGGAGCTATGGGTGATTCCCCCTGTTTATTACTAAGAGTGAGTGATACATGCTTTTTGCTGCCTGACAGTCTGGTGATGTTACTCTGTTCTGATAGAGAGTAAACTTATTTTGCCCAGTCTAGATTGTAAGAAATATAATATCCCATGTAAGAAATATAGTCTTTAATTATTGTTATTAATTGATATACTGTTTAAGGTCCTGGTGACTTCTAAGTTGTTTGTAAGTTGTTTATAAAACTTAAAACCAATTGTACAACATTGATAAAGTACAGAATAATTAAAATATGTAATAAAACAATCACATTAAATCAGCACAGCAATTAAAACAAGAGAATCAGGTCAAGAAATCAAGATAATGCTTGTGTAAACAGATGCATCTTCAAAAGCTGGTGACATGCCAATACAGATTTCAGCAGAGAGTGCATTCCAGAATTCTGGTGCCACCAATGAAAAAGCTTGTCCCTGCATCACAAGCTAATCAACATTAGGCCATGTTCTTGTGTGCCCAGGTTTCAGAGTGATCTATGGAATTGGCAGGAGAAAGAGGGCTGCTGTGTTCCTGCTCCAGAGTAATTACATCTGAATATAGCCAGCAAAGAGTGAGATTAATTTGGGCAAATATACCCTAGTCTTTTATACAGCACCTGTCTCTTACAGAATTCTGGAGAAAGTTAACGTTCAGAATGACACAGATGAAACACAAACATTTTTCTAGGAAAAGAAGTAACATAACACACATACATATGTGTGTGAGAGAGAGATCTTGCCACTATAATCCAGCAACTCTACCAACCCACAATCTCTGTTTTTTCTTCCTATTTTATGTACTGTAACCCTGATTTCCATTATTATCTTGTTTCTGTTCATGGGGTTAACAGTGGGAAGTCCTTTGCGAAGTGCCACCTGTGAGGAAAGTCTATTCATGTTTCCAAATCTGTGTTCCACTGGGTTTGACCTCAAGTTATTGTGCCTTTCTGTACTCTTACCATTTGTGTTCAAATGCCTTTTCAATTTTGTACTTGCTATTGGTTTTATGTCATTCTGTATTTCATTTTCAAGTTGTCTGATACCTCTAAAAACATTGGTAAATGCCGTTAGAAAGTCCCACTAAATCAAAGGGATTTAGTCCTGTGTGTGTGTGTGTGTGTGTATAGTATTGCAGTAGTTTTACATTATTTTGTGGATGTGCTTATAGATAGATAGAATATGATGGCTCTTGTAGAATCAAAGCATATTGGAGCCTAGCAGTTCTTATGTCAGAAATTCGTTTTCCCTATTGAGGAATGAAGGAAATGGGTACACTTTTCAAAAATAAACAGATGGTGAGCCTGAGAGTGTAGAAGATAAGTATGGCTGCAGATGCTTGACAGAAGAGGATTATAAAAGTATAAGCAGGCTTGGGAAGAGAGTGGAAAGGAATAATGTTTTGAGAGGGGGAAGGGAGAAAGGGGATGTGACATAGAATTCCTCTTTAACAAAATACTTTAAATGTCTATTTTATTTCGTGTTGTTGGATGTTCTAGCTATTTCTTTTTTCAGTGTACTAACTATGTAAAGCACAGTAGGGTAATTTGTTGTAAAATAATGGCATGTTCAAGGTTTAAAAAACAATAGCATCTGAAGTCGTAGGGGGGATGCTAATTAAGCCTCAGGCACTTTCTTAGGCAGCTTTAACAAAACACATACGAAAATCTGGTTGTCCACCGTTAATTTCAGTTATAGGTAGTTTTTCAGTTCAGTTTTCCTACTCTTGTTAATTAATCATGGGAATGGCTGTGTATGACATTTGTGATAAATCTTTGTTAAAAGTTTCTCAGATCTTACATTGGCTAGCATACACAGAATTAAAGGATGCATTTTGCCATATAGTTTGCTGGTGCAGTTTATGAAGTTTATATAAAACCTTCTTGAGGGCTGGAAACTGAGCCCAAAGTGATGGTTTCATGCTAACCTCCAAGTGCTATTGCTGAAAATATACTGCTTGTGAACATGTTTCAATAGACACCTGATTCTGACTGTTAACCCTTCTGCTTATTTTATTCTTTTCAATGTGTGTCTTTAGTTGAATTTTGAAGTTTTGCTAATTGCTGTTGCCCAGCACCACAGTAAATGAAGCTTAAGTGTAGCCATGTTCAAGCATTATTGCTCAAGCTAGTGTAGGTTCCCCAACCTAGCACCATGTGCCGGATGAATGCATTTAGAATACTCTCCACAATCCTTGATAGTGCAGTTCTATAGAGGTTCAGTCAAATGCACTTAATCCCCTGTCAAACCTTCCCATTCAGCATAGCAAGGTTGGGGGTAAGGCTAGCATGCATGTTCCTACTTCTCCCTACGCAGGTTCAGGCAGTAACAGCTTAATAGAATTTGTATCTTCCTTTTCCTTGTTGAAGATTGTGTTACAATGATAAACATTTAGTAAGACTTATACTCTTGCTGTAGCTTACCACATTGAGGGGAGCCATTTTAGAAGATGCTATTCCATCTACTGCTAGACATGGCACAGCACGCGGTTTACCTCTTAAAGAAGTATTGGAATATGTAATACCAGAACTGAGCATTCAGTGCCTACGGCAAGCTTCCAACTCACCCAAAGTTTCTGAGCAGCTGCTTAAACTTGACGAACAAGGGGTAGGTATTGCATGCCTTGCCTGAACTTGCGTGCCTGTGAGTTGTCTTATTGCAGTGTTTTGTTGTCATAAATACAACTGAATTTGATCTGACCTGTCTGTGGAAATGCAGTTAACTTACGATAAGTGAAGGAGGTTTTTAAGGAACTTTAACAAAAGGGGACTTTCTGTGTATTTATATTACAGTAAGATAATTTTGTTGGTTGGTTTTTTTTTACATGTTGGCTTATTTATATACTGCTTCAGATAAAAGTGGTTCACATAAAACAATAAATATACAAAATGAACATTTACACATACTAATCACAAGCACAAATGGCTGTACTTTCCATGGAGGTAAAATACAGTTTAGTAAGCCATTTTTGGTAAACACCCAATATTAGAAAGCTGCACATTGTATTAAAGGGAAAATCATTGGTTTGCCAATCTTTCACCTTTTCAGATTTTCCTTTCCTAATTATAATTAGCACACCTCATTCGCAGTGGCAGTCTTCTTACTTTATGTGGAATATATGATAAATCAAACAGCTGAAATTCTAATTGGGACTATTTAACAAGTTAACACTGCATGAGCAATGAAATGAACATATACTTTAAATTCAGAGTGAATAATGGTGAGATTAATTGGTTTGATAAGGCAGACACTGTTCTGCAAGATTATAAAAGGCATAATTGATCATTTTATATAGAAATGCATATATAGATACAGAAAAAAGAGCATCATTTTAGTCAGCCTTATACAAATATGATGAATAAGGTAAATATCCGGCTTCTTCCAAGGAGCTCAGGACACCATATATGAGGATGTCTCATTTTATTCTCACGTCTTGACTCCAAGGTGACCTTGGACCAGTCAACCAACATTTGAGGTTTTTTCTTACAATCAGCAATATATATATTTTTTGAAACAAATTAATAAAATAATAAACCAATCCGGGGGTTTTGAGCTGGGATTTGTCCCCTGGATTCCTCATTCCATAGAGCAATATTCTTTATACAGCACACCTCATTGATTCAATGACATACATTTTTTATTCTGTAGCCAGAGGATGTATTTGACCAAATAAGTATTTTTCAGTGTATGTGATTATGAGCCTTGAGCATGGCTGGATATCTGAAAGCAGTACAGGAAGACTGCTGCTTTCTATCACTTGGTTAATTTTTAATAGGAAGAGGAAATGCTAATAGAATGGATGTAGGAACACTGGATTCATCCTATTTTGATACTACTAGAAGTTTTTAATAAAGTTGAAAATAGAAGAGATCAAATCAATTGCTATGGTGAAAATAATCACTATTTGTTACAATCAATTGGCAATACATACTTGCATTATAGATGCTTTAGTTCATCTGCAATTATTGTCAAATAAGCAGGATGATTGTGTCAACAGTAGTTACAATCTAAAAGGGAACTTTTATAAACTTCACCCCCACCTCCACCAAAATCCTTCACATAATTGGGAAAATAGAGAAAATCGCTGGTGTTATTGCAAAGAGGAGGAGAGTCCATTGAACTTCAGGTATCTGAAATTTAAGTTAGAAAAAAACAGTATTTTTTTCCTAATGCAAGAGTAACTAATTTGTGTGGTCTTTTTGGGTTGAATATTCCAGAGCTTTCAGTACTCACATCTTCCATATATTGTGCTTTCTGCTTACACTTCATATTCTTTACAGACAACCACTTACGAAAGACAAATGGGGAATTCAGCAGAAGCTGATGTTCCTGCTTATGCAGGCAATATCTTAAATTAGCCCAAATGCATTTGCACTGGGATCAACATAAGGTGTCCCATTTTGCTAGATGAAGATGTAGACAGTACTATAGTATACAAAGCAATGCTAAAATCACATTTCACTTCAGAGATTATCTCAATAGGTATAACATGTATTTTGGTCTCTGAGAATAAAAAGAAAACCTTAGAGAGAATGAGGATACGCAGCTGCAAATGATCCAATGATTAATACTGCACAGGGGCTTTGGGAAGGCATGATTTATCCATCATATGCTAAAGAAGTTCAGTTCAGTTAGTGTGCCAGAATTGGCTTTAGCTGCTGTTCTAGGGAAGTTCAAATATGTCGATCCTAAACTGAAAAATGCTTACTAGGGTTACAAAATATACCTGTCAGACCCTGTTTTAGAGACTTTTTCTGTTCTGACTAGTTTTTTCCTAATTACAGCTGAGTTTTCAGCACAAGATTGGGATCCTGTATTGCAAAGCAGGCCAAAGCACTGAGGAGGAGATGTATAACAATGAGACCGCAGGACCGGCTTTTGACGAATTCCTTGATCTCCTAGGTCAGAGAGTATGGCTGAAAGGTTTCAATAAATACCGAGCTCAGCTAGACAATAAAAGTAAGTTTTAATAATAAATTGTAATAAACACTAAAATTATAAAAATAAGGGAATCTGTTATGCCAAAGTGCTTTCCTTCTGTAAATGCAGATTACACAGAGATCACAGAGACAGCATCTACACTGCGTTTCTTTCTTCCCTTCCAGTCTGAACACAGTCACCCTACAGTGGGGCCAGACAGTGTTCCAGGCCTGCATGCTGATGATTAGGGCCAGAGTCATAGCAACAGATGAGTTTTATCTTTGTGCAGTTGACTACATTCCAACCATGCAGAGCTGTCCAGACACACCCACACTGACACCCATCTCCATCCTCCATCCAGGCAAGCAGGAGGCATCATTACAATTGAAGGACATACTACAGACAGGCAAAGATGAGAGCATGGAGTAGGACCAGTGAGGGATGTAGCCTGAAGTGGTAGAGAGGCATTCCGAAGAGGCATGAGGACTGGACAGAGGGGCCTGGAGGGGCCACATTTGGGCCTGAGGTTCCTCATCCTTGCTCTAGGAAGACCAGACCCAGCAGCTGGTTTCCTTGGCGAGGAAAACAAGGGGTTACGTAAGTGGCTGTGTTTTGCGTGCTCCGTCTTAGTGGTTGTGCTGCACCCATTGAATGGCATGCAACTTTCACTTGCCACAGGAAATAGTTGAATGCCAAATTACAATAGGGACATATGGCTTGGAAAGGGCTTCTGAAACTATTTGGAATTTTTATGGAACTGTCATATTTGCTGGATGGTTTTTTTTGCGGCCCAGTGGTGGGGAGAGATGTTTATATTATACTTGAATTTCTGCATTGTCTTCATTGACCCACTTGTGGACTTTAATTTCAGCCGATTCAACTGGAACACATTCCCTTTATACTACCTACAAAGATTACGAAATAATGTTTCATGTGTCAACTATGCTTCCATATATGCCCAGTAACAGGCAACAGGTATGTCTCAAGTCAGCTTTAGGGAATCATGCATGATTTCTTGTCTGAGAAGTTGTTTGTAGAATGTATTTTTGTTGTTGAAATGTTTGTTATGAATACTCAGTAAAAATTATTGTTGTTATTATTTTAACTTGAGGATTGCATATTGCTTACGGATTAAAATGCTTAGGTTTATTACTTCTGCTTTGACCCAAAAGTTTATTCTGTTAACTATTTGTTTTATATATCTGGTCTTTCCATTTTTAAAAAAGAGAATAAATTATTTCACTGAATTGCCAGTATTCAGTGATACAGATACTTCTGGAAACTTAAATACTTCCTCTCCTACCAAAACAAACTGAATCCAGCCTAATTTTAAATAATGTGCATTTAAAAGATGCAAGTATATGTAATTTGATTTTTCATGGTGTAAGTTTTGGTATTCTAATAACTTAACATAGAGCATTATATAGCAAATACAGTTAATGTTTGAACATGTACCATTCTGTTCTAGTTTAGAATATCTTGCAGCATTAAGGATGGCTAAAAATGACATTGCATCAGAGGTTTTGTAGAATCCTAATGGTTGCAGTCTTGAATGATTTGAAGTTAATGGGCTTTTGCCATTGGCTTGAATTGAATTATGATTTTCTTTTTTTTGTTTTTGTAAGGTTAACCCTGTCTTTGCCTGTACTAATTGATATAAATAATACCTTTGGCATAAGTTTGCTTTATAAATGGGATTTAAAAGAAATAGATACTTTAAAATGTATAATATATTCCCACTTCTACGAATTTAATGTGTGAATAAAGGAGCCATTCACAAATGAGATTACTGCTCAGAGTGTAACATTCTGCAAGCCAGTATGTGTAGATAAAAGAAGCAACAACAGTTCCTTGTATATCTGCACAAAGAATAAGGATTTCTGCAAACATATTTTCAGACTTATTGACAGATGTATAAAAGTTATTTCCTTATCTGTGGTGAATTTGTTTTGGGAGAGTAGCTAAAATTGTAGTAGTTAGGTTGTATGATATTATATTTATGCCTAAAGTGAGCAAGTTGAGAATGTGGCAGAACTTGCAATTCTGGAGTTCTAAAAGAATAGCTTCGTAGATGTATAAAAATTAAAATAGTTTTATAATAATTGGCAAATCACTTTCCTAGAAGTGGGTAGGTGTAACCAGCTGTCTTGTTTACCAAATTCACCAAACTATCAGAACTTTACAGCTTGTTTTGTACTGTTTTAACTCAGGTGTACTTTCTATTGTTTTCAATGGGAACTATTCCCAAGGCAAGTGCCCAGAGGATAGAACGAAGCCTTAGTTGGATAAAGAGAAAGTCTTAATAGTAGACCTGCACAGTTCTATCCAATGAGAAAATATTGTAGCAACACCTTTTAAAATGGAGCTAGAAATTATACATGAAAGGCATATAGGAAACGGCTTTAGAATACATCTACCTCAGTACTGTCTACACTAACCAGCAACAGAAACTATGGTTTCTGATAGGGGACATTTCCAGCCCTACAGCTAGAAATGCCAGGAATGGAACTTGGGACCTTCTGCATACAAAGCAAATGCTCTACCAGTGAGCTATGTCCCTTCCACTATACATCTTCCATATTTGGTCTACCTATGATTTTTGGGACCATTTTGACCATTTATGATGATACAGAAAAAAATTCAATCTATCATATGAAGTTAATTATATTTCCATGTAATTTAGAAACACTTAAATTTCTTTGTAATCCAGTGCACATGCCCAAGGTGATTAAAGTGATAGGTTAACATATCAAAGTTGTGAACAAGGAGCTTACTGCATCTATTTGCAAATATTTTATTCCCTCCAATATGACACAAAAGACAGTATACACTGGAATAACAAAATGTTTGAGAAACTGTAATCTATCTGTGGATGGGTTTAAATTGCAAAGTTTAACTATTGTAGAAAATACTTCTACAAAAGATATACTCAATGTTGATTTCAAATATTTTTGTTCCTAATTGCAGGCAATGACAATACATTAAACCCTTACTTGATGTTGAATGTTAGTCTTTGTCTCGGTTTTACCTAAACTGTGAGCATAGGAAATAACCTTTTACCTTGATCCACTTCTTCCAGAATTGTATGGCGTTTGTCACCCTCACTATTGTGTTTGCTTGAGCCACTCATTTCACTCTTCAGTTTTCTTACCTTTGCTTATATCTTTACCTAAATATTCCCTAATGCGTCTTCCTCTCTAGACAAACTAAAGCCTGTTCTTGGTTTATCCTCAAAATTTTCCAACCTAATTCCATTATTTCCCCAGTAACAATCACACCCTTCCACAATGTTTTAGTAAATACTCATCAGTCTTTGTACCTTAGACAGTCTTGGTATATTTAGCAGTAATATCATAGTCTGTTCTATGGATTTCTTTGGATAAAATAATGTGGAAGTTTTCCATATTTAGGTAACATTGGCCTCATTTGCACGTATCACTAAGCCGAACTATGGCTTAATTTGAACAAAACAGTGTGCTGGTGCACATAGTGAAAATTGTGGCTGCTTAGCTCCTTCCCTGCTGTTTCATTACCAATAAGTAAGCCATGGTTTGACTTAGCAAACTTGGGCTTACGGTTTGTCTCCCCCAAATCAAACCAAGAACAGTAAGCTGAGAACAAACTTTGGCTAACATTGTGGTTTGTTTGGAGTGAGATGAACCATGAGCTCTAGTTCATAAGGCTAAGCTTAGCTTAGCTAACCAATGGCTTAGCTATTGGTAGTGTTGCTGCAGGAGCAAAGCACACTTCTTTGTTCACACTAAACCATAATTTGATTTAGCGTTATGCACAAACCAGGCAACTGAGATCTGAAGGCCCCCCACATTATTTTTTATGATACTGGATGCCAGTGGTATTTGCACAGCATGGACACTTTTCAATAAAATGTGATAAGCACACTCTAGTAATCAACATTTAGCCAGCCTTAATGTGTAGAAGAAATAGCTAATGAATGTTTATTTTCTCTTTCTGTTGGTACCTCCTTGCCAAACTATATAATGTAGAATGCACCCATGGAAGTATTCTTGACAAGCTAGGAACAATTCACATAAAATAACAAACCTTTCCCTCTGAGACACACAGGAAGCTAAGATTCAGCATCACAGATAAAGTTGCTGCTGTCTTCAAGGAACAGTCTTACCAGCCCTGCGGTATAGAAATTTTACTTTGTGTACAGGGCTTATCTTGTTTCATCCACTTATCCGAGTCATGTGGGAACTTCCCATCTTAGATTTGAATGGGATCTAGAGGTCTAGCCTCCCACTGAAATTATGGTGTGAATAGGTTTATACATCCATTATACCTCGTATGGTCACTGGCCAAGGTATGTAGCCAGCTACTGTGAGCACTATCTCCAATGAACATTTCATAAAATCCAATTACCTGTGAGCCAGAAATAGGCCACACCAGAACTGTCTGTTGCTTTTTCTAGGAAATAACTACGCCCTGCTTGGTCACTGATCAGGACATCCCTCTAGTTTTAGAGCGAGCAGGAGATCCAAACACACAGGTAATTTTTCACTTTGGCTGCAATATAGGGTGGGGAGTCTTCACTCTGTGTTCTGATCAGAACAGAGGGAGCTACCCACTCTGGTGTGGCCAGTACCACCTCCTTGTATTGGCTTTCCTTACACATCACAGTTAAAGGCTTCTCCTGTTGAACTTTTACCCTTGTAGACACCCTTTCCAGATCATTTCCTTGCAATATTTCCTCACACTTCTGCCATTTGCTTTTGTTATCTTTGGTCAGATCTGATTAATCCAAATCTGTTGTCAAGTTATCTCCTTGTCTGATATAATAATAAAAAAAAAATGAAAACGAGTTACTGTCTTGGTATGTAAGATTAAATGCTTCTTCAGTGTTTGGAATTTTCCTAGTTTTAATCAGGTCTGATTGAAATATGTGATCTTTGTATATGTAAATATTAACATATTATAATGCAAACTTACTATGAAACCACTTATTTTATTACTAAATTAAAATAAGCTTGAAGGTTTCTTGTGATGTCTTTTCATTCCCCCCCCCCCCATTAAATTGAATGAAGAAAGATGCTTTATGCAATATGACAGGATAGCTTTGTTGCTTTCGCTTGAGCAATTAAGGCTTACAGAAATAGATTGCTGTGGCTTTAGCTGTCCGATAATGGTCAATTTAGCTTGGGAAGCTTAGAGATGAATAAAAGTATGCTAAAGGGACAGATTAGGTGGTGCATCCTATTTCAGATTATCTGGAAAACTTAAAATCACATTTGATTAGCATGTTAGGGAAAACAGAGCCAGTAAAGTAAATTGAAGGTCCACAATTAAGGTCAGATCAGAACGAATACATTATTTTTAAAAGGTGGCAGATATTTCTTTTCTAACATTCTCTTAACTTGATACTCTTTCATATTAAAATTAAGTTCATTAATGCTGATATTTTACTGGATTCATATTTAGATTTACCACCCCAATTAAGGTTGTGATCTACATTTTTTAAAAAAAAAATACTATTATCAGTGGACCTTACTTCCAAGTAAATATTGTGTTAGAACTAAGGTGAAAACTGTTATTAGGGTCTTGTTGTCAATATTGTGTTACTTCCTGAAAATAATCCCACTTGACCTATGTACTATATTTAAAATTCCAATTGAATTGTATCATTGTTAAGAGTGTGTTGGAAGGGCAGTTGAACAAATAAGGAGAGAAAGGGGAAAATAACTTAGAGATATGAAAACAAGCTCTGTATAATAGTTACATACCATTTTCTTCAGCTTTCAGAACAGTGTCTCTCTTTTTTTCATACCTTTTTCTCCATTCAATTTGCATTCCATTTATACAATCCTACCAAGATCAATGTATTACATATCAATATCATCTATTTAACTCTCCTTGCCTGTTCCTTGCATTTCAATTCCCCATTTATAATTATATGGTTCTATTACTGTTTTTTATGATGTTGTACAGACCTTTATGGTAATGATTATAATGGTTGTCTATGTTGACTAAAATATTAGTTGTACCTCAGAAATCTCACCCAATTTGACAACATTTTAAAGAATGAACGAGTTCTAATTTGTTTTATATGGTTAGGTTAATACAATTACATTAATGAATATGCTCATTCATGTTGGTGACAAGACTCAAATTCCTTTCAGGAACTATTGATGCCCTTTAAAATAATTTAGAAAGGTTTATATTGCAAATGTCTGTTATTTATTATTCAACCCAATTAGCACCTAATATCTAAGCCAAGCCATGGCTTGAGGCAAATATGTGGGATCCCAAAAAGGAAATTGTCCATTTTGCCCCTCTCTAGTTTGTTTTGCTGCTGCACTTTGCCGAGCTAAATTATGTTTTGGCTTAGGATGTCATCCAAAGTCAGGAACCTTTGCAGCCCATAAGTGGGCCTTCTAGAGATCCCCTGGAAAAAATCTGTCCTCCACTCAACTAGCTTTTACATGCCTTTCCTCACACAGACTGGAGTAGGCAAAATGTTCATTCTGTTTGTACACTTTCCTGAAGGCATAGCCAATGTGGTGCAACTTCTTTCAGTCTTAGCCAGCATGGCTAATGATCAAGGCTGATGGGAGTTGTAATCCAAATCATCTGGAGGTCACCATGTTGGCTACCCCTGAAATATTTACTTCTTACTTCTGTTTCCTGATTTTTAATCTGTCACTGTTAACAGATGAAACTGAAATCAAAGGTATTATTGTCACTTTCTGCAACTTTAGAATAATTTGAATATATGGGAAACTACATCTGTTCTGTACATGAACTTTTATTTTGGTAATATGTTAGCAGTGATAAAACTCACTTCCATAGAGCCTTGGGGGGGAATTCAGCATTGCCCCAAGGAGATCATTCCATCCGCACAGTTACTTTTGCTTGCCAGGCAAAATGAACTCCTCCCTCTGCACCCTGTTTTGGGGGCTCTCCTGACTCTCCCAATCAGATATGGGGGGGGCATTGGTGTGAAGGTGAGGGGGGCAAGTCCTATTGATCTCTTAGGACTTGTTGCACTGGCTTCTGCTAGTGCAACAGATTAGTTCAATCCAGTCCAATTACTTTAGTCCACCTGTACCCAAGTATTTATGCCCCACTAAAAACACGCTGAAATTAGTGTTTGTAGCTGTAAAATGGATTGCAGCTACTGGCTTATAATGGTATGGCAAAACTTTCATTGATTTTAATAGAGTTGGGTTGTACCCTATACCATAACTCAGTGTGCACCAGATGCATACCCACAGTTGTGATTTTCATTTACATATGTCTGTCATCTACATCATTTCAAAAGCCAGTAATAGGTAATGTTTTAAATAAAATTCAATTACAAGACCTCAGAATACAGCAGAGGTCATATCTCCAATTTTCTAGCAGCTTAATCCTGGACACCCCAAATTTACACAGTAAACAAAAAGGTATTGCACCATTTCCAAAAGCCCTGAGATCGAAACTTTCTGGTAGATAGACTTAACAGAGACTTTGTGTTGCTTCAGTATTTCCTTTCACTGACAGCTCTTCTTTTAAGCTAACAAAGAGAAGCTGAAATAGCTTCTGGTTTACTATTGTGGACTACTGAAGTAAAAATTCACCAGAAAACTGCATGTGAACATCGGTATGTGTCTGTGGAGCTCCTGGATTGTAACATTTCCAACACCTTTTCAGCTTTCCAAATAATTATAGAAAAGGTTGATGTTTTAATTGCATGCTTGTTACATGGTTACAAGTTATTTAAATTGATACTAGGTTATGTTACTTAAGATATGTTACTTCAAAATATCATCTTTAGCTGTAATATGAATGTCTGCATGGGGAATATCCAAAGGACCACATGAGAGATTCTAAATGTGTGCCAGGATATCTGAGGTCCCCTTTCTTTCAGACACACTACCCAAAAAGCTGTTCCCAAAAGTCTGGGAGGTTACTGTAATAGTGTGGAAAGTTGCAGCTGGAAATAAAAGGCAAAAGCTGTGTTGAACCGCTTCAACGTACATTTAGGAATCCTTGGATCTTGGCCTGCCTTTGTCCACTGCTGCATTTCCAAACTTAATTGAAATAAAATTGTCCTGTGAAGATATTTGGTGACTGTTGTGCTTTTTATGGTGGGGAAAGATTGGTTTAAAATGTTGAGAATTTCTAGTCGATATAGAAACCACTACAGTGAGGAAAAACATCTTAAGGAAACAAGAAATGTTTATTTCATATATGAAAAGTTATTTTGCATCTTGGAAATGATTAAAGGGCTATTTAGTGTGGGTCTATGCTTCATATACTTGAACAAGACTGGTTTAAGATTTTACCTATTCTCAACCCACCACTTTCCCCTTTTTAAAGAGCTGTGTATTTCAAACGGTATAGACAAGACCTGTAAAATATACCGTACTTAGGTTGCGTGCTGCCTGTGCCAAGACAAGAACATTGTGACTAATCAAAGTCTAGGGTTTTTTAAAATACATAATTGCCATTTTTAATAGTTATCTTTTTTTCTAGTGGATGTGAAGGAAATTGTAGTCACCATTTTAATGTTTTTTTGTTTGTTTGTTTTGCATCTAGCTTTTAAGGAAAAGGCACATAGGAAATGACATTGTTACCATTGTCTTCCAAGAGCCTGGAGCGCTTCCTTTCACTCCAAAAAATATCCGTTCTCATTTTCAACATGTGTTTGTCATTGTTAAAGTCCACAACCCTTGCACTGAAAATGTGTGCTATAGGTGAGTATAGGTTTGTCAATTGCCTTAGTTTCTTAGGCTTTCATTGGAAATTGCTGGGGCCGTTGTTTATTGGCTTTATCAGCCTTTTCTGCATTTTCCATGTACCTGTGCTCCCAGCTCACCCAGCCAACCATCATGGCACCAACCTCCCCCTTCCACTCAATGAATGAGCTTAGTGGGAGACCCACTGGCCATATCCTTGCCTGTGGGGGCTAGCAGCAAGCCCCCAAATGGGGTGCCTCAGGGAGGGGCTAAACCACACTGGGATCCACTGGGATCACTGCCATCGGATGATGGAATTTGTTCCAGTTGTCTTGTACCTCCTCATCTTTGGCCACAGTGAGCAACCAGAGTGCAGATGGGTGGTGGATGTACTGCTCCAAAAAGTCCAAATGATGGCTTGAGAGGGTTTGGATTGCAGCCTAAAACCAAAAATGACAGTACTTTAAAGAAATATTAGTAAGGTTCAGGAAACTTGCTAGCTTCAATAAAAATAAGTTGTATGGTACCTATAGAACGTAGTCTCTATATTTAAATCTCTGAATTATTCAAGGACAAGAAGCAATCTTATGAAAGCTGAGCCCTTTTGTTAATACAAATTTCTATATGCATGGGGACTCTAGACTGGAGAAGTGGGGTAACTGACTCAGTTCTAAGGTAGCCCATAATGGATCATGGCATGCTTATATGTTCATACCATGAATCAATACTGTATAGGAGTGCATTCTATGCATATGGCATAAAAAATTGTGCATTTGTTTATACACTAGTACGCTGGTCTATATATTTAGTGTTCATGTACATGCATCTGTAAAACACCATTTTATGATGGGTTGGTACAACAACATTTGTGCTCTGTGAATATTAAATTTTTTGATGCAGCACATTTTCAATTTGATAAAAAATATATTCAGTTAGGAAGAGTTCTGTAGAGGGTTGGACTGCATGATCCTAGTGGTTCCATCCAACTCTACAATTCTATGATTTTATTTTTCTCATTTTGCTGCAAATGTAATTCCTGACAATTTCTGCTTTTGAAGAGTTTTGAGGTAGTTTATTATATAAATTTCTCTTGTCCTTGGTAGGTGCATGAATATCTTATGTATAAACAAATAATGTTTTAGTTAAAATAACTTACAAAACATTGATCCTGTAATAAGTTTTCTTCACTTTCTAGTGTTGGAGTTTCAAGGTCAAAAGATGTACCACCTTTCGGGCCACCAATACCTAAAGGAGTGACTTTCCCTAAATCAGCAGTTTTCCGGGACTTCCTTTTGGCCAAAGTTATTAATGCAGAAAATGCAGCACACAAGTCAGAAAAATTTCGAGCCATGGCCACTAGAACACGGCAAGAGTACTTGAAAGATCTTGCAGAAAACTTTGTTACTACCGCTACAGTAGACACATCAGTCAAATTTAGTTTTATTACACTGGGAGCAAAGAAAAAAGAGAGAGTGAAACCAAGGAAGGATGCCCACTTATTCAGCATTGGAGCAGTGATATGGAATGTGATAGCACGAGACTTTGGTCAGTCCCTTGACATTGAATGTCTTCTTGGTATCTCAAATGAGTTCATCGTGTTGATTGAAAAGGAATCAAAGAATGTTGTTTTCAACTGCTCCTGCAGAGATGTTATTGGATGGACATCTGGATTAATGAGTGTTAAAGTTTTTTATGAAAGAGGAGAATGTGTTCTTCTCTCAGCACTTGATAACTGTGCTGAGGACATCAGAGAAATGGTTCAAAGACTGGAAGTAAGTATGGTTTCTTTTAAGTGCTTGGCAATTTCAAATGCTATTGTCAGTAATTTTTCAAGATAATGGAGATGGATAAATATGATACCTGACTATAGAATTTTAAAAATGAAAAATTTACCAGACTATTTCAAGGGTATTTCTGTATTCCAGGCTTAAACTGGAAATGTGGCAGCTGTAGTCTGAAACAGAATTCTCCCTTTTTATTACAGTTAGGGTTGCCATATTTCAAGAAATAAAAATCCAGACAATTCTACTAAGCATAATAGAGAATTTTCACTTAATTCAGATTCTCTCTAAGTGTGTTATATTGTTCAGATATATAACCTGACCCAGTCAAATGAGTCAGGTTACAATAATTTAGCATTGTTCTAATGAAAAAAGGTGATCTGTACCTGTAAAGACTTCAGTAAATTACTATTCTGCTTCCTTGTTTAATATAAGGCAGCTGCTAAGTCTTCTACAAACAAAACAATCCCTGAATTGTTATAATAATCAGTAAGAGAAATGTACTGTCTTAGAAACTGGACACAGCACAGATGGTTGCTCCAGGGGCATCAAATGTTAGAGCTTGGAGAACAACATCTTTATTCAGAAATCTCTAGTCAGCCATGAATGACAAAAACAATATTAGCTACCCGAGGGGTATAATATATTAGTACATGTGACTTTGCATTGTTTGAAAGCAGTTCCTTACATGTTTCAGAAGGCATGTGTCCAGTGAGGGAGATGTGAAGACTTGGTAAAAAAAAAAAAGGAAAGTGGTGGAAAAGAAATGGGTGTATATGAAAAATGGGTGTGGGTGTGCATGCAAGACTAGAAACAGATTACTGAACAATTGGTAGTTGGGAGGGGGGGATCTCTTAGGAAATGCACATTTCAGAATGTGTAATACTAATGTGTATAAAAGAATCCGACAGTTAATTTACCCTGCTGAAAAAGTTTAGTTTTAAGATTCCAAAGCAGTAATAAGACTGATGACAGAACTGATACTGTGTCTGACAGGATTACTGAAGAAGTAATTATTTTCTATCTTGATGTTGGAAACTTACTTCAGAAGTTGCAGAGTACATCTGTGAGTGTTTGGTCCAGAAGTACATTATGAGAGTATTCCAGTCATTTTGATTCTGAAACCTGGTGGACTTTGTACAGGCTGGCTTTTAACTCCTCTTTTAAGAATTTGTTTAAAATATTTATGCATGGCCCTTAATAAAAAAAAAAATATTACAGGGTGTCTCACAATAACACAACTACTATACACTGTAATATAGCAAACAATTTTTATTTTCATCTTGTTTTTAGGTAACTTAGGTTAGGATTCACCTAACCAGCCCTGTCAGTGGAAGCCTTGTGCAAGGACTTTCACTTGTGCTATAAGGCTTCCCCCATCTCTCTCTCCCCCCCCACCCCCCATGCCTTCCAGAATTGGCTTAGAGGGTTGGGAGAACCTCCAGAACAATGTGCAGGGGGAAGCGTATTGTTCCATTTGGCAAGCTGGAATGCTAGCACAAATAGAATAATTGGAAGACCTTAAGTCTGCAATCCTAAACACTTAGCTGGGAGTAAGTCCCAGTCAACAGTGTGGCTCTTATGTATTGGTTCCATCATGACACTGATTTATAATTGTTCTAATAAAACAAAGTTGTTATTACTTTTGGATTTCAGAAACATATCAAACAATAAAATTTTATCTTATAGGTTATAATAAATATTACACTTCATGTTCTTAATGGCAGGGGGATAAAATCACATTTTAAAAACCATTTCAATATCACCCTACCCACAGCTCACCATTTCTGGAATTTTTACATCACTATTCTTTTATACTGTGGTCTCACTAATTTCTTATTCCTTTAGATAGTAACTAGAGGATGTGAAACAACAGAAATGACCTTAAGGAGAAATGGCTTGGGACAGCTCGGATTCCATGTTAACTTTGAAGGGATTGTAGCAGATGTGGAGCCATTTGGTTTTGCCTGGAAAGCTGGCCTACGTCAAGGCAGTCGCCTTGTGGAGATCTGTAAAGTAGCTGTAGCAACCCTGACTCATGAACAAATGATTGACCTGCTGCGCACTTCTGTGACTGTAAAGGTGGTGATTATCCAGCCACATGAAGATGGATCACCTAGACGGTAAGAAGTCACAGTAGCTAGTAGGTTATTTCTGTCTTCACTGCTGACATTCTTTTGCCCTTTTCACAGATGGCTTTCTTGTTAAATGGGTAGTGCTCATTTGGTGCTAATGAGACTTGCAGCTAACACAGTCTGTGAGAGAAGTGCTATCTTGTAATAGATGGAATGGATCTTATAAGTTATTTTAATAAAGGATGGATTGTATACTGGGGGGACTGGTTGCTTTTAGTTAAGTGAGCAGTGCTTTCTGAATAAAGTGAACTGTTTACTATAGAATGGGGAAAGCATCAATATGGGAATAAGGGGGGCAAGTGGTGGCAATTAATCAATGTTTTTGAAAAGAGTGAAAATTAATAAGGGATTTGAAATAGGGAAATAGAGTAGAAATTAATATGGCTTTTGGAATGGAATGGAAATTAATGAAGAATAAGGGGGGAAAGGATAGAAGGTAATAAGGAATATTGAGGAAAGGGGTGAGGATACTCAGTATATTTAATGAGGCAAATGGTTAAGAAGGTTTGGCTTTGACTACACTCACATTGACATGCAGCCCCTGAGGGATTGGCCATGGGTCGATGCAGTCCTCAGCACCAAAAATGTTAGCTACTGCTTGTCCGCATGCTCTGTCCTCATAGGTAACGTATTCCAAACCCAAATCATTTTGCTTGCGCTTTTCTGCACCCTTTTCAGCTCTAAATATTCTTTTTGAGATTGGGCAACCAATGTTTTCTTCCATTTCTCACTTTCAACTAAAAGTATCCAGAACTATAGCATTGTAGAATTGGTGATATATATGTTGCATTTTATTTATGGATGTTCTCCAAAAATTAATTTCTTAGAGTGAAATGGGGGAAATTATCCCTTTATTGCTGCCACTCATATTGCCACACATGTGCTGCCTTTGGAAGACATAGAAATATGTCTGTATATCATTTTTTTTTCAAGTTGCATATAATTGGCAGCTGAAAGATTTTCTCAGCTTCATTTGGAGATTTTTGCCATCTGCTTCCAAGTATGAAATAACACTTTTTGGTACTTATTCTCCTGATTATCACTGGTGCCATTCCAAAACAGTTGGATCCATAGCTTAGGATAGGCTGCAGACAGCAAAAAGTCTAGAAAAGTCAGAGCCCTTCTACAGGCTCCTAAGTCATCATCTACCCCAACAGAAGGAGAAGGGATTTTCTGCAGTATAAACTTCCTGTAATATGAGAATCTTCAACTGCCTCTTTAAAAGAATGTCTGCTCTTCCTGGATTATCCGACTCTTTGAAGCCTTCTTAGCAGACTGGACTGAGTATAGTTTTCCCCAGAGTCCACTGTTTTTTACTACTTCCAACCAAGGTGAATAAAAATGGATAAAAGTAATCTTACATTTTTTAAAAGTTCAGTCTATAATCTGTTTCTCTTCTAAAAATAATGTGGTGGAAACCATGAAGGTTATTGCAAAACATCAAAGGTTCAAGGTGCCGTAAGACTCTTTTTTGCAATAACAGGCTAACTCAACTATTCATTTGGGAATTGGTTTAAAACTAAAACTGACCTTAATATAAACATATAATCTCTTAAATATGAACATAGAACCCTCTTGTGAAAGACTCCTTTCCTTTCCTTTGTAAAGACAGATCTGTGCTGTGAAATATTTGTTCATGGGGGAATATACAACATACTAGATCACATCTTAAACCCTGATTCAAGAGACCAGAGACAAGGAAGTCATCACAGGTTCTAAAATTCATATGATGTCATGACTTGCCTTATAACTGATCCCATATATATCATGTTGTCCTGTTTGATGCCCAACTATCTGAATTGTACAATGTTTATGACTCTACCACCCAAACAACAAGGAATTCACTTTACATCTCATGGCGAAAACACTGTTTTGCTCTTCAACTACCTTTCCTTCAGAGACCAGAAAATATGACAGCAGGGGACTTAGAGACAATACTAGTGGACATCGCTTATGATGGAAATCCTAAGATGAAGACATGATCATGAAACTTACAAGGTTTTCCAAGTTATCTGCCCCTGGAAAAAGAGTACTCTCCACTTCCAAAATTTTTCTCACATGATTTTCTTTCCGATACTTTTCTATAAAGGTTAAAACTCCAGTCCACAATCAGCAACTGGGACAAATTATAATAGATTATGTGTGTCCGGTTTCCCACCTTCTGTGCTTGTCAAAATGTTAAAGACACCACTGCCCTAAGTTTTGTTACCCCATATCCAGATCAAGCTTCTGTCACTGCATTTCACAACCACAGACATATGTCCAGTGAACAGGAGGGATAGCTAATTTGCTACCTTAATCTATTCCCAGGCTTTATCCCTGTTCTATTGACATGTTCAGCATATTTTCCTTCCCAATGTGGACAGCTGGGCTAGACCCTGTGCTTCCCATGGCTAAAGATTTTCAGCCTCGTGAGTCTACAGACCATTGAAATCAAACTCTGGAAAATCCATTGAAATCAAAGGTCCATGTTATATTATCTCAAAACTCAGGCTTGATCAGGTCATTGATTTAAAAAAAATCTAGCCATACTTAACGTAGGTGATGCTGTCCTAGCATCGGCTTCAGTTTTTGTTGTGTTAGTGACCACTATAGGTAGAAAACGCCACTTATTCAAGCTTTGGGCTTTGTAGGGCTCAGCTGGTAAATTTGCCCTTTTCCTGCTGAGAAGCCATTCAAATAACCTCTAGATGAGTTTTAAGGCTCCGTATATTTGCCCTTAAGTGCTAGGTATTGTGGTGCTGTTATTATTATTATTATTTTAAAAAAAGATTGCCCATCTCTCTACTGGCAATCTAGACTGGGACCTTAGAATGATGGGGCATGAAGGTTTTAACCCTTTGCAGTCAATTTGGCCCCTCAAACTTGCAATTAGCACAGTGTGTCTTTTAAAGCTCGCTTTCCCCATGCAAGAAGCCAGCATGGGAAGCCTGGTCTGAATTGGTACCATAAGGAGACTAAAGGGTTAAAGCCCCCTTACTCCATAATAGGGTCTTAATACTGCTTGGCCACCTGGGCAGGGAGCATGTGTTTAAAAAAATAGTCCTCTGCACTTAAACAACACAGATATGGAGCTAATGTATCCTCTAGTTGGGCCCTCAGTGAACTTGTGGGTAATAAAATAACCCCTCAACCCCACTGAAGTCTTCCTTGTTTACTCTAAGATATCTTGGACACCAGAGTTACTAGCGGCATGTTCAGCAGGCAGGTTTTCCTTGGAATGGAAAAGATGCTTTGCATTCAGTTTTATCTCTGACAACTTAAATTTTACATAATCTAGTGTAAGAGTACAGATGATGGGTCATATTTTATATTACGATATAACTGATATAATATATAATTTTATGACATGCACATGCTATACTTCTTTTTTAAAAATGATGGGCTGTATCTCTACAAGACTCAGGGATTATTACGTTTATGTATACTGCAGGGGTTGCTCAGAACTGTGTCGAATTCCCATGGTGGAGTACAAACTTGACAGTGAAGGCACCCCATGTGAGTATAAAACCCCTTTCAGGAGGAATACTACTTGGCATCGGGTGCCAGCTCCTGCAGGGCAGCCTCTTTCTCGTGCCTCTCCAATCCTAGGAACATCTGATAGATTGCAGTGCCAGCAGCTTCTCCAGCAGGCGCAAACAGCCATTCCTCGCAGTACTTCATTTGACAGAAAGCTGCCAGATGGTGCAAGGTAATATCTTCTCTCTGTTATTAATTCCTGTATTTTCTTAGTGCTTTATTAGTAAACCTTTCTGGTCTTTGGTATGAAGTGATTTTTTAAAAGCTGTTTTCTTTTTAAACCTCATTCATATACTACTGTACAAGGTTTTAACAGATTTGAGCTGCAGTGAGCTTAGTGTTCGCCTCCACTAATCCTTGTTGAAACAATGGTCAGTGCTAATAATACTTTAAAAGGTAGACGACATTAAAACTCACACCCTCTTCTCTATTTATAATGGAATATAAAAGCTAGGTACCAGGCAAATTCAGCCACTGTGGTAGTCGACCAATAAAATAAGAACTTCTGAATAAGAGCAACAAGCATTTAAAAATATGAAATTAGTTGCTTGCAGGTTAATACTTTCATCTCATTCCAAGAGAGTTTTATTATATTTGTAACGTCAATAGAACATGGCTATAAACGTCCAAGAGCAAATGGATATTTGTGGAATGTTGTCTTTGTTTAAAAACTGAAATGACTTAAAAGTTAAATGAAAACCCAATTGACGTTTGTTCCAATTCTGTAGTTGGCAGTGGGTTTTTCCAGGGAAAGTGGCTGGACAAAAAAAAAATCCCCTCTCAGGCCCGTACCTAGAAATCACAGGACAAATGGAAGTGCGGATGAGTGCAAAGACACTATTGCTTGCAAGGATCTATCTATATGTACTTTAAAAAGTGCTGAATTGTGGTCATTATGCGAAAATGTGCAGACTGTAGGAAACATCCAGTATCACATGAGCAGACTTCACCAGTCTCTTGCTCCCTCGTTGCAGGCCCCTCCAGAGCAGATTGTAGGGCTACTGAAGTGGGGATGAGGGGAGGCTGCATATCATTAGATGTCCCCGCATCTAAAAATGGTTTAAATTTCACAAAAACTATTCAAATGTCTTCATATTGTTGTCTGTATTTCTAATTTCATTAGGAATTTATATCAAAAATTGATTGTTGTTGAAGCATCACAGATCTGTGTACATGGTTAATTACTTGAGTCACTATTTCAGAAGTTCACCGAGCAACCAATCATCCTCCAGTGACCCAGGACCAAGTGGGAGTAGTCAGTGGAGACACCAAGTGGGATATGATGGGTATTTGTTTCTTTACATCTGAATCCCTTTTTATGAACAGTAACTGTAGAAGCTAATTTACGTGTGGAATATCCAACTGGCTGTTGTAGAATGTTTCATAGGTGGCTTTGTAAAGATAATAATTTAATTACCGTATTTACTCAATTCTAATGCTCACCATTTTTGGCCAAATTACGTTGTGAAAATTAAGGTGCGCATTAGATTTGATGGCACATTTACATTCACCAGCAAATACTTTTTTTGGTTTCAAGGTTCTGAAAATTGAGGTGTGCATTAGATTCGATGGTGCATTAGATTCAAGTAAATATGGTATGTGCTGCTGTAGTCAATCTGCCCCATCTCTGAAGGCTTGGAGGCAATCCATACATAGCTGAGTGATGGTGGTATCTAGTGGCGTCTATTTGCTAGTGGAAGTGCATCAACTAGCACAAGAGGAGGGAGCTGTTTTTCTTTTTTCTTTTTTTAAAGATATTTATTGGAGTTTTCAAAATATTACAAAAAGAAGAAAGTAATGACAAAGAAAAAAAATACAAATACAAAGAGTAAAAAATAATTAACAGAATAAAGAAAAAAGAAAAAGAAAAAAACAGACCCCTTCCACCGTGTAAAAAAGAAGAAAAAAAGAAAATTCCAAATAAAAAACAAAAAAGTGACAAAATTACAAAAATCCCAAGTTTTTTTTTTAAAAAAAAACATTTAAAAACAAGTTCATTATTTTCAGACCCTTAACTGTCATTGCCTTCTTTCTTAGACCTCCTCCTCCTCCCTTCCTTTGTATCCTAGTTATTAATTATCCCAGCAAATCCTTTCCTTTCCATGTTTCATAAAATTCTATCATTACATTACCCTAGACTATTTTAATCCTATCTTTCTATAATAAAATAAACCTTAAAGTTTAAAACTTAAGTCTTAACCTTACCAGCTTCTTATAATCATAATATTCTTTCATAATTCTTTAAGCATCTTTACTAAAGCCAGGTAATTTCTTCCAACATTTTTCTATCATTCATCAACTTTATGAAACATTCTAATAAGAAAGAAAGAGAAAAAGAAAGATATAAACAAGTCCAATCTTTATCCAGCGTCCCTTCCTCCTGGTTCCGGGATTTGTCAGTCCTTATTCCCATCAGTCTAGCCCGGTAACCTTATGTCCGAGGCCCTCAGGTCACTTCCATGGCCCTTCCGCGGCTCTTCTTCATATTTATAACTGTAATTTCCCTTATCTCCTACTCGTGGCAACTCCAGCTTGACAATGTCTCTTGCTCGTGGTAGCTCCAACTTAATAATGTTTTTAGCCCTTCTTGACAGATCAGACCCTTTTCCGTATTCATCGCTGCATTCCATGTAGTATTTAAAAGCATGTTTCAAGGGCCCTCCAAAGTTGAGAGCCCCCACAGTCCCAAGCATTTTGCAGCCCATTACCATATTTAAAAAGTCCAGACATCCCAACATAGGGGGGTCAATCCAGCCCCCCATTTCCAAACCACACCAAACTTTCCCTTTCCAGATCTGGCTTTTTCCAAATTCATTTGTCCAGTCCGAAGGATCATACTCCTGTTGGGTCTGTTCTGTCAAAACACACTCCTGATTTAATACCACAAACTCCTGTTCTGTCAAAACACACTCCTGGTTTGAATCCTGAGTGGGCTCCACATGTTTTCCCACAGTCTGGTCAAAACATTCCACTGCCTGTTTAAGATTTCTAGTTGAAATGACCATCCAGTTCACCTTATCGTGTAATTCTTCCAGTAAAGCATTTGTTTTGTAAAAAGCACACACCAAGGCTTCTGAGTACATTGTCCTGCAAAGTCAAATACTTTCCCACGGTTATTTTGTAACAGCTGTCAATTCCCTGGAGTTAGTTACAGTTTCACAAGCTCCCCCTAGGGGGAAGACTTATGTTTATTCTTGCTACAAAGTTTCCTTTTTTTTCCAAAATACTTGAGATAGGAGCTGTTTTCACCAGTCCCCTGTAGCAATTGCAGCCCCCTATGTCATATCTCATACTGTTCAAGAGGGTCTCCCAACCCTCAGGAGAAGCTTTTGGAGCAGCATTTGGCTGTGGGTGGGGGGAGCGGGCTAGGTTGGATAGACCTGATTAGTGAAAAACTGGTACCCTACTTTGCTCAAGTGAAAGCGGTTCAGCTAGTAACAAAACCACCCATTTAAAAAAAGAAATCAACATAAGATCTAATGTGTTGAGTAGGGGTATCAGCAGCTATATTTGGGCAACTTTGTGTATAAGTCTTAGATAAATAATAACTTGAGCAGAATATATTTAAATTGTTCTAACTACTGTGGAATGTTTTACTCTTCTTTGCTTACCAGTTGTCAATACTGAAAATATATAGTTGTGCCATTTTACAGCAGGGATTTTATAAACTGGATGAGAAGCTTTCCTAGTGAGCAGGGGAAAGCAACAATTTATTTCTTTGTTAATAGGTGCCAGTCCCCTTTACTTCATGATCACCAGGGTTCAGGTCCACTGGAGAGTGAAGGAGGCAGAGAACATGAAGAATCTTTGGAAGCGACCAGGCATCCCAATGGTAATTATTATTCTGTTTCAGTTTAATTACAGCTTTGCTGGTTTGTTTTCCACTTGTATAATGTTTTGCATTATAAACTATCTTAAACTATCACTGGCATACTGATGGTAACAAATGCAAAACCTTTGGAAATCTTTCCTAGCCATTTTATGTAAATGTAAAACAACATGGTTGAGAATATCAGCCCTATGACACAATTATATCCCAAAGATTATTCCCACTGGCACATTCTGAAATCTGGCCAAGAAGGACATTTTCTCCAAGTCTCTTCCCAGCTCAGTGATCTAGAAGGATGCCATGGTTGATAGTATTGGAAGCTAGTGAGAGGTCAAGAACCAGCACTCTCCTTGCCCAGTTTCTGGTATAAATCCTCCACCAGGCCAATCAAGGCTATCTCTGTTCCAAAACCTGATTCCACCCATATGAGATTTGCATATTTGTGTGCAAAACTACAGAGGATTTTTCTTCACGTGAGAGTGTGATTGCTGAAAATACAGATTCACTCATGCTAAATCTCAAGATTTATAGTTATCAGGTACCATTTTTGTCCTTGTGTGGAAGTTACAAGAATTAGTGCTGTGGCATGATCGGGAGCTTTTGCTGTAGCTAAATGTGTATATGGTACAAGGGATGTCCCACAAGGTTGTTTTTTCTAATACAGTTCTGCTACTTCCTTTCTCTCTTTTTATATTCCTATTTCCCTGTTTCTGTCTTCCTCATATAATTGCAAACATCCTTGCACACACCATTTTCTACCATATTTTCACACAGTCTTGCGCACCTGCGCATAGTACTCTCTTGAATAAAGACTAGAATCAGCTGCATATGTATCTCATCACATTTGTTGTTTGCAGAGAGTTTTAAGATATTTTTTTATCCACATACAAGCTAAATTACTTTTCCTCAAAGTTACTAGGATGACTCCTTTTAAAATGATACTGTTTATCTCCCTCTGTTTTTTTGATCATCAGAACATTAAGAGGATGTTTGTATTGATTTTGCATTGTGCTTGCATTTCCATGTTTTGTAGAAATGACACAGCAAAAGGACATGTACAAACAGGCCCTTCTTATTCAGAACTCTCATTTAGTAAGCTGTATAGACATAAGTTTAATTATCTTTTAAGATGATGGGCAAGAGTAAACTCTCTGCTCTAGGAAATTTGAAAGAACATCACTGTTTCAACCTGATGCATATAGCATTAAGTTGTGAGCTTCTTTTCATTGTACAATATGTTTTGTGCGTTTAGAAATTAAAACACATAATTATTTATGGCAGAAACCAAGTGGCATGCACCATCAACCAAAGTCTTGAGTTCCTATAAAGACCGCGCTTTACAGAAAGAGAACAGTGGCAAGGATTCACCAAACAAATTTTCTCATGTAAGTCTTTTTTCTTAGGGTTTCCCAAATTAGGAATCTTTCCAAATATGTGGGCACAGTCTCTGTTGCAAAAGTTGGGAGAGCTGTGCAAATAGCTGGTTGCGTTTGAGCCAGCAACTTGATTGAAAGTGTATGTTTTGACCCTGCTTTCCCGTATAGAAATGGGAAGTATGAATTACAGATGGTAAACTATCCTGCAAGATGAATGAGCTATTGGGGTTAATAAATTTATTTCTGTATCTTGCTATGTCCTACAGTTCTGTTTGGCATTGTTTTGCGTCCTATCATTTTAATGGAATAACTGAAAAACTGTAAAATTGAATGGAAAAGAGGCCATCCAGTTGTATCTGCCAGTGTTACAATCTCAGATGTGGAATAATTTGCAAGAGTCTTGAATTTTTTTCTAAAGTGTGCACACAACTAATAAGCATCACTGATGCAGAAATAGTTTCAAGTATTCTTTCTGGCAGTGACCTCAAACAATCTCATTATAAAGGGCATGTGCAGGTTTCTAGGGCACTGCGTGGATTAAAGCTTCATGTAAGCATCACTCTGGTGATTAGAACGTAATTTACATTGACTTGCATAGTCCTGAATACATTTCTTATTGTATTCAAGTGACATTCATACATTGCCATTTCTTGTCATATTGTGAGGGATAAGCATCTGTTTTAATTACCAGCAATTGCACTTCTTTTATTTAGGCAAAATTTCACATTTAAAGAATGCGTCTAATAAGAATATATTGTTATGCTTGTTCCTGTTAATTTGTGTGGTGGTGGTGGTGATGACCTGATGTTAAGAAACAATTATTTCCAGCTGAATTAAATAATGTGAGAACTGAAGTGTGAGATTTGGAAAATAGAGCCTGTTTGTGCACAAATATCACTTTTGTGGTAAATTAAATGACAAGGGAACTATGCCAAGCCAAATTCTTCGCTTTCCTCTAGTTCATATGCATAAGCAGTCCCTCCCCCGTGTTGCAGCTAGCAAATGTTCATCGCCTTTTTGTCAGTGAAACAAAAGAGCAATCATCAAATCTACTATTTCAGCATATTTGATTCCCACACTCTGTCCGGACAAAACCAGTGCTGGTCACAGCTCATCTTCATGACTGAAGGATGATTGTAGGATTAAAACAGCACTGGTTATCTAAGCCACCTGAGGGAGCAACATTGGCACAAGGTTATCCTGTGTCTTATCCTATGTTTCTGCATACATAAACATTTAGGTGGATATGTGCTGGCTATTTTTTAATATGACACAGGCATTTTAAATCCCTTTCCCTTTCCTCACTTACGGCCTTTTAAACATTGACTTTCCTCAATACAAGAGGAACTGATATTGTTGACTTTATCTGTATTTCTTTATTTTGAATCTTGCATATTTTGCTTGTTATGGCAAAGTGGGGAAGAGAAGGTGAGAACAGTTTGGGTTTTGCTGTCCCTTGCTTGCCCAGCTTCAGGAGGGGCAAATGCAGAGGCTGATGCCAGTCTTTTTCTTAAAATAGTTCATCTTGTGTTCACTTACTTGCAAACATGCTGAGGTTCTCTTATAACAAAATGGACATTTGCTGATGTAATATGACGTGTTAGGGATTTAATTTAAAACTATGTTATAACATTTATTCTGTACTGAACACAATTCACTCTGCAGAGTGGAATCTTCTATACAATGGGCAAATTATTTCCCATCCTGTTTTTACTCTGGTTTATTAAATTTGTTCTTTGCTTCCCATAGCCAGAGTCCTGAAGCAGCTTACAAATGATAAAAAAAATTAAAAATACAAGTGATAATGGCATATCCTTTAAATCATGCAATAAGCAAAAAGTGTTAATTCAAAAAGTCACTCAAAAAAATCCACCACCACCAAGATGCATTTGAGCATGTGTTAATCAAAATACTAATTATTTTATCCATATTACAAGTTTATGCTGTTAGCATTATTCATTATATCTGCTTCATTTTTATTTGGCACTTCCAACAAGTAGTGAGGCAGCTGCTTGCTTCTTTGATTGATGAAACTGTGAACAGGAGGAAGTAAAACTGTATTGTAAAATGTTTCTCTTTAAGATTGGAGACAAAAACTGTTCCAGCCATTCCAGCAGTAATACCCTGTCAAGTAACACATCCAGCAACAGTGATGATAAGCACTTTGGCTCCGAAGACCTAATGGACACTGACTTGCTTGGATTAACATACATTAAAGGGGCTTCTACTGACAGTGGGATTGATACAGCTCCTTGTATGCCTGCTCCAATTTTGGCTCCTTTGCACCTGGCTGGAAGCCGGTCAGGGATACATAGCCGGACTGATCAGTGGGCTGAATCATCTGAAACTCCTGGACCAGATGATGAGACTAAAATGTATGCTGTTCACAGCTATGCTTCTGCCATTTCTAGCAGTCATACAGGTGATGGTAGCATGGGAGACCTCAGTGAAATATCTTCACATTCCAGGTAAGCAATCCCCCCCCCCCCCAAAGATTCCAGCTCCACAATTCTGTGATGGATAGTTCTGAGTAAAGCGTGGATTTACCTTTTTTTTTCTTTTCCCTATTAACATTACATTTTACATGAGTGCTTTTATAAAACCTCATTTCAACAATGTTACATTTCAGAACAGAGGAGGAAAGATTAAAATGCCACTTTCCTTACGAACTGCCTTCATGTGCTTGACAGTAAAACTATAAAAGGAGAAGAATATGCAATATTGTGTAGAGCTGTATATTCCATGCAATTGCATAATAGCATGTGACCTGTTTTCTTTGCTGTACGCCAAGTCTCTGCTTGTTCAACAACATAATTTAGATAACATGATTTTATATGTGGACACTTTTGAGTGGATAGTCTTCCCATGTGGCAGAAGATTGAACTAGATATCCCCCTACCTCTAATGTTTCAATTATGAAATCTGTAAATTACATTACACTTTTTAAATCTGCAAAACCCTTTGGATTATCCCAGCATATATAGACTATTGCAATCTTGGGGGGGGGGGGGGAGAGAGATGCACACGAACCCCTCTATGCATTGAAAGAGAGCTTGGGTGAGTGCATGGCTGTGTGGTCTAGCTCCACCCACTGCCACCACAGATGTATGTGTGTAGACCTTCTGACATCATTTGAATGTGCTGGCATCAGAGGAGTGTGACAGTGTTGGACAAGGCTAGCCTGCATGAAAGTGATAGTAAGTTGGACCAAGCCCTGTAGCCCTACCACATGCTCTTTCAGTTCATGGAGTGCTCCATGACTTTTGCATAAAATGTTGACACTGAAAAGAATGTGACACGCAAATGTGTGTACATATTTTACCTTTGTTTTGTGAACAAGTGGGTCTGGTTTATGATGATAGTGATTTGCAGGGCAATCCCTAGCAATACTGAGTAAAAGCATATGTCCTTTGAGTGGAACAGAACAAGACATTCTAAAAAGTGTGTTGGGATTTCCACATTTAGAGTTTTTAAGGGTTTAAGAACTTAACCAGTGGAAATTGTTCCTATTTTTTACTTCTCTGAAATACAAAACATTTGCAAACAAATCAACTCGGCACTTGAAATCCTGTCACTTCAAGTTCTGTACTAAATGTCTTTGTACATCTGGTCTCTTAGTTTCAGTTTCAACTTAACTAAGCTGTAGAAGATGGCAGTGAAGTAAGAACATAAAAACTAAATAGAATAAAACCCACAGAAATATAGGAATTCCATGAGTGTGTTCATCTTTCTTGCTGAAATGTCAGTTTAAACTATGATGTTTGAAAGGCCTCTTACAGCAATGTTTGGGTATATTTTTGAATAGTTTATCTGATACTGGTGTGTTTTAAGCATTGCGTTAAATTGAAGAAAGGTGGGACATATGTAGTAATGCTTTATAACCTATAACAAAATGTACTTTTAAATTGATTGGGCACAGTCTAGCCAAAGAATAACACTGTCAAACACAGTGGTCGTTATCTGGGCCATTCTCTTAATTCCCCGCCTCCTGAAAGAAATATAGCTGATCCAGGAAGTGGGGCGGGGGCTTTTGGTTGTAGCAACCTATGTTATATCCTCCCCAGGGAAGGTCATCTGGTGCCATCCTTGATATAATTTTGGTAGTAGTAGAATTATTTTTTATTTGCCTAGGTATTCCAGCATGTACTGGTCTTAATAGTGGCTTCATCCATTTTGCTGGATTTTATTGTTGTTGTGTTTTTTCTCTACATTTTTCTTGTTTTAAGTTATATTTCTAATTCATTTATGTTTAATGGATACTGCCTTGAGAATTGTACAGCATACATTTTCAAAATAAATTTCCTATCAGCTGTAATGGGGAAATTATGAATTTCTATAAATACATCCAGTGAAGCCAGGATGACTTTAAAGTATTTATTCGATATTGGACAAAGAAAGCAAATAACATTAAATATGACTGACCTCTGTCCTTTTGAGAAGACTTTATTTTAAAAAAAAATATGTATGTGATATATTTTCCTGTCACATATATCCTCATGTAGTTCACTGTGTATTTTGTTTTGTGTGTTTTCCTCTCCTCTAGTGGGTCACATCATTCAGGAAGTCCTTCAACACATGGCCCTAAAAGCAGTGGATCATTAGATACATCCAAAGTGTACATAGTGTCACAAAATTGTAGTCAACAGATCTCTGGCCCCATAGCAAAATGCTACCCTCGACAAGGAGCTATAAGCAAATATGTCATTGGCTGGAAAAAGTCAGAAGGTAGCCCTACACCTGAGGAGTCTGAAGCGTCGGAATGCCAAGAGTAAGGGATAGTTTGTTTTCTTGGGGAAGAAAAGTTTGTGTGGATTGGAGGCGGAGAAAAGCCTGAATCATGAAAGGAAATGCAGGCTAGATGATGCATAATCCCAGGACTAGGAAGAAGCAGGGAAGGGCCAGACAAAGTTAGCTGCTTTCTATCGGTTTGGCATGAAATCAAAGTTCTAAATCAGTATGTAGAAGGAAAGTGCATAGTTGAATATTTCAGTTTGTTTTATACATTTTTATGTGCAGTTGATTTCTTATCCAAAACTGCTTTGCAAAATTTCTGGTAATAACAAAACATGCTCTAATAATATAATTACATAAATGTAAAAGGAATGTTATGCTTTATTACTAGTAACCTAATCTGTGCTCAACATGAATGTGTACTTTGTTATTTTTTATTTAATAATAATCCAGGAAGAAAAAGGAATTGTATTGTGTGTTTTCTCCTCCATGTTGGAACCCAGCTTTAAACAACAAACAAAAAAACTTTCTTGGAACTTTTAATGAATGATGTACTAGATACTGTTACTGTGGTTTTAGTGTCAAGTTTTGATCATCATTTTAGAGAGTTAACAACTTTGCAGCATTCCCTCTAATTGTAAAGAACAAATTGTTTCTACAGAATGTATAGTGATGTTGAGGGCCTATCATCAAGTCAGCTTCAGGCTTCTATAAGGAATACAGTTTCTGAAAGTCAGCGAGTCTTATCAAAAGAAGAGTTTCTGAAGTTGATGATGCCAGACAACATCTCTGTGGAGGAAGGCAGAAGAAAGGTTAGCTGCTGTTACTTTTTGCTTTGTCTCTGTGTAACCGTTAGAGGCAGTTATGGTGGTGGGAGCACTGCTTGATATAGAGATAAGTTCTAAAAAGAGCTGTAAATGAGAGAGTATAGAGCTTGTAATACTACTACTACTACTAATAATAATAAGCATGCTCACAAATATGAAGCCTGGTATGGTTATAGTCAGGAGGTTTGGTATATTTAACCTGAAAGCTCTTCACTTTAAGGCAGGGGTGGCTGCCCTGAGACTCCAAATTTTGTTGGTCTCCAACTCCCATCAGCTCCAGCCAGCATGGCCAATGGTTAGGGATGATGGGAGTTGTAGTCAAGCAACGTTTCAAGGTCCACAGGTTAGCCACCCCTGCTTTTTAAGTTGCTGCGTGTATAGATTCTCATTTGGGATGGAATTTTCTGAAAATAATGATGTTGAACTTGCACATTTGGACTATGGTTAAATGTGATGGATGAGCTAGGCTGCTGTAACTTGCACAACATTTTTAACACATTCTTTGAAGTGTATTTTAAGTATAGAGGATTGGACTGGCATTTCTGGAGAGGTTTGAGAGTTATCCAGAAAATAAGCTTAGAGGCTATCATGAAATAACTGTCTGTTTGGTTGGTTGTAAGGTGCTTTGGGTTGCCCTGGGAAAGGTAAAGCAACTAACAAATTCTTTTAGGTATAACTTAAGTGACAGTATATAAACCTGAGGGGGAAGGTGAGGGAAGTCAGCCTGAACCACATGGGAACCATTTCCAATAATCCACTTTCCATATTGTGTAGTGATCATACTGGTTAAGTAATACCTGAAATGGGTTTAAGAGAACTTGGTTGATGTCCTAAAGCAGAGGTGGGGAATCTCTAGCCTGTGAAGCCATTTTATCCAAAGCATACCCTTCTACCTATTAGCTTTTGTCACTCGTGACATCGTCTGCTGAACAGGAGGGTGGGGTTGGATCTTGCTCAGTTTGGCTGTATGCTCCCATTCCCAGAATTTCCTAGCTTTGGGATTTCACCTGCCATGATTCTGCTCTCAGGTGTTTGGTTCCACTCACCTGTCAGACAAAGGCAGCAAGGGGTGGACAGAACATAACAACCTGGCCCTCGAGGCTAGAAAGCTTCCCCAATACTGGCATCAAGGAAAGGGGAATCGGTGAAAATTGCCACCTCCTTCCATCAGAGGGACCCTGGAGTGGATCAAGGGACTTTCTGCAAATGAGAAGTAGAAGATAATTGGTTTAATCCAAGTTATATTTTGGAGTCTATATATAGCTAATGACTTGGATTAGATATTAGAACAGTCTTTAAATCAAGACTACACATTAACAGTTTTAGAAGGATTTCAAAGAATTCTTGCAACTATTACCTTCAGCGAGCTAGAGGTTTCATTTATTACTCTGGAGTTAATACAACATTTCAGTAAGTAATCATTCATTATGATGAATGCTTGTATGTCAGAAGAAAATCTAATAATCCAGTAACTTTGCTAAAATGCCAGATAACCCAAAATGATTGATGTTAGTGTACTATAGTGGGTAAGACTTATCTACAGAATGAACTATTAGAGCAATCATTAGACGCCACCTCACCAATTAAACAGTATATAAATGAATAAATTAATAATAGTGATGATGATAATGATGATGGAAAATATTTTCTAATTTATATTTTTCAAAAAACATAGTTTTCATTTTACGGGAACCTATCTCCAAGGAAGACGCTGTACCGCACTCTTTCTGATGAGAGCATATGTAGCAATCGGAGAGGATCTTCATATGCTAGCTCGCGGAGCTCAATGCTAGACCAAGCTTTGCCAAATGATATTTTGTTCAGTACTACACCACCATATCACAGCACCTTACCTCCTAGAACAAGCTTAACCACTGGTACTGGACACCTACGACGTAAGTGTGTGTTAAACACTGTCTCATTTGATACTGTGCAATTGAAGGTAGATCTTCTAAACAGAATGTAGGAACCAAATTGAACCATTAGTTCCTCTAGTTCAGTACTGACCAGGAGCAGTTCAGAGTTGTTCACCTGGGATCAGCTCTCCGGGTTTCTTTCCCAGCCCTACCTGAAGATGGCAGAGCTTGAACTTCGGGCATTGTGTATGAACACCAGTCCAATGCTAGATGACAAAATCCCTCTGGGAAGGGGCCTCAGCTACAAAAGATGGCAAGAGTGGTCAGATGGTTTCACTCAGACTGTTTTCACATTTTTGCTTGGATTCTTCTTTCTGCTCCTCTATTCAGTCTGTCATCTTTATTCTTAATTCTGTTATCTGCGAGGTAATTACAATGTATTGTGCTTTTTGCTAATCAAATCATGTAATAGGGGAGCGTGGAATACGGCTTGAAAAAGATACTATGAATCTTAATCATGTCTAACAGTAACTGAGATTCCTATCATAAACAAGATTTAAATCCCAGGTTTGAATCTTGTTTGCAACCAAAGTTTAAGAGGCTAATTAGTCTTAAGAAATAAATTGTGCTGGTTCAGACATAACCCATAACCGTGGTTAGTTCAATCAAGGGTAGGGGAAGGAGCACACACAGTACCTGGTCCAGGCTGAGATCACTGCCATCAGCACCAGGGAAGTTTATCTCCACAGGGAAGACAGCAGTAAAACAAAAATCTACATCTCCCAACACCAGAAGGGCAAGTCTTCCATTCAGAAGACCTTGCAGCACCCAGAGTGGGGCAACAAACTTTGGCTCTCTCACATCTCCTGGAACTGGTGCAGCTTCTCACACAAAAACCAAGGAACTCGAGCAGCAAGGAATGCCCACCCAAATAATGCCCACCCAATCTTTTACCATTGTTAGAGATCAGGACCAGTAAGCAGATGAGTTTGTGAAAAAATACAGCTTGGGTCAGAGGTGCCAACTTAAATATTGAGGGGGGGGAGCAAGTATTCCCTGCCCCACATAATTGATCACAAGACATACATGCTGTTTTAATGGCAATGCCCATCAACTTTGGGGGCCCTTGGCCCCCTCAAATATTTTATTGGAGCTGAAGAGACCTCAGCCCCTAGGAGTTGGCTCCTATGGTTAGGGTCGGTTCATCAAAGCTGGGATTGCTATTTGGAGGGATGGAAGCTAGAAGTAAGGTTTTCCAAACAAGATTTCGAAACTATCAGCATAAACTAAAATATTATCTCATTCATATCCAACCGAGCACTAGGAAGCTTGTTCAGTCTTAGGTAAGGATCAGGCTGCTGCCACTTAGCTGTTCAAACTCCTTCCCATTACATCTCAAACAAGTTCCATCTCTGTTGTAGTTTTGATGCCTATTGAAAGCCTTCCTTTTTCAAGAAGCCTTTTAAGAGTGGCAATTTTTGTCCCAGTCGGCATCTGTGTTGGATTTGAAATTGTTTTTGTATGTTTTAATTGATCACTTTAAAATATACAATGAGAAGTGATTCATAAATGAAAAACATTTATTTTAGAGTGGTAACTATTAGCTAAATACACTTTGTAGCATATTGATGGCCTGATACTGTGTGTACATATTTTCTGGTTTTGGACCAGTCATAGCCCTGCTTTCAGGTCAGACACTCCCAAAGTAGTTCACATTGTATTAAAAGCATAACATCTATGATGACCTAATTAAAAACTATAAAATACTATGGCATATACACAGTCCATAAAAAATAAAACATTTTTAATATTGTAATTATTCATTTTCTAACCTGTTGAAACATTGTCCTGAAGATAGCTTCTGCTTCTGCTTCTTAATTTAGATGAGTTTTGGTTCTCAGACGGGTCTTTATCGGACAAATCAAGATTCAATGATCCTGGGTTGATGCCCCTTCCAGATACAGCAACAGGATTAGACTGGTCTCACCTTGTAGATGCTGCACAAGCATTTGAAGGTACTGTAAGAATTTCTGCAACCGCTGCACATGTAGTTAGTAGAAATTAAAGTCCAATGCTTATTGTAACATGATTCATTACCCCTTGTTATTGGCAGTCCTGCACATGCACCCTTGACTTACCTGTTTTTTGCCATTCAGTGATCAGTCACTTCCAGTTGATAGATGAGCCCCAAGAACTATGTTGGTGGACCATCAGGTCATTTTGCACAATAGCCTAAGACCAAAGGTGGCATAAGGAGAGCTAGAAAGAGAACAGCATAGGCTGACATCCTGAATTACTGAGTTTTCTTAGGGCAGTTTTTTTCTACACATAGCCACTAGTTCATATTATAAATATCTTAAGAATCAGACAAAGTCCTGGCTAAAGAGGAACACTTTCGCCTGGCTCCTAAATGTGTAAAATGAAGGCGCCGGCCAAACCTCCCTGGGGAGAGCATTCCACAAGCAGGGAGCCACTGCAAAAAAGGCTCATCTCGTGTTGCTACCCTCCAAACCTCTTGTGGAGGAAGCACACAAGAAGGGCCTGAGAGGGTGATTTCAGGGTGTGAGTAGGTTCATATGGAGAGAGGTGGGCCTTGAGGTCTCCTTTGAGCCATTTAAGACTTTATAAGTCAAAACCAGCACTTTGAATTGGGCCCAGCAACTAATTAGTATCAAGTGCAGTCAGAGCAGGATTGGTGTAATATACTCAAACAGTCTTGCCCCAGTGAGCAACCTGGCCCCTGAATTCTGCACTAGCTGAATTTATCAAACTGCCTACAGAGGCAGGCCTACATAATGCAATAATCTAACCTAGAGGTTACCAAAGCATATATGACATAAGTTAGGCTGTCCCTATCAGTGCTTTTTTCCTAGTAAAATAGATGCCGGTACTCAACATGAAGTTGTTACAGTAAGTGCCACACTTTATAACGACAACAAAAGAGGTGCTGATGCTGCATACCCTTGAGTACCCCTGAAAAAAGCACTGGTCCACCACCCAAATAAGGGTGCAGCTGGGCCACCACCCAAAAGTGATGGAAGCGGTGTGCCACTGAGGCCACCTGAGCTTGAAGTAACAGCAAAGGATCCAGGAGTACCCCCAAGCTATGTATTCGCTCAATCAGAGTGTAGCCCCATCAAAGTTATTTACACAAAGACTTTTCTGCCCCAGTGTTGCTTCCTTCAACCCCTGCCACCTCCAGAATATTTTCAGAAGTTTGGTAGACTCTCCCAAATGTTGTAGACTGTAGCATGGGAAACTGTAATTGAGTGTTGGGGAATTGCCAAACTTGGTGGAGGTTATTTGAACAAGTGGAGCTGAGCTCATGCAAGAGGACTTCCTTTTCTACCCCCCCCATCCTCCATTTTATCCTCATAACAACTATGCGAAATAGATTAGAATGAAAGACAGTGATTGGCCCAAAGGTACTCCCCCACCCTGAGTGAGGTTCAAAGCTGAGTAGAGATTTGAATCTGGATTTCTCCAGCCCTGATTTTATTCATATTCAAAATGTTGGATATAAAAGGCTTTTCCGATTCCTTCAGACAACTGTAGCAGTTATTGCCGCTGCTGTTTTTCATGGATGCAATACAATAAATAAACTTGTGCGGTTTAGCACATAATGGAAATTTTAAAAACTCTACTGTGTTTCATAGTGTGTGTTTGGAAATCTGCTTGAGCTAAGTAGCTAAGACTGCAATCTTATGCATAGTTACAAGTGAGTAAATACCACTGAACAGTCAGTAAACATGCAAAGGATTGCTCTGATAGTATGTTTAGAATTGTAGTGTAAACATTGGAAACAATTATGAATGAATAGCTTTAGTAAAAAGAACCTGAGGAGAGAAAATAGATGTATCTTTTTTAAAGAATAAGAATAAGAAGGTTGATTGTTAAAGGATGTATACTATTGAAAGCCAGCTTCTAAGTCATCATGCATATGGAACACATGCTTTTTCTTTGTTTGAACTTTTTAACACTTCCATCTTCAAAGGACCTCAGGGCAGTATACAAAGGTTTTCTCCCAATTTTCTCTCTACAAGGAACCGGGGGCGGGGGGGAGTTAGGCTGTCAGAGACTGTGGCTAGCCCAATGTTCCTCAATAAGTGTTGTGACTGATCAGGGATTGGAACCCATATTTTCAAAGGTTCACACTATTCACTACATCACAATAGCTCTGGTTTATGGTTGCCACCTCAACATCAGAAGACCTCTTATCCTAGCAAAGCATTAAAACTGTGCCAGAATACATGTTTAAGAACAGGATGTTACATTGTTAGAGCACTGCATTAATAAAAACATAAAATCAAAGTTAAGACTAAACTTTACAGAGCATGTTAGCCTAAACAGTTTGACAAAGACAATGGATCTACTATAGGTGTATTTCAATTAACTTGAAGCTAACTTCTGTTATAATGATTAATATAAATGTGATCTAACAGCTGGTTTCTGAACTTTTATTTTGTAGACCTTCAAATGTCTTCGCATAAATTTTCATTCTTTGCTTCTTCCAGTTTGTAACAGTGATCAGCACACTTCTGCTTGCATAGCTGACTACTGTTCAGCAGTTATATTTCTTTGTAGAATCAGTATTCCTGTTCTAGGTATAACAAAGGTATCTGTTAATACCATACTTTAAAAAAAAATGGCTGGCATAATTCAGATCTGTATTTATATGCTGAAGGACAGAATAGAGGCCTCTACTCACAAACAGGATCCAAGGGCCTGGTGTACATGTTGTTAATCAGAAGGATCATTGTTCATGTCTAATGTTGGTTCATTCAGTTCCCTTCTGGATTTCAGATTCCTGATATGTTATGCGTTCCCATGATTTCATTCTCTTTGAGAGAGACAGAATGAACATCTTAGATCTGTATTGCCTTTGTTAGAGATGGAATCCATCTGCAATAGCTCTTTCTTCTTGGATAAGCTATTACATTTTAAAAGCCATAACATCAGTAATTGTATTCTGTCTTCAACAGCAGCCAGTATTCAGTTCTTCAGAGGAAATTTGCAGGATTGCAAGTCAAAAATTATTATGTTCCTTGTTCTTCTCTGTGTCTGACATTTTTAGGCCTTGAGACGCTCTGAGAAAGATGTTTGTATTTTGGCCATATTAAGAACATAAGAAGAGCCCTGTTGACTGCCCTGTCTAACATTTTTTAATCAATCTTTCCAAAATTTAATATCTCCAGAATTTAATATCACCCTTTGCTCATTTCTTCTCTAGTATTTACTTTTGCTACTTCTGGTTGTGCCAGTGATAGTCTGCAGATGTATCATCTGTTTGTATTTTTATACTTTTCCCCTTTGTAGATCAAACAAAAGTGTTAAAGGTTGGCTGCTAGGACTTTCAACAATCCTTGACACTGGATATCTACTATTCAAAAGTCTCTAGAGGAAAAAGAAAGCATATACTAGGAATATACAGTATTTTACATGCAGCCTGGTAAAATTACATTTACAGTCAAACATATCTGAAGGTTGCCATGCATCATGCTATCTTGCCAAGAAAGCGAAAGAAAAAGACTATCTAGCATTCAAATTTTACATATGTTTATGAACTCCTGTGTCTCCTCTATCATTTCCCATCATCTGCTAGGGAACATTTTTAGGAAAAGATTCAAATATTTACTTTTATTTCATAATTAAAAGATTGACATGAAAAGGGAAAGTGATAACTAGGCCTCAAGCTGCAATTTTATTTTAGTCCCATAATTCTTACAGGGCATAATAATGAAAATGGATAGTTTGTCTTTTGGAAAGAGGAAATCCTGAAAGCTATTATGCTGCCATTATTACTGAAAAGTAAAATCTTTTTTTTTTTACTAAGCACATGTAGCAGTGGGGTGAGTTGATGAGGAAAACTACTGTTTTGAGAAAATCAGCAAAGGTCCCACAGAAAGAGTTGATGTTAAGTAATATTCCATAACTGTTGTGTCTCATAAGGATTGCAACTATATTATTCCAAAGTTAGCTCGGTGGACTTTGTTGTTCATAGGAGCATTCTAAATCTTATTTCAGATTTTGACTCTGACGAAGAACTTGGGCCAGTCTGTCATCACACTCCGTTTCTAGGTGATGGTCTGGGGTTGGCTGCTGAATCTTATATATAAAAAAAAACCTATCTTTATGCTTTTATATGTTTGCACGGTTGCATGATTATATGCAAGCATTGGGCCTTTGTGAGATGTGAGGGGAAGGCATGTTATGGTCAGGGCCAGCAGAAGTCTGTGGACCAGAGAAATCTGAATACAGTCTATATATAAATGAATGATCTCTGTTGTTGCAGCATAAACCGTTTGCATGGGGGGGGAAACCTCAAAGCGTGATTTACTCACGTTCTATACCAGTTTGTGTGTGGCATACTCATTTTCTTTTAGAACTGGGTATATTTTTGTATGCCATACTGCATGTCCTTCAGTAAAGAAACTCTGTTCCCAAACAAGGCAAGCATGTATTCTGCAAGCCCTAGGGTAAAGATTTTATTCCAGAATCCTAAAAGGAAGCAGCTGACAATATATGTGGAAGATTGGTAAATGTATGGCAATAGTCATAATGGTAGCATTTGCATATTATTCTGTTCAGGTAGAATAACTGTGCCTTGCTATACTGCATTCCATAACTTTTTATGGAATTATGCATCTTCCTCTGTCCCATTAAATGCCTGCATTTGCTCTTACAGTAGTTTGCTTGAAATTGGTCTTGGTCTCAGATTTTCTGTACATTTCTGTCGAAATAACTTAGTGAAAACAAATCTGTCTTGTTTTGTTGATATATGCAAAGCTGAGGCTATAGTGGTCTTGCTATCAGATGCTTTATGTTGGAAATTCAGGGGGTATGGGGGCGGGAATTCCCTGTAATATATATACTTGTTTCTTGGCTGTAGCTGAATTGGATAAAAGAACACCGGTTGTTTAATCTGAGAGTATTTTTATACAGTCATTTCATTTTAGATGTTTATTTATTTATTTCCCTTCCAGATCAAAGGGTTGCATCTTTTTGCACCTTGAATGACATGCAGCATGTGCAAAGCTTGGAGAGTAATCAAGCCTTGGGCGCAAGTCCAACAAATGGAAAGGACTTCATTGACACTACTGGGTATGTAAACCTTGCCTCTTTTCTTTGAGGGGAAACATGATTGAACAAATTCCTGAAAACATTCCTCCTGGAAGGAATAGAGAGGCACAGTGATAGATAGGATTATAAACAGGGGGTTGGGGGTATTTGGCTTGGAACATCTTCAAGGACTTGGATAGGGGATTGTCTTACCTCAGTACTTGAGATAGATATTGTGCTTCAGCTCAGAGGTTGAGTCTCACCTCACTTCAGATTCTGAAGTCATAGGCTCCCCATCGGCTAAAATGAAAAAACAAAAAGAGGTGGGGAAAATACTTGAGGAAGGCTGAGAAGGAGTTGCTAGCCTAGAAAGCAGAAAGGAGAGAGAAGGAAACATGTACAGTGGTACCTCGCAAGACGAATGCCTCGCAAGACAGAAAACTCGCAAGACGAAAGGGTTTTCCGTTTTTGAGTTGCTTCGCAAGACGATTTTCTCTATGGGCTTGCTTCGCAAGACGGAAACGTCTTGCAAGTTTGTTTCCTTTTTCTTAAAACCGTTAATACAGTTGCGACTTGACTTCGAGGAGCAACTCATAGCACGCAGTGTGCGTCTCCGTAGGGGCAAGAACGCGTGAAGGCGGGTTCTGAGGGAGAGGGAGCTTTGTTTCGGCGAAAAATAGCAAGGCGCGCACACTTCCCTCCCCACAACTCCCAGTTAGGGAGGCCAGGCTCCGGGGCTCTTCGGACGGGGCTCCTTCCTTCTCCCCCCCCCCAGCGCCCCGGCGGTGACAAGAGCGCCTGCCCGGGCCCTCCGGCGCTCGCCCTGCGAGGGGCGCCCCCTACCTGCATCTCCGCGCTTTCCAACCCCGCGACGGCTGCGGCAGGTTTGCCTCTCGGTGTGTGTGCGCGCAAGTGTGTGTTCTCCTCGCCCCGCTCGAGTTAGTCCCGGCGCAGCGCAGGCAGCAGGTGAGTCGCCCTTTGGCAGCGCGGAAGGCGCCGGGCCAGGCAAGGTCAGCTCGGGAGCCACCGGGGACGTGCCCCCACGCTCCTCTCCAATGGGCTGGATGCACCCCTCTCCGCTCGCGCACTTCTGGCTGGCTAGCCGGCTGCAGTAGCAACAGGGGAAATAGGCATCCACCGTCGCCGACGCTCCCTCCCTCCCTCCTGCCCGCGGCGGGCGGCTGGCTGGCTGGCGCTCTCGCTTTTCTTCGGGCTGCTGCTGCAGAAGGGATTTTGCACCAGACAACTTTTAGGTCGGTAGGAATTTTGACTACCGCGGCGACAGCAGCAGCAGCAGCAAGACGGCACCGACTGTAGTGCAAAGGGTCGGAGCAAGGCGAGCCGAACCGATCCCAGGGGCTCAGGCAGCAACCTCCGCCCCGCCTCCCCTCAAGCTCCGCGCCCGCCTCTCCCTCCCTCCCAAGCACCCCCCTTTTTTGAGGTTTTTGAAGACTTTGGTGATTTTTGAAGCTTTTCCAAAACTTTTCCGACACCGTGCTTCGCAAGACGAAAAAAATCGCAAGACGAAAAACTCGCGGAACGAATTAATTTCATCTTGCGAGGCACCACTGTATCTAAAAGGCCTGTTCTCTGCCTGCCAGACAAAAGTGAGAAGTCTTTAACCTCAGCACACATCTCACAGGGAAAGGAGGGGGAAAATCCCTTTTGCAGGTTGAGCCTTCCCTAAGAGGTTCTTTCCCCACTCCTCCTGGGAGGTGCGACTTCACGTAGCAATGCAATTTAAAAATCAAGTCGTCTTGCTTTTGTGGCACACAACTTTTCATAGGGAACAGGCACTTGCTATGAAAGCAAGCAGACCTGTTTTCCCTCCCCTGCTGCTTTCTTTAGCTGTGTGTGCCTATTCCCAAGAGAGAAACTGAGCAGGATTTAACTTCTGCCTGTCAGCTGTTAAGCAGAGGTAGAATTCTGCTGCTTTGGCTGCAGTCACCTGTTTCCTGCTGGGGACAAGCACCTGCAACATTGCAGAATTGAGTCCTAGCCTCAGTTGATGTCATAAATGACACCAGCTGCTTGACAGGTCGGCATGGTTTGGGAGAAATGGCTTTGTGGGCTGGAGGTTCCCCATCCTTGCACTAACATCTCCTGGTAAGGAGCACAGGACTGAGAGAACAGACGTACGTGTGTGTGTGAGAGAGAGAGAGAGTGAGTGTATGTAGATAGATATATTGTATGACTTCCCCAGACCTTGTGTTTCTTGAGTCCTTACCAGTTGGACTTGGAGCTGCGGTTGTTGGCAGGATAGTTGGGAAGTGGTTGGCTGGATAGTTGTTTTCTGCTACTGTGTTTCTTGCTACTAAGAGTTGTGTAGGAGGGCCTGGCTAGTCTAAGGATTTTATAAAATAGCTGTTACTGTCACCCTATTTGATTTTTGGTGCATGTGTTTCAGTCTCTGCAAAAATTAATGGTATGGTGGTGCTGAGTTATTATTGTTTGTATTGCCTTTTTGCCTATACTTATATGTTAGTGATCCCAGGACTGGTCAGGGTGTGAGACTCACCCAGTCCTGTGTGTTTGGTACCCATGAGTGAGAGGCGGGGGGAATTTGATTGTTTCCCAGGAAAGAACAGTGTGGTTGCTTAAGCAAATTAATTAGCATCTGTCTAATTATTATTGCTGGTGTTAAGATTCTTGTTATAGCCTAGGGTGGTTGTGTATTGTGGCAGGAGGTGCTTGAAGATGTGTGTGGGAAGGAAATAGGATGAAGAGGGTTGGGGGAGATTGGGGGAAGTAGACAGCATGGCTCGAGAGGAGTCGGTTCAAGGGGGTTCACATATGATTGCTTAATGTCTCCCACTTGGCTCCTCTCCAATAGCCTAGTGTTGTTGTTGTTAATCTCCATGTATATATAAATTTAATTTAATAATAATAATACAACTTTTGCTGTCTCTATATAAAAAAAACCAGTTGTGTAGTTTGGAGGTGCTCCTGGGTCTAACTTTGTCACTTGAGGTTCAGGTACCTTTAGCGGATAGAAGTTCCTTTTACCACATTTGGCTACTGCAGCAGCTGCACCCATCTTGGACAGGGATAGCCTGGATACAAAGATTCATTCATTGGTAACCTCAAGTGTTTCAATGGTTGCAATGCACTCTGCACCAGGCTGCCCTTGTGCCTGGTTCAGAAGCTCCAGCTAATTCAAATTTCTGTGGCTAGACTGTTGGTAGGTACAGACTACTACCAGCACATAACTTCAGTTATGAAAAGCTTGCACTGGCTGCCCACATATTACCAGGCCAGGTTCAAGTTTCTTGTATTAATTTACAAGGCCCTTAACAACCTGGGTCTAGAATATATTAAGGACTGTCTGATCTCCTATATCCCAGTCCAATCAGTGATCTTTGGGGGAGTCCCTGTTGGCAGTCACCCATGGCTCAGATGCATGGCTCATAACTACTAGAAGCCATGTGTTCAGTGTAGTGGGCCCAAACCTCTGGAAATCTCTTCCATCTGAGATTGGACAGGCACCTTCATTTGCTGAACTTCAGGTGCATGCCTAAGACTTCCTTGTTGCAGCATGCATTTTGAGGTAGTGCTCAGTTTTATTGTACATTTTTATTATCCCATTTTTTTGTGGATTGCTTTTATGTACACCTCATAAGAAATGCTTTAATAAATAAAAATTAAAACAGGCATTAAAAACCCATCATAAAATGTAGACACAACCCTCCAATTCCAGTGCACTTGAGGAGGAGAGGATTGTAATTCTTGGCCTGTTACCTGCTTCTATAATAGAATGTATTTTGTATGAATAATTTGTACAGATCCATGTAGGAACAGAGGCAGGATGTATCTTGTGGGTTGTAATGGGAGAGTCTAAAACTGGCAGGGATCATCGGGTAGGACAGGGATGGGGAACATGACTTTAGATTCTGTCGGTGCCAGTAAGCATGGCTAATGGTTAGGGATGATGGGAGTTCCAACCCAAAAAGTTTTGAAGGACCACACATTCCCCCACCTCTGGGGCAGGGCTCATGGATTTTATTAAGCCCCCCTCTAATTATCTTTCCCCCATCATTTGAGCACTGCCTTAAATTACATTTCAACTTTGCAGTTTAATTGTACAACATTTTACTACTAAAAACTCTAGGCATTTAGTGGAATAGAGCATAAAATAATCACTTGACACAAAGATTAAGGTTTATGAGGGACTTCTTTACATTTCTGAAGTTTCAGATTTCTGGTAGGGGCAAGAGGGAAGTTAATGGGAGCAATGGTGGAGAGGTTCACTGCCCTGTTGTATTCAACCTTAGTGCAGCTCAGGCATTTTAATAGTAAACGACAAGACAAACAACGTAACCCCACAGTCACAGAAGAGTTCAAAATTGAAAAAGGGACACGACAAGGTTGCCCTATCTCCCCTTTGTTATTTATTTCGGTTCTGGAAGTGCTACTGAACTTGATTAGAGGGGATCGATTGGTGGAAGGAATTCAGGTTGGTCAGAAACAATATAAACTAAAAGCTTTTGCAGATGACCTGGTTTTGACCCTGCAGAAGCCAGAGCCCAGTACGAAAAGAGTATTACAATTGATTAATGACTTTGGTCGGGTGGCGGGATTTAAATTAAATAAACAGAAAACTAAGGTTTTGGGGAAAAATTTGACTGATACAGAGTCAGAACGGTTTCAGAATGAGACGGAACTTAATGTGGTTAAAAAAGTAAAATACCTAGGGGTAAACATAACAGCAAAAAACCTAAGTCTATTTAAGGATAACTATGAAAAATGTTGGACAGAAATTAAGAGAGACTTAGACAGTTGGTCAAAATTGAAACTTTCTTTGTTAGGCCGAATTGCTGCTATTAAGATGAATGTATTGCCAAGGATGTTGTTTTTATTTCAAACACTTCAGGTTTTGGACAAAACGGAGTGCTTTCAGAAGTGGCAGAGAGATATTTCGAAGTTTGTCTGGCAGGGCAAAAGCCCAGAATCAAGTTTAAGATATTAACTGATGCAAAACAAAGAGGGGCTTTGCCCTGCCGGACTTAAAGTTGTATTATGAAGCCGCAGCGTTCTGCTGGCTAAAAGACTGGCTACTTCTTGAAGACACTGATGTGTTGGATTTGGAAGGGTTTAATAATGTTTTTGGATGGCATGCATATTTATGGTATGACAAAGTTAAAGCAAATAAGGCCTTCAAGAACCATATTGTCAGAAAATCATTGTTTAATGTCTGGACAAAATATAAAGACTTGCTGGAAAATAAAACACCAAGGTGGCTTTCACCTTTGGAAGCTAAGGCCCGAAAAAGACCCAATAGGGAGGCTAAAGGGCCAAAATATTGGGAAATACTAGAAAAGATGGAGACAATTGGAAATTGCAGAGTTTGGAGAAAATGAAAGACAAAGTGCGAGATTGGTTACATTACGCTCAGATTAAAGAAGTTTTTAAAAATGATAAGAAACTAGGGTTCCAGGTGGAGAAATCGAAATTAGAAACAGAATTGTTAGAACCAAAGATTAAGGTACTTTCAAGGATGTATAACTTGCTGTTGGAATGGAATACACAAGATGAAATGGTTAAATCGGCTATGATAAGGTGGGCACAGGACATTGGGTATAATATTATGTTTGAGGACTGGGAAAGGTTGTGGAGTAATGGATTGAAATTTACTGCATGTAACGCTCTGAAAGAAAATGTAATGAAAATGATTTATAGATGGTATATGACCCCAGTTAAACTTGCAAAAATTTACCACCTGTCTGATAATAAGTGTTGGAAGTGTAAAGAGTGTGAGGGAACGTTCTTCCACCTCTGGTGGACCTGCCCTAAAGTGAAGGCGTTCTGGGAAATGATTTATAATGAATTGAAAAGGTATTTAAATATACCTTCACCAAGAAACCAGAGGCTTTCCTTTTGGGTATTGTCAGCCAAGGGGTGGCAAAGAAGGACCAGACATTTTTTTATGTATGCAACAACAGCAGCAAGGATACTTCTTGCAAAACATTGGAAAACCCAAGATTTACCCACACTGGAAGAATGGCAGATGCAACTGATAGACTACATGGAACTGGCTGAAATGACCGGCAGAATCCGTGACCTGGGAGAAAGAGAGAATCGAGGAGGATTGGAAGAAATTTAAGAACTATCTACAAAAATATTGTGATTTGAGTGAATGCTAAATAAGATGCTAGACCAAATAACTGAGCACCACTTAACTTAGAAGTTTTAAGAAAATAAGTAAGACTGTGAAAGTTTAACTCTCTATGAGAACCATAAGATTATGAAATATTGAAGAGATATAAGAATTTAAATAAGATGATAAATTGCTGACAAAATGTTATAACGATGAAAGTGGGAGCGGGAGATGTGAGGAAGTCCAAAGAAAATGTGAAACTATGTTAAGACAAATGTTATATTGTTTATTATGTTTATTCTTACTGTAAAACCCAATAAATTGCTTTAAAAAAAAAAAACAAACAACGTAACCCCACAATCCAGTTGCCCTAGAGAAATAAAAATCCAAAGGGAGCTTGCATGCAATGGTAATTTGGCTCATTATATCACTGTTCAGTGATCCTCCCTGCCTCGTGAGTTGCCACAACAATTGTATTTTTCTGACTGCTACATTAAGATTATAAGAAAGATTGCCAAAGATTTGCTGCAACAGAATTCTTAGAATCCATGTTTTAAATTTATCATATTGTTCATTTGAAGTCTGTTAAAATTTTAATCAGCTCTCATACTTTCCCAATATCTGTCAGCTTTTTTAAAACACCAGGAGCTGCCTCCGATATTGCTGGAGTGTTCTGGCTGCCACCAAAACAAACAACACACACACACCTTACTGCAGGGGAAGCCATTTATATGAAGCAGCTATTTTATTTTAATAGTTGTTTAGCTGTCATTTAAAATACAATATTATATCTCCATGGTGGCTTAATAATTTTTTTTAAAAAAGATTCAAATCTTAAGAGATATAAACAGCACAGCCCTAGTTCTAATAATAGCACTAAAAACATTTCAGATCAATATATCTTAGCATCCATAGCAATATAAAACTCTCTCCAGAATGCAGCAGTGACTTGGCCAGAGGGAGATCAGGGAAGAGGTGCAGCCCTACTGTGCCATCCACTACTAAGATAAGAATTGTATTTACTAAAGTTTTGAAGTGTCTGTTTATATTTTCAGTTTCGAAATGTGGAAAGAGGCATTGAAACAAAGTCTTTATCTTAAATAAGATGTCACATTTCTTGATACCTTTTCTTTATTTTATTTTTTTAGTTAGCAGTATTGTAATACAACTTGACATATTTGCATAATAATTCAATGAGAACCAGTGTGCTAGAATCTCATTTTCCTTCCTTTCAAAGCAAGAAAATTCATGATGACAGTTGTTTTCTGAACCGTTTTAAGAGAATTTTTTCAACCTGTAGCATTACCTGCTTTAGTTGATTTTGTCAAGAACAATGAACAGTTTTGTTTTGCCTCCTATTTTACTTGCAGATATAGTCTTGTATTTCATCTGACTGCGTTTTTTCTGTTAATGTGTCGGGCTTCTGTGGGCAGGGATACAAAAACAGCCACAGTCACTGGGATGTTCAGATCATGACTTTCATTAGGGATTAAGTATTACAGTACACTCTAATAGTTAACTCTAATAGTGTTAGAGACGCATCTCCCTGGTCATTTAGTCAGCCTCCCTGGATTAGGGTTTTAGACATTCCCCCAATATTTGTGAATCCACTCAAAAGCACTTTGGTATCTAGTGAATACCACACAGTTCCTTGTGTGGCAGCTTAACCTCTCTCTTTCCTGCATGCAAAAAAAGGGGGGGGGACCCTATTAATCTTTCCTTCCAGGACTGACCCACCTCCCTGGGGGCTGAGGCAAAGGAGTCCACTGAGTGAGGGTCTGTGTCAGTGCTCAAGCATTTCAGGGACTCGGCAGGGCAGTTCACTAGGCCCCCAAGTTCCTCCACCCTCCTTCCACTCACCTAACCAGCCATAGGTATGGTAAAGCATCCTTATGCCTCTCCCCATTTGTCAGCTAATCACTCCAGCCTCCAAGCATTTTCTCCTGGCTTGCCTGTTGCTCAGCCAAGACTCCTCCTACCAGCCTCCTCCTTTTCACCTGAGCTATAAGGAGTTTTGAAGCCCCAAGGCCAACAGATATGTCTTCTCCCAACAGGAGGAGAAGCTTGTCTGTCTTGCCTGCTGGCAAGCCTTGTTGACTGGGACCCTAATTCTGCCTCTGAGCAGGTGGGAAACACAGGGTGCAGTTGATCCTTCACATAATGCATATAGATTGAATATTACTTAATTATTATGGCAGTGGATTCATGAGGACTTAATGACTATGCATTTCTAATGATAGATCATAATTACGACCAGGTTAGAGCAATGGCCTGTATTGCTGTTAGTGTTCCTTGTGACAAGCACTTTGCACTCATCACAATGCCTAGCAGTAAGATTTACTTGCTCCTTGAGAATGATACCATAATCATATCTGTTGGTGTTTGATCTCAATTTGTGTCAATCTTGAGTGAGCTTGAACCTGAACAAGCTTTTATATGTGCTTTTTGCACTGATTACAACTGTTATTCATTGTCATCTGCACAGGGAGCTATTTTACTTGGGCGTGGGTAGGACATCTTGAAATAATTCAAAACTAAGTGCAATTTAATTTTGTAGGGAGGATAGCCCTACTACATTGACTGGAAAAGTAAACCAGCTGGAAGTGATCCTCCGACAGTTGCAAACTGATCTTCGGAAGGTAAAAATGTTTAGCAGAATAAAATGTCATTGGGTTTATCTAACACTGTAAGCATCTCACACAGTGGGACTTCTCCTTTCTCTCCTTCTCCTGTGCACCCCCCAAAATCTGCTCTGCGTGTCCCCTAACCCTCTGGACCAAATTTTGAGAAAAGGCCTTTAAAAATGTTTTTGAGCAATCTAGCCCCAAACCCAAATCAAGAATCCCAGCAGCTGCATTTAAGAATAAGAATAAGAATAAGAATTTTATTATTTATACCCTGCCCATCTGACTGGGTTTCCCCAGCTACTCTGGGCTGCTTACAGCATATCTTAAAACATAATGAAAACATCAAGCATTAAAAACCTCCCTATATTTAGCCTTTAAAAATGTAGAAAGTCTAATTAGTCTCCTGGCTAATCTAGTTGCTTCCTCAGGGCTGGATTCAGTATTTCTGGCATAATACGCTTGGGTAGCACTTCCTGTTCTCTAGTTCAGGTTCCCTATAACCTGGATGATAAATTATACTAAGTGATAGATAAGCTAATACTTGGCCTATGTTTAACACGGTATAGTAAGTAATACAGGCTGCATTTTCAGATCTACAAATGTGCCCCCCCCTTTTTTTTTTAGTTCACAGCTATTTTCTGTAAGAAAAATAAGTGTGTCAAGTTTGTTTAAATCATAGGTTTTAATAATGAAAAGAATTCTACTTTTTTCCAACTGAATACTAAGAAATAGGAATTTTCCTTTGCATATCCTTTGACTGTATCACCATTTTTCTTCATGACTACTTCTATTATGATAGCAGAATTAAGGGGGAAATGCTTCAACATGCGTAAGGTCTGAAGGCACTGATGTACTTGTTTACCACACAGATGACAAATTAGATTGCTTTCAAATATTACAGGAGGTTCAATACTACTTTGACTTCTTTGCAGTTGCCTTCTTACATAAGACTTGCTTTCAAAAATATTTTTTTTGCAAACATCTGCAAGGAATTATTTCATAACCTCTAAAGAAATAGCATATGGCTGCTTTTGCAGAGGTTCTCTGAAAGGAAGCACTTATTGTTATGTTTAGAAAACTTTTTAAATTGAGCAACCTATCCTCAAATCTAAGGTTCACATTACATGTTGCAGCAGTATAGCCCCTTGATTAAAGCTGGATCTCACCCCCTCTTACATGAGGGAGTAAAAGAGAATCTGGGTGTCTGGGGTTGGGGGTTTCCTGGAAAAGAAGTGGTCCATGGATGGGAGTGCTACCTCACCACTTACATCTGGTAGCCATCCGCCTGAAAAGCCAGTGAGGAGACACTATGGGGCTTTAAGCTAGAAAAGGGTTTAGTTTTTGTGCTCTTTTTAGTCTAAAAATCATACCCACACAAACATTTCATTCAAGCCCACGTCTGACACAACTGGGTACAAAACTGTGAACTGGTCGATTTCATCTATCTTTAGCACAAGAGCAATTTTTGCATCAGGGTTTCCAAACAGCTACTTCATCTTGACTATGGTTGTTAGGTCATATCTACATCATACATTTCAAACGCATGGCTTTCCCCAAAAAATCCTGGGAACTGTAGTTTAAGGGAACGGAATCATATAGCTTTGTGAGGAGTAAATTACAGTTCCCACAATTTTTTTTTTTCGGGGGGGGCGATATGTTTTAAATGTATAGATGTGACTTTAATAGCCTCTCATAGAGTTGGAAGGGACCCTGGGGGTCATCCAGTCCAACCCCCTGAAATGCAGGAATCTCAACTAAAGCAACCATGACAGATGGCCATCCAACCTCTGCTTAAAACCCTCCAATGACTCTCAAAGTCAATAAAATAATAATAATAATAATAATAATAATAATTTATTATTTGTACCCCGCCCATCTGGCTGGGTTTCCCCAGCCACTCTGGGCGGCTTCCATAGAAACCAAAAATACAGTAAAATATCACAGATTAAAAACTTCCCTGAACAGGGCTGCCTTAAGATGTCTTCTAAATGTCAGGTAGTTATTTATCGCTTTGACATCTGATGGGAGGGCGTTCCACAGGGCGGGCGCCACTACCGAGAAGGCTGTCTGCCTGGTTCCCTGTAGCTTTGCTTCTCACAATGAGGGAACCGCCAGAAGGCCCTCGGCGCTGGACCTCAGCGTCCGGGCAGAACGATGGGGGTGGAGACGCTCCTTCAGGTATACTGGGCCGAGGCCGTTTAAAGGTCAACACCAGCACTTTGAATTGTGCTCAGAAACGTACTGGGAGCCAATGTAGGTCTTTCAAGACCGGTGTTATGTGGTCTCGGCGGCCGCCCCCAGTCACCAGTCTAGCAACCGCATTCTGGATTAGTTGTAGTTTCCGAGTCACCTTCAAAGGTAGCCCCACGTAGAGCGCATTGCAGTAGTCCGAGCGGGAGATAACTAGAGCATGCACCACTCTGGCGAGACAGTCCGCGGGCAGGTAGTGTCTCAGCCTGCGTACCAGGTGAAGTTGGTAGACAGCTGCCCTGGATACAGAATTGACCTGCGCCTCCATGGACAGCTGTGAGTCCAAAATGACTCCCAGGCTGCACACCTGGTCCTTCAGGGGCACAGTTACCCTATTCAGGACCAGGAAGTCCTCCACACCAGCCTGCCCCCTGTCCCCCAAAAATAATACTTCTGTCTTGTCAGGATTCAACTTCAATCCATTAGCCGCCATCCATCCTCCAACCGCCTCCAGGCACTCACACAGGACCTTCACCGCCTTCACTGGTTCTGATTTGAAAGAGAGGTAGAGCTGGGTATCATCTGCATATTGATGGACACGCAGTCCAAACCCCCTGATGATCTCTCCCAGCGGCTTCATGTAGATGTTGAAAAGCATGGGGGAGAGGACGGAACCCTGAGGCACCCCACAAGTGAGGGCCCAGGGGTCTGAACACTCATCCCCCACCACCACTTTCTGAACACGGCCCAGGAGGAAGGAGCGAAACCACTGTATAACAGTGCCCCCAGCTCCCAGCCCCTCTAGACGGTCCAGAAGGATGTTATGGTCGATTGTATCAAAGGCCGCTGAGAGATCCAGCAGAACCAGGAAACAACTCTCACCTTTGTCCCTAGCTCGCCGGAGATCATCAACCAGCGCGACCAAGGCAGTTTCAGTCCCATGATGAGGCCTGAATCCCGATTGGAATGGATCCAAATGGTCCGCATCTTCCAGGCGTGCCTGGAGTTGTTCAGCAACCACGCGCTTAATCACCTTGCCCAAGAATGGAAGATTTGAGACTGGGCGATAGTTGGCCATACTGGCCGGGTCTAAAGATGGTTTTTTAAGAAGCGGTTTAATGACCGCCTCTTTCAGCGGATCTGGGAATGTTCCCTCACAGAGGGAAGCGTTCACCACCCCGCAGAGCCAATCGCCCAGCCCTTCCCGGCTTGCTTTTATTAGCCAGGATGGGCAAGGATCAAGGAGACAGGTGGTTGGTTTCACGTGTCCAAGCAGCCTGTCCACATCCTCGGGGGTAACGGATTGAAATTGATTCCATGCAAAATATTAATGCCCCCAAATAACATGTTTTATAATAGGTACTAAGGTTGGCGGCTGTAGTACTGAGTGTTCTACATTTCTGTACAGTAAGGTAGAACTGCATATAATGACCCAGTATCCCATTATAGTGTAATTGCTCCGCTCTCATCCAGAGCAGTGAAACTTAAAGTATGAATTAAGCAGTGCAATGGTGGTTTTCACATACTGTACTGTGATTCCCTGTAGCTTTCTCTTACCCATTTGCCAACACTTGGCAGCATATGGCTCCCCCCCCTCTGATTTTGCTTATAGAGCACGCAGCCTTTAAACATTGGCATTGCAACAGACCCTGTGTCTCTTGCTGATAAAAAAATAATGTTGATGCATTTGCCTTGTACTTGGAAGCTGTTCCCAACTTCATGTGTCCAACATGCATTCTTTCCCCACTGTTCATTTTGGATGGCAGTGTTTAATACTCAGCGGGTAGAAACCACGCAGCTGGACATCTTGTTGCCTTCTATTTTGTTTAAAAGTACCTTTAAGTCTGTGTAGCTTTTTCTTAATCTGATGTACAGCTCTAAAAATATTCCTTATCTTTTTGTGTAGTGATCTCTCTGAATATGATGAAGTGTGCTGAAATGTAGCCTAGTCCTACAGCTCTGCTGCAGAAACTTGGTTATACAATCTCATTTAACTTGTTTAGCCTGCAAGGCTATCTGATTTAGAACAACCGAGCAAGCAAATTTGGGAATTCAGCTTAGAGTTCCAGTGCTGTCATTGCAAAGAGGGAGCTAAAGAAAACAGAAGTCTGTTTACTCGCTCAGAAACACGAGCAACAAAAACACTGGCTCTAAGTGTCATTCAACTCCTTTTTTCTGTTATCTAGGAAAAACAAGACAAAGCTGTTCTCCAAGCTGAAGTCCAACATTTGAGACAAGATAACATGAGACTTCAGGAAGAATCTCAAACAGCAGCTGCTCAACTAAGAAAATTTACAGAATGGTTTTTCAATACAATAGACAAGAAATCCTAATATCAAAGTCCCTGTAAAAGCACAGTTGAAGCCACATAACACCATTAACTTTTGAAGTAGCCTAATATAATTTCACTGTGTCCACAATCCATTTTACATTTTCTGCTGTAATCTCTGCCCAGCCCCAGGCTACTGACAGTAAGAAATTACCTTCATATTCATCTGAAGAAAACAGAGAATGAATAGCAGACATTTGTTTTTGTGAAGATGAATGTACAATTCCTGGTGTCATTTTAGACATTTTAGAATATACTTCTGACTTGGGATTGCCTGAAGAAGAATAAATTGGGGTTTATCTTCGGTACTTCAGCTGCTCCAGTGAAGATGCTAAAGCAATTTATGGTAGCTTGGGTTTCAGTATTGTAAGATAAATAATAATAATAATAAACTAGACATATACTTTCATGTTTAAAGGTGCTCTATTTTTTTGTATGTACAGTAGATATTTCCACAGTCACATTGTCATAGCAATAAGAATGGAAGTAGAATTGAATAGTCACAAAACTGTGTTTATAAAAATTAGCACTGAGGTGTTTAACACTAGTTTGGATGCAGATATATTAGGGGTTATTTATTTGCAGAAAAAATGGTGCCTGAATTTAAGCAGTGTTCTGATTTTTCTAAAAAAAATAAATACACATGCCTTGTAAATGGCTCACTTGAATCAGTTCACTCCAATGTCAGTTCCTTTTGTATAGTTCATGTTCAGCTAAGATTGTTCTAGAGAAACTAACTATTGAAACCATATGTGGTGCAAGCCAGCCAATCATTTGTATAATGCCAGATTTGTTTATCTTTGTACAGAAGCTTTGAGCGAGTGACTTATATTTAACACCTTTATTTAAGCTTATTTAACCTGTTAATTTTATAAAGCTTTTGTTTTATCTGCACTATGGTGAGGACAGTGGATTGCAAGCTACAATGTGTGTTTAGCTTGCCAAAATGGCACTGCAGAGTTCTAGAAAATTCTAACTATTGGATGCTGCTAGTACACAATTTGTGTAAGTATACTTTAACATTTTTAACTGTTTCATTTGAAATGAACATACATTTTGCTTTTTTAATAAATGTTAAAAATGTGAACCACAAATAAGAACTCTCTGTTTATTAACAAAAGCTGCTGGGTTTGATAGATTCAATGAAGGAAGAGCACAGTTAAAACATTTTGCTTGCACTCTGGTTCCAAATCCAAGAACTTGAGTAGCTACTGCTTCAATTCACTTTTACACTCCCCTTTTTAATTCATAGTGTGCAATTTAATAACAACTCTGGATCATATCTGTAAAATAGTCTGCAATCCCATACACACTTACACATTGAACATAGCAAGACTTATGGTGCAATCCGATACATATTTACACAGAAATATTTGCTTCAAAATGTCTAGCTGTGTACTGATATGCATGTTGGTAAAAAATGTTTGCAACATCTTAAAAGGAGGTAGTCTCAATTACTTTAACATCTTAATTGCCATATTATAAAAATTAGGGATCACATTAGATACCACATTTAAAAAGTTTTGGACCATGAAACTGCTGGACTCCAACTCCCATCATCCCAGATCACTGTCTATGCTAGTTGGAAGTCCAGCAACATCTGGAGGCCCACAATCTTGGAAGTGTGCAAGAAAAAAAATCTTTATTGGCCCAACTTGCTTTGAAATACACTACAGTGTGAACAATTAAACCAATTTCATAAAAGTGAAGCAAATCTTTAAAACATTGAGCTTTTTCATTGATGTTTTAATGATATAGGTAAAGGTAAAGGGACCCCTGAACATTAGGTCCAGTTGTGACCGACTGGGGTTGCGGCGCTCATCTCGCTTTATTGGCCGAGGGATCCAGCGTACAGTTTCCAGGTCATGTGGCCAGCATGATTAAGCTGCTTCTGGTGAACCAGAGCAGCACACGGAAACGCCGTTTACCTTCCCACCGGAGCGGTACCTATTTATCTACTTGCACTTTGACGTGCTTTCGAACTGCTAGGTTGGCAGGAGCAGGGACCGAGCAATGGGAGCTCATCCCGTCGTGGGGATTCGAACCGCTGACCTTCTAATCGGCAAGTCCTAGGCTCTGTGGTTTAACCCACAGCGCCACCCACGTCCCCTTTAATGTTATATCTCACTTGTTATACTTGTATACTTGTTTTTATAATATTACAGTATACAACTTGTTCATTGTTCTTCTATATAGTGTTCCTTTGAATGTCTTTGAGCAATGAACCCTTTTCATGTATTGTTAAGGTTTCATCCTCCCTCACCTAACACATTTATTTTTTCTTGTTGGTGCTTTCCTTCATGGTTTCCCAGAAATGTCCAGTGACCAAGCTATCACGTAATTAAGTGGTTGCATGAAAACAGGTCTGAGTGAAATTATGTGAAGTGTAACAAAAATATTTTCTTTTAGTTGGTCAACCATGGTTAAAAACCATTAAGTGGTCAACAGGCTATAATGGTGCAGATGGAAGATTAATGCTGTGGCCAAGTGCCCAACACCACAGTTTGTGATCAATTGTCGTTGTGGAAGGAACCGTATTGCAAAACTCTGCACTTTACAAGCGCTGGCTTTGGTTTCTATAACTCTGAGCAATTGTTTGAAAAAGTCCCATTAATTTAAAGTAATTAAATGTGGCACTTGCACGTTCCACTAGAGCTTGGTTTCAAATAAAAGGCATTGGGTTAAACCCATCTGTCTAAAAGCCTTGCCAAATATCAAGCTCTGCAGTTTAAAGAAACATCAAAACATGGTGCTAATCATCCTTAGAATTATGAGAAAATTTAAGTAGTTTCAAAAAGCAGACTTTCCCTGAACAAATAAATGATCATTTATATAAATAGTTTCCATATCTTTTTAGAGAATGATTTAACTGAGGTGCAGTAACAGACACTGATTTATGTTTGCAGCTCTTGTGATAGGAACGATAATTTAGCTGCTTACTGGGATTTAGCAAGTAAGAGTCTATCATTCCCCTTTATTATCAGTTGTTTCTTTTTAACCAGAATTGAAATTTATGTTTCCCACTCTACATTTGCTATGTTTGTCATTCCTGTGGTGGCCCACTGTGGTTACTTATACACATGTTTTTACACATGAGTAGCAGTAGATTTGAGATTAGGCTTTCTTCCTTTTATCTCTTAAGAATCATGGAATGGAATCAATGAACATGCCTATTTTATGGCACATTTGCTAACTGCAGCATAAAGCAAAAACCCAAAGTTGAGAATCATAACACTTCTGAAATTTAAATCTACATAAAAGAAAGTTACTGAAAATAGTGCTAACACCAGTGGGGGGAGGCACCTGTAGCTGTAGAAGTAAGACACAGGAATAGAGGTTTACTGAATTATGAGTGGTGTGAAGAAAATTGATATTAATTATTCCCTTTTTGTGCAGTAGCAAAGCACCAGGTCACACAACAAAGTTGATTGCCAGACCAGATCCATGCAGCACATAATCAACTAATGGTATTCACTCACACAAAGTGTGGTGATGACCACTCGCTTAGGTGGCTTTTAAAGAGGATTAGACGAAACTTGTAAAGGACAGGTCCATCAGTCATGCTATTAGTCATGCTAATGAATGAAGCTCCATGTTGAGAATCAGTATACAGTACCTCTGACTAGCAGATGCTGCAACAAACATGGAAAGGCTGTTGATTTCATTCCATTCTGTGAACTTACTGAGAGCGATCAGGTTGGCAGCTTTTGGAATGCTGGCCTAAATGGTCTAATCAATGATAGTTCTTATGTCATCTATCCACTATCAATACTCTGGGTGGTCCACTGCTGGTTTTAATGAAGTATAATATGTACATTAGTAGACCTTTGTATTGTATAAGGGCCCTGTATCTTCAGTGACATCTTCAGTAAATCAATGATCAGCTGAGCAATAGTGAAAATAGAGACGAGAATCAATCATAGATGAAATGGTGAATTATATCCAGATGCTCTCTTAGAAGTGAGGTCAAACAACTTGACAAAGAATGAGAAAGATAAAATTGAAGTCTGTCCTTATTAACCATGACCTTGGCAATCCATAGTCCGCTGATTGATTGATTTTTGAAGTGAATGTGGTTTAAAGCTTTTACTAAGCTCCAAACAATATTCTTCCCACACAAAACCCCCAATGTATTATGTGTGTCAATCTGTTTAAAGCTGGAGAGCCCCACATGCAGCAGGTTGTCAAACTGGATAGTTGAATTGTAGGCAGAAATTTGTGATACTTTGCCAACATTTTAATTCTTTTTATTAAGAAATGTGTACCCTTTCAAATTATATATGTGCAGGTGACAACATGACCAGCATCTCCTACTGCTGCCCTGCAGCGATTCTGAATACCTTGATTACCCCTTTGTAAACCACAGTTCTTCTCTTGAAGAAAAGTGCTGAAAGATCAGGATGTCAGGAGCACAAACCTAGCTATTTCCACTGTCTCTCTTAAGAGCAGCAACAGAACAGTGCTTCAGGGCCTGCGAGTTCACTGATTTACTATCTGTTTGTGGAAAGGCAGGGTGGAAAGGCAGCCCAACATCTTGTAGAAAGGCATGGTTGGCAGTCAGCCCAAGGAACAACATCTTAATCACAACATGTGAATAACTAGAAGATACTAGACAGGGCTTCTGGAAAGGAATCCAAGGTGTTTGTGCTTCATTTCTGAAACCAAATGTTCTGTTTATATAAATGCTATCTTTTGTCTTGATCAGTTTGCTTCAAATGCCGTCATTAGAACCCAAATAAATTATGACTAATTGTGCAGGTGGCATCTTGCATATGTATTTAGTACATCCCTCTTCAGAAAAACAAACAGGATGTATGTCCTTTTATGATGATTCCTGACACATCTGAAGATGTTTAATTGCCTAGGGCTTGCCGATCGGAAGGTTGGCGGTTCGAATCCCCGCGAAGGAGTGAGCTCCCATTGTTCATTCCCAGCTGCTGCCCACCTAGCAGTTCAAAAGCATGTCAAAGTGCAAGTAGATAAATAAGTACCGCTCCGGCAGGA